GTTTCTTCCAGATGGTTTTTGTCTCCCTAAATTATTCCCGACCCGGTTTTTGAAAATAGCTATTGGCCGTCTAGCGCACTATTGCCGTCAAGGTCCAGCTACGGATGCAACCCAACGCCTCGGCCAGACACGCGGCCAAGTTATGGGGGGTCGTTGAGAGAAACTGTTGTGGATTGACATATACCTCCTGTTCAACCGGTTAGGCTGGATGATCAATGATGATGATGATGATGATGACAAACCACGTTCTGTGGTAGGTGTCCGTATGCATCAAACATCTCCGGCTTCGTCGAGTCTTCATCTGAGGTGGCTGCGACTCGTTTTTGTTTGCAATGCATTGAAGTTTCGCGCAGTTGCCGATGGGGCAGAATGGCGACTAATATAAACAAGATTTGATGGCGATACGGTTTGGTAGCGCAGTCCCCTTGTAGTGAGTGAAGACCAGTGGCGCAGGGCTTGCCGGAGGTTTGATGTGCCCTTCAAAAGTACCTCTTGGTGTCTGACGTAAGGTACCTTTACACTGGGAATAGTGTAGAGTAGAAGACAGTTAGCTTCTACCTTTGGAGACCATCCCGACTTCCTTCCTCTTTCACCGTAAACCCACCCAAAAAAGATTCAGGCAGAGTATCAGGTGTGTATAGGCTGCTCATCACGAAGAAAGGGAGACAAGAAGGTGACGCCCTGAAAGATAGAGGTTCAGAAGGGCCCCTCTCCGCTACCCCTGCCACCCGCTCCTCTACTAGGGCAGGTCTCCAACTGGTCACCCCCGAACCCCTGGGAAGGGAAAACCCCTCCATTCTTTTCAGGCACGCAGACATGTACCTCATATCTGTACCTTACCGACGGCGCGGATTGCTGGGTTGTCTCATCTGGCCCTTGCCGTTAGGCTGCTTATCCATCCCTTGTCCAAAGTAAGACCCCACGCCAGGTGCACCATTTTATGATCGACCAACTCCTTTGTATTTTCTTTTCCCTAATTCCTTTCCCTCCCGTATCGCCAAGAATGTGCTTGCTATCGCTCGGACTCATCAAGCAGATGGATTGTTAGCAGAACGGGGCGCTCTCCTCATCTCGTTGCTGCGTCCGTCCTCGTCCTTACATGCCCACGCTACTCCATATGAACCATCCATCGTCTCTCCCGTATCCAAGCAAGCCAGCGAGCGGGCGCGCGCACGAGCAGGCGGGAGTGGGAGTGCCTTGACCTGCTGCCGACCATTCTGTGCGTTATTATTCCTCGAGGATTGTGACATTTTGCATTACACCACTTTGTGTTGCCCACCGCAAAAAGTATGCAACACGGACTCCACGATCCATGTGCTGGTGGCCGACATCGAGTTTCGCTTGCTTCTACTGCAGTTTGAGCCTGCTTACCCATGCTGCAGCTACCGGAATTGGTTGCGTCGCCGCTTTGCTGGCCGACAGGATGAACCGAGCCTAAAGATGTTGACTCGCCGCCCGCCGTCTTTGACAGTCTTTCCAAGACGCACACCCAGCGCCTCACCACTTTCTCATTGTTACTTCCCTGCTATGCATTCACTACCTGACCCTACTTGCACCTGCCGATTGATATGTCAGTCAAAGTCTAGCCACATGGTTTGAGGGGGTCCTCTTGCTGTTATGAGGCAGTTGCCACCCTTTTCCTGAGAGACGGCGGAGCGCCCGCGGCTATCGTGTGTCTACGTTCTTTCAACCCTTTTGCCCAACCACTAGCTGTATGCGCATACCTACCCATTTCCCCCTGGGCTTGACCGATTCCATTGTCGAGAGAGCCTGGTGTTTTGGGGCATGCTGGTCGCTCCAACGACGCTGGATGGGCCTGGCCGATTCAGCGCCACACCGTCCCTCCCCTTTTTTTCCCTTCAACCTCTTCCAGTATGTCCGGGGGAAACAAAACAAGGAGAACCAGGCAAAGAAGGGAGCCTAGTTGGCGTGTTCCATGAGGTATCCATTTTGCGTTCCGTTCTTCGAGATCACCGACAGGCGCATGGGTCGTGGTTCCTTTTGAAAGTCCGGCAGGGACAACCCCGAGTGGACCAAGGGATCCAAGTACCAAACGAGTTGTTCGTCCACCCCCCGGCCTGCCGCAAGGACATCTGCCCTGGGGGTCGTGGATGCCGTGGGTGCTAATCGCCCCAGCGTGTGTTGAGCGTGGCATGGCAAGGTCTGGCATGGGGCATGACAGCATGGGTAATTATCTTGCCTTAGTGGTGGCCATGGTTGTCGGTACAGATACCCATGCCAGAGCCAGTCAGCGACCGGTGGGAAAGGTGATGCTAATGGCAACGCCTCTTACTGATTTCCACTGCCTCAATCCGATGCTGCTGCACTTGACGCAATTATTGTTGGCCGGCCGTTGTTAAGTACTTCATGTTATCACGCCCCGGTGCCACTCCGCCAGTCCACGGTGGTATATGCCAAAGGAAAGGGGCGAGTTACAGACGGCGTGGCATGGCATGGCAAATGTGCGGCTTGCAGGCGTCGTTTGTTACCAGAACCAATGTACCTTATTCGGCGAGGTCCCGATGTGTTTTCCAAGTAATGTGACTTGTTAGGATGGGTACTGCGCAAAGGGCACAGTAGACTGCACGATACGACAGCTTACATTAAATGGCGGTACCGGTGGGTGCAATTTGGTCGCTGCTTCTGCCGTTGCTGCTGCTTTAATGCCGGCGGTCGGGTGGTGGTAGCGGTGGTGGATGGCAGCAGGGCGATATGCATGCACCACTCCCTGAAGTATCCGTTACGGCAAAGGCGGTAGCCGTGGCTGTAGCCATAGTCTTGGGCGTGGCTTGTCATGGCTTGCCGGCTACAGGGAAGCTCTCAAAGGGACTTGGGAAAAGATTGGTGCTAATGGTACATGGGGCAGCGTAGGGGACGGGCGTGGAGTTTGGGGTGTTGGCACTTGCGGCTTGAGGCGTCGATGAGGCGTGCCGTACCTGACAGAGAAGGGAAACTGGGAAGGGATGCTGGCCCCGAGGTGAGGGAAGAAGGTGAGGGAGGCATGGTATGTATGGGATGCATCACAAAGTAACGGAGACGTGCCTCTGACGCCTCAGATGCTGCAAAGAGATACGGCTCCGGTACTTGTGCCCTCCACATCCCTCTGCCATAGGTATACCACCATCCACTCCTAGCACCACCATCAATGCTGTTCCTGCCACTGTTGCAGTTGTGTGGTTCCTACCTACCACTCCAAAACGGGTCTGTATGTGTATGGGTGGTGTGTGCCTGATCTGGCTGGCGGCCAACTGGGAGCGATCCCAGGGCAATCCAGTCCCAAGGGGGGAGGGGGCCGAGGGAATGTCAGTGGGTGCTGCGCTAAAATATGAAGCCCCGAGTGTGTAGTGTGTGGGTGAGGGACCAGAGTCCTCCACTCTGGCAGTCTCTGCATTGAGCATGCATTGCCAGCAATTTCACCCAACCCATCCAAGCGCATATCATTCCCCCCTAGTACTTGGGTCCTAGTTCCTGGCTGGTCTGGCCTGGGCAAAAAAAAGATGAGAATGAAGAGAAGTCACTTCCCGAGCCACTTCGGAGCCCCCTACTGCCATTGTACCTCCCTCCTCCCCTACTTACGCCGCCCCTATGGGGCCCTCCTTTGCCTCTCGTTTTTTAGTGTCGACACCTCACTAAGAAAAATTAGAAGCCAGTCAGTCTATGTGGTGGACGGCAGGTACTTGTTACAAGTACCTTTTTTTCTTCCTTCTTAGTGGCATTGCCCTCTACACCCTACCTCACACATGCATGTCTATGTACGAAGTACCTCCTGAGGGGCGCTACGTACATGCCTCCCACACCCAATAAGTACATGTCGTACCTTACCCTCCATACAGCTTAACATTATTGTTTGGCTTTAACATGCTCCAGTCCTCTCTCCTTTTTTTTATCCATCCCTTCCCCGGCTGCATGCTGCACTGACCTTGCCTGGCCTGACCTGGTCTGGGGCCTGACCTGACCGTACTTACCGACCGTATTTCTCTTGCCTCTCCCATCCCCTTACTAGACGTGATCTCCCCTTCCTTTCCTTCCTTCTCTCCGTTTGCAATTTCCTTCCCAATTTGTAATTAACTCTCTGGACTTGCTTCTTGCACTCTTTTACTCGAGTCTATCCTTCTCTCGCTCTCTCCTCGCAGTCTCCCGAGATCTTTCTCCCATTCTGGACTCTCATCACCCTCCTCTCCGTCCTTAACCTCCTCGTCGCTCGCCCTCCAATAGACTTTCACCCTTTCCAACTTCCAACCAAACCTCTCGACCAACCAACAGCAACGATTCGCTCCCACGATACACACGCTCTGTCGTACCACGCCTGACCGCATTCTCGGGCTCTCTCGTCGCCTCTTTCTCACTCCCCTTCGCAATCAACGAGAACTCTGGTGACTTGGTGGCCGCTTGTTTGCTCTCTCAGCCGTATCTTTGCAGCAAGCACACTTCCCTATCGGACTTGTTGTGGTCCAGCCGCTCCTTCCTGCGCACCTTTTGAAGCAAACATCCCTCGGGAAAGCGACGCTTGCCTCGAATCTATTCATTTGCCGTTACATTTCACGTTACGCTTCCGGCCTGTTCTGTAAGTTGCCATGAGTCTGTCTGGCCTGCCTGGTCAGTGTGCCTGTAAACTCGCCATTCTGTCTCCAACGTCTGTTATTCCACAGAGCTACGGGAACTAGCGCCTGCACTTGCCCGTGTGTCGCCCACGAGACCTCTCCCGTCTCACGGATTCACCAAACGCTTGTTTTCGACCAAATCAACTAGATATACTCTTGCTAACTCGCTCACTCGGGGAACATTAGCCACACCACACCATTTTTGCCCTCTTTCAATCGTCTAGGGTCACATTCTATCCTCAGTGCTTATTCCGAGTGCGCCATCCGAGGATTCAGAATTGGTTTCTGACACGGTTTTTTTTTTTTCTGAAACGACTTGGCGGATCTCGATTCGAAAGAAGGACTCCGGAAAGGTTTTTCAAGTAAGAAGAAAAGAGAAAAGCATCAAAACTTGAGAAGATGGCGGGTGAACAGGGAGCCGGTGGTGGCATCGAAAGTAATCGTCGTCATCTTTCGACTTCTACTCGAGCGAGCACCGACAACGAGCCTATTCAAGAAACCGAGGCCCAGGCGGGTAAGCAAACTAAACAAGAAGAAACCAAGACCCAATTTCAGCAGTCTTCGCAAGACTCCCCTAGGGGCTTCAACCCACCCTCAAACACATCAACCCCTTCAACAGCGCCGTTGATGGCCAGAGCATCATCCAACAGTTCTGCGGTTTCGACCCCGAGTGCGCCAACAGATAGTTATTTTGGGCCTGTACCCGAGCCAAAGGCACCTGCACCCCGTGTTTCTCGCCCAATCGAGCCACCGGTAACTAAGGTCACTCTGAGCGAACTGGACGTGTGCAAAATCATGCACAATCCAAAGCTGCGCCACGATATCAACTTTGATCCAGAGCTACACTTCCGACCTAATCTGGATGGAGACAAGGGCAAGCGGAAACAGCACAAGGCGGACCTCTTCTGGAACACTTTGCAAGAACAGTTGGTCGAGTTTGTGAGAGTACCGGAGACATTCTTTGCCACTCATGGCCAGGATGACGATTGGTGTCTCCCCTCGCTCCTGAGAGCTGTCAAAGACATTATCCAGACTTTGGTTCCTCAAAGAGATAGAGTTTACTTGGATGAAGGCCTGAACGTTGACTTGCTGATGCAACAGTTCTACAGAGGCATTGCGGATCTGGAGAAGCTGGCATTGTGGTTGTCTCGCGTACTCAAGTCACATTGCGCTCCGATGCGCGACGAGTGGGTTGACCAGATGTACAGCCAGCTGAGCAACGGCAATAGGACCAACAACGTCGAGGAATTGGTGAAGGGCATGAAGAGTCTCCTCAGCGTGCTAGAGGCCATGAAGCTCGACGTAGCTAACCACCAAATCCGTTGTCTGCGTCCTATTCTCATCGAGGGAACCATCCCCTTCGAGCGGAAGTTTTTTGAGAAGAAGATTCAGGGCAACAAGCTGGACGTGACGCAAGCGAACGCCTGGTACAGAAGCGCAGAGGATAGATACGCAACATCCGTCTCGCCGATTGCAGCACATTCCTTTGGCGAAATGTCAGTATTCTTCGAGGCTATTTCAAGGTTAATTCTACCTTCGGTCTCCGAAAAGGCTCTGCCGAACACCTTCATCTTCGACGAAGAGCGCTTCATCAAGCTCAGAGCCGACATGCTCGACGCTATCAACTTGGAAGTGTGCATGCGGATGTACGACGACTTGGAGCGCGTCGGCCGGTTACCCCTCTTCGCCAATGCGATGTCACGATTTGACGACGAGATTAGTGGTCGACCGTTGTCCATGACTCCCGATTTCAACTTCAACACTCCTCCCTCGCGGCCCTCCAGTCTTGCCTTCAGCTCTGGTGATTCCGCCACTTCATCTCCCCGGTCGTCACTCATCCTCCCACCTCAGCCAACATCCGACCCCACAGAGTCTCTCCCCAAGGCTAGGGAACTCTACAGCTCCCTAGTAGCCCTTCTTCACACTTCGCCTCCTCCTCGTCGACACGAATCTCGCTGGGAAGCTATTGCACCTTCCCTGGCCCTTCAGATTTTCCGATATACCAACGCACCAGCCGATATGCTGCCTGTCTTGGAGTCAAAGCTCGCCTCGCATGTTTGCGACGTCAACAGCTCGCTGTTCCAAGAGGTTGAGCAACAGTTTCACCAAAAGCTTCTTGTGGAGCTTCAGAGACGGGTCAGAGAGTTCCGCGGTCTGACGGGCGTTGGGCTCTTCTCAGTAGCCACCGGTGGTCGTGTCCACGGCTCAAGTCGGTCATGGAATGGCAGCCCTGAGCGCGAGAGGGAGTCACCGGACAACACTCGTGAAGCTCGCGAAGATGGTGGCATTGAGGACATGGCAACTCGGTTGGCACACCTTGGCATCCTTCACTGGAGAGTGTTCGCGGGGCTGGCATACACTTCAGATGAGCAAGCCGACAGCGAGATGGAAATGAATCAGTTTTAAAAAGAACCGCCTCAGAGCCATGCTCAGCTTTGATCCACATCAATTTCCTTAATCCAAGGCTGCTGGCCCCTTCGCCAGCAGTCAGCTCGCCCCAGCAAAGGGGCATATCTACTATGTCTGCCCGAACAACAAATACCCCTTTTATAGTATTTTAATCTTGCATTTGGCCGTTATTCTCGCAGGAATTTTTTTTTTTTCTGGCAATGGGTGTTACGGAACCTTAGACGGTGTTGGGGGGATCAAAGCATCAAGCTCGCGCTTTTGCCGCGTTGAATAGTTGGATAGGCGTTCTCGGGAAGTGGTTACATGCAGATACATAGCGCACTTTGCATTGCTTTGAGACAGAAAATGAAAGTTTCTCTTGACATTCAAGCTGAGCCCTGGGCTACCTTCTTCTTTCACTTTGAAACATGCTACATTGCACTGCTTTAACGGCAAATCTTAGTGAGTCGAATGAAGGTGAGACGTGAGGGTTTTGAAGCTCGTGACCAAAAAATCGCTTAGTGGTTCTGCTAGAAAACTATTAAAAAGGTCTCAATCTTAACTCCCGGCTTGAAACCGTAGTGCTGTTGGTGGATGGTTCCCTGCCTTGGTCTTGCAATTGCTTTTGCTAGCTAAACTCTTCACTGGCCGTGGTACTTGGTACAGTATATACCTGTGTCATGCTCAGAATGGTTCACACTACGGAAGACTCAGTAAGACGACCTACTCTCTTTTTCGATAACGCCCCTTCCCCTGTGTTTCGGCCAGAGTGTACTTGGAGAAGTATAGCGTGTTCTGAAAGGTCGGCGATTGTGCTGTGTGCAGTAAACTTGAGCAAAACTCAACGCCCGGATGCCCGAAATGGAATACAGATATAGGCGCAGTGTCAACGCTACATCCCAATAACCGGCAACCTCTTATCATTATCCCAAAACGGTCTGGGGATGGCAGCAATGCTTTTCTGAGTGCGCATGTCTGGTGGATATGAGCACCAACTTACATTGGGTGGTTTTACAATTGTAACTCGTCTGCCCTAGGCTTTCGTCTTGTTTTTGATCCCTTTTTCTTTTCTCTCTTGTGTTGTCGTCACTCATCTCTTAGTCTACGCTTGTTGACAGACTAAGAAGGGGGTAATCCATAGCAGTTGGTGAAGAATGGTCGCAGTCATGATGGATTGTCTGTCTTGTAGTCTGTTATCTGTTGATTTTGGAAACTTGGGAAACTGGAACATGGAGAGTTGGTCAGACAACGACCAATCCCAATATGATACGTCCCGCTTTCCCCCAGGAAGCGGATTAAGATACCATTACACTGGAGGTATCCGTCTTGGTGTGTTAGGTTTAGTCAGGACAGTCATGAAAAACGATGCCACCGATTATGACTAGATATACGGATTTCTACACGCCTTCGCAGGTTGGTGACTTGTCGCGCCACCATCTGTACAGACATGGCTTAATTGTTACCCAAGGCAAGGGCTTTGGGTTGGCCCGCATAAATTACTATCTTTGGTTACTGTAGTCCGGGGTTTGCAAGTATACCTGGTATATCTCTTGAGGCTCCGGGGAACTTTCCCTGGCGTCTATCCAGCGTACTTTAAGCCATTGCGGGCTTCAATGCCGTCTTGATCATACAGCTTCTTTCGCTCAGGACATCATCACGGTAGTTCTGGCTTGTATTCCGTGCCTACAATAACTGAATGCCTCATATTATACCGTTCAAGGTATCAAGGAATCACCAATACCTTCCGGTAAGGCTGGTATGGCCAATAGAGTGATTTGTCAAATGCACACAACCCGAAGGTCGTTTTTGGCACCTGGAATGCCCATAAGGGGTGAAATGGGGAACGAACACTCTGGATAAGTCTTGTGGCAACTCACTAGCGTCGAGTACTTTCGAGATAACCCAAGGAGCTGGCACGCAACGTTTACCCAGACGTGAGGTCGTACCAGAAACTGATACGTAGTGTTGTCAATAATTACGGTATTCAGGTTCTTGGGCGACTGCTGAGATGTGTAAATGTTATGGTGGCTATAGGCTGCTGTTTGGTTTACAAGCTGTCTACTCCCTACATCAACATCACAGCTAAGAGAAACAGAGGGCGAACCTGCAAGTTGTAACAGTCACCATAGCTGACCTAAGCTCTCATTTCTTATTACGAGGATATCCGAGCAGCCGGTGGATCATACTTGGACGACGAACTGCCCTTTTCTAGTGGTTGCAGTAATAGAACCACCTGAGGCTGCCAAGCAAGGAACATGAGGTTAGAGAGCACTCTCACACGCCACCGCCCCTATCAACACCCAAGAATGGCTTCATGTTGGACGGTGCTCGATAAAAGCAAAAAACATCAGAAGAAATCAGGTAAAAGAAATAGTATATCATGTAGTGGGCCCGTGCAACAGGTTATACGAGATTTGGGGTAGTTAGGGGCTTTGCTATTGTCTCCAATGCATGGTATGAGACAATGGGAAGAAACAGATTTGCTGTTCCGGGCCCCCCTCTAAAACGTCTGTCTAATTGATCTATGTCTTACAACGACGTAAATGCCCATCGGACAAGGTCCTTCTTCATGTCTCAGTTGTTGTCATTGATGGGCTGGCCGACAGAGCCAAGAAGTGCATTTATCTTCATGGTTGGCTTTCGGCTTGAGATACGAACCGAATAAGTAAAAACTTGCTTTTAGCTGAGAGTTGCCGGCAGCGCTTGCAGCGTAGGATATCCGTGAGAACGGCAGACCAAACCTGGCGGGCAACGGAGAGCGAAGCCAGAAATGGCAAGGCATTTGTATGTTCCTAAATATTGCTGCTCGTACTTTGGAACTTGCTGGCAGCGAGGAACTCAAACTCAAATACGGAGACGAACACACGGAGAGGCACTACCAGGCGACATAAACACTTGAATTATTTTCGAGACTGTCCGATTTGAGACAGAGCGTTTCTTAGAACTCTTGCGATCGTAATGCGGGCAATATTGACCCGGCGGTATCTTCGTTGCGCCTTGGGCTTCCTCCCATCTAACAAAAACCGTAGCTGTATTTATTTCCCAACCCAACTCCGGAACCATAGAACAAGTCTTTCGATTTCTCGTCCCCAACAAGGGAATCGAGTGCCATCATACGGACGATAGGCTTAGTTGATGAGCATGGAAACCTGAACATCCGTCGTTAGCAGGGTCTCGGTGGACGGTTTAAGGAGAGGACTTGCCGCCATGACAACGCAACACAAGCTAATGTATGGGCTTAACCGCTCGCCTACTCTAGCGAACTTCCAAAAGATGCCCATGAAGCTGTCGCGCAGTTAGCGGCTGTTCTGTGACCAATGTATATTGTGCGCAAGCGTTGTCCTTACCCATCCTTGTTCCGGTCCATGATGGCAGGTATGAGCTGGTGGACGTATGCGCACGTGCAGACGAGGAGGAGGATGACGAGGAGGAGGGACTGGAAGTTGAAGAGGGCGGTCTAGTCAAGATTATTAGCATCTCCCTTATCCCTTCCCAGTATATCTCGGGAGCGCAACCTACCATGCTTGCAACTGGTGTCCCTCTAAGCGGGAAACTGGCAACGTGCTTGACCTGGTGTAATTGGTGAAGCCAGCTGGAAGGTTGCGATACAGTGAGGTAGCACAGGGGTGCCGGTCGATTCAGCCTCTCTCACAGTGGACAAGGTGGCCCGGAGATTTAGTGAGCCACACGTGGCACAAGCTTGTGCATTGCTATCAGCCACGTTTTTGGACCTCGAATGACGCTTCTCCACTAAGTGGGTGCAAATAGATGAGGCTGAAGCTGCCCTGTGCTTTGGCGGACTGTCACCATGAATTCTCCAACTTGTAATCAACTCAACTTCCACCCATAAACCATAACCCAGCTTTCTAAATCTGTTCGCTTCGCGCGCCTTCAACGAATCAATTGCTCATATTGCCACAAATAAAATCAAGCGACCCCGTTTTAATCAATTACAATATCGCGCTCTTAAGGATACACCGATCAATCACGTCTGCCCATCATGGAGCCTCGCGCCCGCGCTGCCAAAAATGTTGGCAAGATGAACTTTAGCCATAACGAGCGTACGCGCCTTCCGCCTATGGATTTAAGATAGAGCGTGATTTTATGTTAACTGTATACCGCAGTCGCGCAGCTTCTTTACGCCCATGGAGACGTGCGCAACCCGCTTCCCGAGACGATCCGCGTCCTCGACGAGATAGTAACCGAGTTCATCCAAGGCATGGCGTTTGAAGCGACCCGGGCGGCCAACTATGCCGGTCGCCAGAAGGTTAAATACGAGGATTTCGAGTTTGCTTTCCGCAAGAACGACGCCTTCCTGGGCAAGGTCCAGGAGGTATTTGAGAAGAAGGGCGAGATTGACTCTGCGAAGAAGATTTTTACCAAGGACGATGAGGCAGTGCTTATGAAAGACGCAGCGGACCAGGAGAATAAGCATAAGGACAAGCCTGCCAACGGGCAAGAGGATGCTGGCGGCTCATCTGCGGATGCTGCTGCTAAGCAGGAGGAGGAATTAGGCGAGGCGGACGATGATGCGGATGCAGAGAGCGAAATCGCTGGACGGCCGGCAAAGCGGGCGAGACTTGACGGAGAAAGCAAGTGACCTGGGTATGAATGTCACAAGGGACAAGGTTCGACGATTTGCACTTTTGGATGATGCATAGCGATTGGCGTTTTTGGATGAACCAACCCACCTCTTCGGTTGGAAGTATTTAACAGACGGGATTATAGGCCCGCGGAAGCATTAGAAGGAAAGGGACCTCGAAAAGCATGGCATATCGATAATCCTGACACCATGGAAAAGCGATAGAAGTAATTGAGCCATGGTGCTTGAGCATGCTTGTGTTAGATACGCGCTAGTCAAGCAACTCTCACAGGACAAGAACAAGATGAAACACCAACAAGCAACAGCACATAGAATCATACACGAGAACCAGAAATTGTGTTGAACATTGGCTGCACCGCTTTGGAATACCTTGTGGATTCCGGAAGATGACCGAGACTCCAGCAAAGGTAGGCATACCACCCATGTATCAGGCTTTTCCTTCTTTTTGGCCCCCGTTTGGTTTCATGACTACGAATCTGGCTTTGGAGGAATTGACATCACGGTCGTGAACACCGTTTCTCGAACAATAGAACATGATCTGGGTTTCCACTTTTAACCAGGGTCATTCACGGCTCTCAAACGACCGATAAAGTGGCCGACCCCGCAGACCTTAAATCAACATGCCATGGCCGCCATGCAACAATCCAACAAGGGGCAGAAAACGGGTCAAGTATAGCAAGACGAAGCCGAGTCGATTGCAGCCCTGCCGATTGCAGCCCTGCGGTCTATTTAGTTTACTCTTGCCATAGATGCGAAGAAGGTGGGGAAGCGCGAGATTCTACCTAAGTCATCATATACACTATCCGAATCGGTGCCGGAGACCGCCGTTCTCGGCAAAGGCGCCAACGGGGTCTGGCCGAGAAAGTGGACTGCCCCGCCGGCACATGACATCCGATCACCCAGCGAGCTCAGGCTTTGTGTGCCTTCCTCTTCGGGCAACTGGGGTAGTTTGCCGTGTTTTCATGGCGATATCGGGGTGCGAAACCAAAAAGTGAGTGGTCATGCGGGTAATGCTGTTGCATCACACCCGTACCTATTTACCGTTTCGGCGGCGTCTTAATGAAACTAGAAGCTTACTGATTTTTGTTGGTTTACATTTTTAATCTGGCTGGGGGCCCTTGGTAAGCCTCAACAAGTGCTTCAGGATGCCTGATGAGGCCTGGAAACTAACGTAGCGAGTGGTGTTGGTTGGTTCGCCATGCGCGAGGACATGTGCAGAAGCCGTGGACGGCTCCTAGTGGTTGGCCGGTTGCCATTAGAATACCCACTCCACTCTGCAGCTCCTCTACCTTCCTCGCCCGTCTACCAACCAAATCAGTACCGATGCATTCGTAGACTCATGAGAACCCTTCGACGCCGTCTTACACTCATTTTCTCCCACACTGACCTTGCCCAGCCCAGGGGGCCCACCACACTAAACGGCAGTAGGAGCAAGGGTAATGCGCTTGGGGGTGGCACACAGCACGAAATGGACCACAAACATTTCGTCCTTTTAATCGCCTCCCCGGTCTTCCGATCCTGTAGGGCGTTCCCGAGTCTGAGTGACTGGTCGGCTGAATTACCTGACGGACCCGTTCATCATTAACGCCAGCCTCCCCACTTCTGATGAACGATGGAGACTCCTCTCTAGGATTTTACACCTTTTCACTACACTCCACTTCTGGCTTTGATTGAAATCTCTTCTTGATCTTTCCAAGTAAAGAGTTTGTTCTGTATTCGGTGTCGTATACGGAGGTGTAGCCAGTTGTTTATTGCTGTACTGCTTCGTGTTACTGGCATCCTCACCCCCGCCACGCCATTGCGGACCGCTTTGTATTTTACCTAACTTGGAGTTTTAGATATGACTTCATCTAGCCGTCATGTCTGGACCCAAGCAACATAATGTCAATCTTTCTGTCCCTCAGAATCACGAGGCGAAGACGAACTTTGAAGATGCTGCAAATGACACAGATGATCCTTCTGTGAGGTCTTCGATAGACAGCAGAGGATCGTGGTCACACAACCACGGAAAGGGCTTCGACAGTCTGCCAGACCCAGATTCGTTTCGAAGATTCTCAGCCAGTCCGTTCCAGCACGGGAGGGCGTCGCCATTACCAGGAGGATCGGAATATCCATCGACAATACCACAGGCGCCTCAGAACCGGGGGAGACTATGGCGGTTATGGAGTACGAACAAGGGTGTTGTGTTGGTGGCTCTCTCACAGCTGTTTGGGGCTCTCATGAATCTGACGGCACGGTTGCTCGAGCTTGAGGGGGAGGGCATGCACCCGCTACAAGTTCTCTTCGCCCGCCAAAGTGTCACGATGGTCTGCTGCTGCGTCTACATGTATTGCATGAAGATACCAGACTTTCCGTTTGGAAAGAAGGAGATTAGATGGCTACTTGTGGCCAGAGGAGTGAGCGGGTTCTTTGGCATCTTCGGTATGTGGTACTCGATGATGTATTTGCCCCTCGCCGAAGCAACCGTGATTACTTTCTTGGCCCCCAGCGTCGCCGGCTACGTCTGCTACCTCGCTCTACGCGAGCCCTTCACCCGCTCCGAGCAGATAGGCACAATTGTAGCTTTCTTTGGGGTCGTACTTATTGCACATCCGGCATCACTCTTCACCGGCGACTCGACTTCTTCTGCCGCCGCCACCGCGCCAGAGCACCAGAACTCGACGACGAACAGCACCATGTCATCAACACTACCGGGCTTGAACCACCAGGCCACGACTGCGGAGCGTCTGACGGCCATTGGCGTCGCAATAGTCGGAGTCTTCGGAGCCGCCGGAGCTTTCACGACGATTAGATGGATTGGCAAGCGCGCGCACCCGCTCATATCAGTCAACTACTTTGCCACGTGGTGTACTGTCGTGTGCACCATCGTTCTTACAGCCGCACCGCTGCTCGAGCTTGGGCAGCCGGCCTTGAGATTCGCGCTGCCACAGACAGCGCGTCAATGGCTATTCTTGTTGTTGTTGGGCGTGTTTGGGTTCATCATGCAGTTCCTCCTGACTGCTGGGCTGGGTACAGACAGATCGAACAGGGCCAACGCTATGGTTTACACGCATATGCTCTTCGCGGCCGGGTTCGACAGGTTCATTTTCGGCAACGTCATGGGATGGGTGAGCCTAGCGGGCTGCGGATTGATTATTGGGAGCGCGCTGTGGGTTGTTCTCACGAAGAGGCCGCCACAACCAAAAAAAGAAAATGCTGCGGATGTGGAGGTTGCGAATGTGAGGGATACAGAGGCCGTCCCCATGTTGGCGGATATGGACGGTGGAAGGGACGAGGACTTTGAACTTCAAAGGGTTCACTAGTGTAATGATGGGATATGATAGACGATTCGATTATGAGCACATAGACTATGAAATGCAAGAGACTAGATTTAAAAATAGTATTTAAAAGTAATGATGAGATGAACGTCCTGGGTAGGGTGTCCCGGGATCTTGTATATCCACCGAGCGTGGCCGATTTCTTGTGATCATGTCACTCACTTGTGTTTCTTGAACGATAGTTTTGTCAATATTACATTCTCCTGCCAACGGTCTTATTAACCCTTGGGATAGTATGCAAGACGAAGTTCACTGAAAGATGGGGAATATTGTCTATTAAATTCACGTCTCTGCAAGGCCTTAACCCCTAGTGTTGACGACTTGTATTAACTGAAAACCCAAAAAGGCTTGGGCATCTGGTGCACTTCAGTAACGCAAGAATCGTATCCTCGGCCCTGATACTGTCTTGGCAACAGTGCTGAACTTGCGCTTCGTGCATAATAACATGCTGTAGGATCCGCCCATCATGTGTGCGTGAGTTTACCATTTCCTACCGTCAAGGCCGTGTGATTTAAGGATTCCTGGAAGGACATCAAGAGCTCATAAAGCTAAAGAGAAAGTGGCCCGAGGTGGACTCTGACTGGGATCGGTAACGCGGGAGAGTTCAAGTCAGGTGGCTTTATTCGATTCCTAAGGCAGCCTGATCCATTTGGAGTTTCCCAAAACAAAATCAGCTCTGTACATCATTGCTGTACTTAGCAACGATCACGGAATCAAACCAAGCAGAACTGACGAGTTCGTCACTATAGCCCTCACTTCACCCCGTCCATCCCTTTGAACCAGGCCTGACCGAATTCAAAAGCATGTGGTGAAAGTCACACTACGAGGAACCTTACGTGGGTTGAGAACCCTCCAGGAATCCCTGCAATGTTAAGGAAGGCAAACAGCTCCTAGTACCTGCAGATGAATTCGGTCCCACATATACTGGTAGCTTCTTGTTGAGCTTTAGACACCAACTGTGGTCTCTGCGTTTGAAAGCCCTCAACGTCATAGAGCATCACATAACAGGGACACAGCCGTCAAGGGAAACAAAAACGTGCTGCCGAGCCCGGAAAAAAGGTATGGAGCCGAAGTGCGACCTCTACAATTCCAGGCGCGTGGCGCTTGCACTGGCATGTGGGCAAAGGGAACGCGATGAGACTTGTCTCAACATTCCCGAACGCGGGAAGGGCATCGTGAGGAAATTAGATTTCGAGTCATATAAGCCACCGTTTGCTTGTCCGGTGACAATAATGGTTCGACTTCAAATTCTTGGATGAAGAATAAGCCTGTGTAACCATGAAGGCCGTTGTGCTCTAGTCACAATGTCGTGTAAGATCTAAGAGAACCTCAGGCAAGGGTAATTAAAAAGAGTAGGCGAGAGATGCGAAGGGATGTATTTCGTTCCACGATTCAAGTGCATCCAATGACGAGTCTGATATAATTCATTTGTCGGGTTTTCAAAGCGAAATGAATACTCTTTGGTGATGGGTGTTGCAAGCTGTGAACAAGGTCCGTTACGAGATTTCTGACATCAGACTTCGTGTAGTTCATGAAATAGATCAGAAAGAATTGAAGCTCTAGGCTAGAGCCAAAGTTACGATGAAGTGCAAACAGGAAGCTATCTCCAGGTCACGTGTGGGCCTCAGGTTCCTAAAGTGCAGATTGGCGCCTGCACTGTACACTGTGCGCCTTCCGGTTTTGCAGGGATGGGTGAGGCGCGTCGCCCAAAATCTTTTGGAAGCATCAACCATCCGTGTAACGCCAACCACCCGCCTTCGACGCTTGTAAATCAATTGTGATAACAACGAATTCGCCAGACCTAAGATATCTAAGTCGCAGACGATAGAATTGATACGCTTAGAATTGAACCTCGGCAACCGACGCCCCCGCTGCGAAGATGGTTCAGATCAGCGAGGTTAAGGGAAACAGTCGCGAGAACCGCACGGCTGCCCACACCCACATTAAGGGCCTCGGTCTGAAGCAAGATGGTACGGCAGAGCCGCAGGCCGCGGGATTTGTTGGTCAGGTAACGGCACGAGAGGTCAGTTGCGTCCAGTAATACTTTGTTCACGCGCAAGCAAGCATACTGATATTTCCGCTACGTCCAGGCATCCGGTGTCGTAGTTGACCTCATTCGCGCGCACAAGATGGCCGGTCGTGGTGTTTTGCTAGCAGGCGGACCAGGCACAGGAAAGACGGCTCTTGCGCTTGCTATTAGCCAAGAGCTCGGAACGAAGATTCCCTTCTGCCCGATCGTCGGTAGCGAAATCTACTCGACAGAAGTGAAGAAGACCGAAGTGTTGATGGAGAACTTCCGCCGCGCGATCGGCCTCAAGGTCCGGGAAACAAAGGAGGTGTATGAGGGTGAGGTCACAGAGCTCACTCCTGAGGAGGCCGAGAACCCTCTGGGCGGATATGGCAAGACCATCAGCACACTCCTGATCGGCCTGAAAAGTGCAAAGGGACAGAAAAAACTGCGGTTAGACCCGAGCATATACGAGGCCATTCAGAAGGAGAGAGTGTCTGTGGGAGATGTTATCTACATCGAGGCGAACACGGGCGCCTGCAAGCGTGTGGGAAGATCAGACGCCTACGCAACCGAATTCGACCTTGAAGCTGAGGAGTACGTCCCCATCCCGAAGGGTGAGGTACACAAGAAGAAGGAGATTGTGCAGGATGTGACTCTGCACGACCTCGACGTTGCCAATTCTCGGCCTCAGGGAGGACAGGACATTATGAGCATGATGGGCCAGCTGATGAAACCCAAGATGACCGAGATCACAGACAAGCTGCGCGGAGAGATTAACAAGGTGGTAAGCAAGTACATCGACCAGGGCGTCGCTGAGCTCGTTCCTGGTGTACTTTTCATCGATGAGGTAAGTTTTTTGCCCTGATTTGCCTGACGCGGACTGAGACCGTTGGATTAATCTTCAACAGGCACACATGCTTGATGTCGAATGTTTCACGTACCTCAACCGGGCCCTGGAATCGTCCATCTCTCCGATTGTCGTCCTGGCATCGAACAGAGGAATGGCTACTATTCGTGGAACGGATGACATTGTCGCGGCACACGGCATTCCTACCGATTTTCTGGCTCGCCTGCTCATCATTCCCACGACGCCCTATCAATCAGACGAGATCAAGCGGATTGTTCGCATCAGAGCTACGACGGAGGGTGTGCCTATCACCGATGCCGCCCTGGATAAAATTGCGGAACATGGCGTCCGTATCAGCTTGCGGTACTGCCTGCAACTGTTGACACCCGCCAGGTGAGTAAAGAGAAATAACTGATTACATTTCCCGCTTTGGCTGCTTTGCCCACCGCCTTCCATTAGTCCTCCCTATGCAGTTCTCCCCCTCTCATGGATCGTGGATCGACCGGCTAGTGTGAGACATGCGGGCTAACCCCAATAATAGCATTCTTTCCAAGGCAAACGGTCGCAGCCAAATCGATGTTCAAGACGTAGCCGAGTGTGAAGACCTTTTTCTGGACTCGCGGCGCAGCGCCAGCCTTCTTAGCAGCGAAAGCGGAAAAGGATACCTCTCGTAAGGAGCTATAGGTGGATGAAATGCGATAAAGAGAGGTCATGGTCCCCCCGTTTATTTCCCCGAATGAAGGATGGCGGCGGCGTTGTAAAAGAACTTGTCACAATTATCGAAGATCAAAAACAGGCAATCACGGCGTTCTCCCCGTGATGATATGATGATGATATTATTTTCTTGAGGAAAAGGGACTAGTCATTTGTCTAAAATGGGTTTGTGCGAAGCTATCAATCGATATATTTCGAAGTGACTTCATACCATGCAACACAATGATACTCGGTCTTCAACCATGATCCGAATGAAGTCTTTGTATGACCCTCCTTCAAACTCTGATTTTAACTTGAGATATTTCCCAGGGATCTGTGAGGAGCAGCGCTGTTTGCAAGAAACCCCACTCATAGCGCTGCCGTAGGAGTAAAAACAAAGTAGGGCCGTTCTCCCGAAGTTATAAGACATTCGCAAGACCACGAACCAGAAAACAACACCTAAAGAGAGACATACACGCACCGGCCAACAGATGTCCGTGCTACCTTTACCCTTGCTAGCAATTGACTCGTACCCTTCACCGCGTCTTCAGTTTCCGTTCTGAACCCCAGCCTCCATCTTATGTCATACTTCGGCGCATATCATCAGAGACATCACCAACGCCAAACGCATTGTGTTCTTGCCGATCAAATTTTAAAAACATTTCAAGAACATTCAAAGAAGCACCACGGTACGAAGAAAAGGGAAATAGTCGAAGCTCAGCTGTCTTCCCTTTCGTCACGTGGAATAGCTGTTGCTCCAGTCTAGACTACTTTCGGCCAGAATGGTTGTGTTGGTTTAACATGCATCCCCATTGTCTTTGTTTCTTGGGGCGGGAGGGGGAATAAGCGGTCTTTTGATTGAACATTCCAATCAAGATTTTGCATTCATTTCCTTTTCTCTCACTTATTCTTCCCCTTGCACTGTTCTCTACCTGACCCTGGCACAACACACACACACTCCCACACACATACACCACCACCACCACCACCACCACCACTTTGTCACAAGCAAGGTCATTGTTTTTAAAGCCCCACAAGGTACAAGCAAGTCTGCAGTTGATCCGCATGTTTCTTTGAAGAGAGGCTGGCTGAGAACAGGGTACATTGGCGCAAGGTAAGCCAAACTAGGGGAAAGGGAGAGATGCACCAGCGGTGGCCGCGGCAGAGGCTGCAGTAGTAGGTAGCATCGGCAGCAGTAACAGCAAAACAATAAATGGAGAGGGAGGACTGGATCCTTATTGTGTGTGGTGTGGTCAAGGCTTCTGTGATTGCCGATGATGTGAAAGGGCAAGATTCCTGAAATAACATTCAGTATAAGGTTGCTTTGAGTGATCCATAGCCACTTCTGACTTGAACAATCTCCGGCTCTCAGCCCTTCATTTGCAAAGGAGAGATTGAGGAAGGAAGGGGGTAAGAATTCTTCAAAGCATGTTACCTTACATGGTGCGTTGTTCTGACCTGACCTGTCAAGGTCTCATTATTCATCTTTCCTTGACTCGTTGCTGTCACCGCCGCTTGCTTCTCCGCATTGTCTTCACCTGCAACTTCAGACTTGGACCCGAAGGAAACCTGTCACTTTATGCCCAAAACTTGCAGATAAAAGGGCACTTGACGACTTGCTTTCTTCATACGAACGGAGCCATTTGCCGGCTAAGTAATATAAGAGCTCCGACCACAGGACAAACGCTCCGGCACAAAGAAGCTACACTCATCTGCAACATCTTGGGTGTCGGTACATTCCCGAGACACTTCCCAAAGCCATCACTTTCCTCTCTTGTTCAAGCATTTTCTCTCGCCGTCTCTGTGTTCTGTTCCTTTACCCTGTTTCTCCCGCTGTTCAAACAACCATCTCCCTCCCTCCCTCCAATCATCTTGCTGCTGCTTGCCGCTTTCTCTTCGTTCTTGTATCTCTCTCTCATCACCGTGGATAGGGCAGTACACCGCTTTCCCCTCACTTCTGATGCCCTTTCTTCCCCATAATGGCAACCCCCATCTTTGGGTATAAGATCATTCAGTTGGATGGTCATTGTCTGCGCGGCCTTTAGTGAAGGGGGAGCCGTTATCTCGAAATCACAAAGGAAGGGAAAGTGAAAACAGACCGGACAATCGCTCCGAAGTGAAAGAGAGAAAGATAATCTCGGCCATCTTGTCTCGTTCCAGTTCCCGGATATTCTTGTCCATCTGTCTCTCCTGCATCTTCCCAAATACTTACTGTCCCTCCTGCTCGCCCAAGTTCCTACCGGCTGTCTGTCACGCCAGCACTTTCAAACCAAACCCTAGCCTCCCGTCGCGTCTCTCACAGTATACAACTTACACACCCCCCTTCCCTTGCTGCTGCACTGCTCCAAACGCCCCCCCAAATCCGAGGCATGGTTTAGGTTCAAACGTTGCACAACCAGACCGACTAAGTGACTGACCGCCGCCTCCCTCCTGTCACCGTTTCCACCACGGTCGTTTGCACCTTCCACTTGCCCTTCCTGCGCCCAAGATGACAGATGTGGTTTCTACTCCCCGACCACGGCGGTCAACCTCTTCCTCCGGAGGCAACTCTGTCCATTCGGCCATGGAAAGAAGAGAAAGCCAGGAGACAGACGAAGGGCCAGACTCAGTGGGATCTGCTGGAAGTCGGTCGAGCCTGAGGAAGCGCGCTACTTCTTTCGAGATTGAAGAAACGAACAACAGCTCGAGGGCGAGAGACTTCAGCTTGGAAACCGGACTGATGGGTAGCGAGGGGGGCAAAGACTACATATGTCTCTGCACGCCCGCTCTCAAAGTTCCAAGACCTCGTAACGGTGAGTGATATGCCCATGTACTGTCCTTATTTCTTCCTCATCAGGGTCTGCCAATACTCTCGGCTGCATATACCTTTGCCGCAATCGCTCGTCAGAGTGACCGCTCAGACTGGTAGCTGGACACTTGTACAAGGCTCGTTGACTAACACTACTATTCTTGGATAGCCTTCATTTTATACAGACAGCATCACCAGGCCCAGGTCATCGCTCAGCACCCAGGTCTTTCTAATCCAGAGATATCTAAGATTATAGGAGAGCAGTGGAGGGTACAACAAGAGGACGTCAAGGAAAGTTGGAAGAAGCTTGCAGAAGAGGAAAAAATTCGACATCAACGCCAATACCCGGATTACCGTTATCAGCCTAGACGAGGAGGAAGGCCAGGAAGCCGGCCGGGCTCATCCTCAGGTGGAGATTCAGGAAGGTGCCCTAAGTGCGGAGGCAGATTCATAGCCACACCAAGAACGCCCTCAACCCCCTTTGTCACGCCAACGGCTGCAAAGTCCAGCATGCCTCTTCACCATCAAAGAGATATGCGAGGCGGCGACGGTGAGCACCTGCGACATGGTTTACCTGGTGGAAAGCAATCCTACCAATATCCACCCAGCAATCTGCGAGACGTTGACGAAGAATACGAGGCCATGTCGCCATCACCCGAGCTCAAAAGGCGTCGGTTCAACGCTGTGGGCCATTATCAGGCAGTGCCTTCTCCAGGTCCGTACACCGGCCATCCTCTGTCGAGACAGCCTAGATCGTCTCTAAGCATGCCGGTGACACCGCCTGCCGCGGGTTACGGGCCGTTGCCAGGCCCGTCGGCACTCTCGAAGACTGGCCATGGCGCCATGGCGCCTCCCCCACGACCGCATTCTCATACATATGCTGGATCGAGCCGCGGTTCGACGTTCGATGAGAGCCTTCGTCTGCCGCCTTTGCAGACACAGAGTTCTCCTCCGCTCGGTAGAGATGGTGACTCAAATGATCGCCCAAGCGCCCACCCTGCTACTGGCTTGGGAATCGTCAATGCAAGAGACGCCTATGCGCAGAGTATTGAGGCGATGATCATGACGATACCTTTCTTGAACAAGTTGAAGGTGTTGCAAAAGATTAGCCCGACTTTGGCTCCGCCAGGACCAACTAGCCCGGATATTGAGACTCGAGGCGCGGTAATCGCCGTTGAAGGGGCTGGCTCTCGGCAGCTGGAACAAGTAGGGGCAGTAATACATAAGTCTCTCCTCAGTTTGGGCGAGATCGACTTGAAGATATGGAGCGAAGCGCCAAACACGCCGCTATCAGCCACGTCGGCTGAAGAAGACGTCAAGATGAACGACACCGCCTCAGTCGCTATTAGCAGGAAGAGCAGCCAGTCGCAGCCGGGCTTGCAGGCATCGGAAATGTTTTCTAATTACATGCAAACCATGATGAAGTGGCATGAGAGGTCGCGAGAGATTGTTAAGCACATCACCACCAAGCCAGGGTTAGGAACCGATGGGCATCTGCCAAGCCGGAGGGCATCAGAGGGAGAGACTGTAGGATCGAGGCAAAGTTCGATTTCGGTGCCCGACTCATCCAAAACACCCATTGCTTTGCTCCCTGCGGGTTTTAGCTTGACCATCTCAGACAAATATGCTTGCATGATACCTATTTCGGACTCGTACGCTCCAGTTGACCACTGGCAGTGGATGTCAACACTGTGGCGGGGCGTCATTGGGCCAGACCTTGTCATATACGTCAAGACCGTAACGGAAGACGAGGCTACTCGAGGCGCTGTGGAGTTCAGAAGCCCCGGCATCATGTTGGTTAGAATCGCGCACGGCAAACCGCTGGACGAGAAGGCCGAGCGACGCATTTGTTTCGAAGTTATTGAATGGATTCGAGGAGCCAGCTTTCAAGAGGGGTTTGGACGAGTCTAATGAGACGATCGAACAATTTTAATGAGTAATCTTGGCAAAGGGAAAACGAGGTGGTAATTGTGTTGGAGTTGAAAGCCATGGATCGTAACTACCTCTGTTTGACCCTTAACATAGCGTAGGCGTAAATAGGATAATCTGAGTTTATAGAGCGAATTTAGCGTCCGGTTCCGGGGGGTGTATGAGGCGTGATGTTGTTTACACGGCATCATAGTGGACTTGATGCCTTCAAATTGGTTTGAAAATCAGCATCACAAGGGGTGGTTTAAATGGTTTGCATGCTACTTGTCAGCTGTTGATGAGCTGGTGGAGAGGCGACAGGCTGAGAAGTCATAACAGGTGAGACAGTAGCTCTCTGTAAAGCGTTCAAGGCGCTTCCTGCTTTGTGTTACTATTAATGATCTTGTTTGCATTGTTTGCATTCTATTAAATGAAGAAGCATTTGTATAACCCTAATTGTTCTTATGCTTGACCTTATGCTGACTTGTGCCGACGTCACTGACCTGTTATGGACCCTGATTTACAAGGCACCCACGGACCAATCAGGGACATGCCTCAATTGACATCACCCCAGATGAACCCCTTGTAGGTACCATGGCCGCTGCAAGCTCCAGGTCATAGCGCGTTTATCCGGCTTGACGCGCTCCAGAATGCCCCTAAGTGACATCTAAACACAACGACCACACACTACGCATCTTGAGCCTCACAACTGGCACACGACTACCAACCACACCACATCGAATATGGTTATCTTTTAGTTGAACAAGCTTGCAACAATGTCGGACTTAGTTGTTGGGCAGACAGTACGACTGTCAGATGGCCGAACCGGCACGGTGCGCTTCGTTGGCAGCACCCATTTCGCCAGCGGCGATTGGGTGGGCATCGAGCTTGAGGACGACAGCGGGAAGAACGATGGCAGCGTTCAGGGTGAGCGGTACTTCGACTGTTCCATGGGATATGGCATGTTCGTGCGACCAACAACGTTGGCAATTATTGCCCAGGCCCCAGCGACGGCGGCGAAGCCAGCTCGGAGGCCCAGCCGGCCAAGTAGTTTCAATCCGGGCGCTGGACGGTCCACGACGGACTCCGGGTTGACTAAAAGGATGAGCCTCAATGCTCCAAGCCCAACTCCGGGGCCTAAGACGCCTCGGCCATCAAGTATCTTGAGGGTAAATGCAAATATATCGATTTGTAGCTAGGGACGGGATTCACTAACCAAGCATACGCAGTCACCTACTAAATCGCCCACAAAACAGTTAGGATCGGCCACCTCAAGCAGCGTACCATCACGAACCACAACTCCATCCAACACCCGCACATCAGCTGTCGGAGCTAAGACGCGACCGGCTGTTGGAAGCTCCCGAACATCCATGGGACCCCCGCCGATACCTACCTCCCGAGCGACAAGGCAGCCATCAACATCCTCAGCGCCAGCACGACCAACGACTACAAGACCGACGAGCGGTCGACTCTCAATGACTGGACGGACCCCCTCTGCCAGACGAACTTCTGCGGACTTGGGAGGCGGGAGAGCTGCGGAAAGTGGTGACGATGCTACCTCACCATCCAAGGATAATGGCGAGAGTAGCCCTGTACAGGCCCGAACCAAAGCTCTCGAGAAGCTCACGGCGGGCTCTTCAGGACCTGCGAGTACAACCAATAGACCAGCAACGACAAATACCGCCCGTTCTACAACAAATGCTGCCGCTGCTAATAAGGAAATAGAGGACCTCAAGGCCAAATTGAAGGTTCTCGAACGAAAGAGACTAGAAGATAGAGAGAAGTTGAAGCAATTGGAAAATATCCAAGGCGAGAGGGACAGATTTGAGTCTATCATACAAAAGCTGCAAGCCAAGTACCAGCCGCAGCAGAACGAAAATAACGAGCTAAGGAAGCAGCTGAAGGAGGCAGAATCCCGGTTCGAATCAATCGAGGCCATGCAGATGGAGCACGAGACAGCTTTGGAACTGGCAACACTAGACCGAGAGATGGCCGAGGAGACCGCCGAGGTTCTTAAAGTTGAGCTTGAGGCTCTGAAACAAAAGTCAGAAGAGTTGGAGCTTGAAGTAGAGATTCTCCGCGAGGAGAATGCTGAGTTCGGCCAGGGTATGACGGCGGAAGAGCGAGCCAGTACCGGTTGGTTGCAAATGGAAAGGACCAATGAGCGACTTCGTGAAGCTCTGCTGCGACTTCGGGACTTGACGCAACAGCAAGAGGAGGAGCTTAAGGATCATATCAAGACTCTAGAGGACGACCTGCAAGAGTTTGGGGTCGTGAAGGAGCAGTTTGAGGCGGCCAAAGACAAGCTTGCCCAATCTGAGACGGCTGTCGAGGACCTTCGGCAGCAGTTAGACAATGCGCTTGGTGCTGAGGATATGATCGAGGACCTTACCGAGCGCAATATGAGCATGTCGGAGCAGATTGAAGAACTCAAGGCCGTCATTGAGGACCTCGAAAACCTGAAGGAGGTCAACGACGAACTTGAAATCAACCATGTGCAGAATGAAAAGGAGATGCAGGAGGAACTGGACTTCAAAGACAGCGTCATTGCAGAGCAAGCTCGGCGAGCAGGCGAACAGGAGGAGGCTTTGGAAGATATGGAGTATACGTTGTCTCGATTCAGGGGTCTGGTGACAGCTTTACAAAGCGACTTGGAGGATATGCGGGCATCGCATGCTGTCACCGAGACGGAATCTGAACAGCTCAACAGCAAGTCTAGAGCCATGATGGATCTCAACATGAAGCTGCAAATCTCTGCATCCAAGGCCCAGGTCAAGACCATTGACCTCGAGCTTCGCAGGTTAGAAGCCCAGGAAGCCGAGCAGCACCTCGAGATTGTCAAGCTCTTCCTGCCTGACACTTACAAGGAAGATCAAGACTCCGTCCTTGCCCTATTACGATTCAAAAGATTGGCATTCAAGGCAGAGCTCCTTCAAGGTTTCATCAAGGAGCGTGTCAATGGCCAACCGCACCCAGGCCAAGAGGATGACATCTTTGCAGCTTGCGATACGATTGATAAGCTTACATGGGTTGCTTCTATGTGTGAACGTTTCACGGCTGCCATCAGCCACTGCTCAATCGAGCAGTTCCAGCGTTACCAGAATGCTCTGTTTGAGCTGGAGCCCGTGGAACGCGCCCTCAATGGGTGGATTGATGGGTTGCGCCGTGATGAGCTCAAGGAGAAGAAGTGCGCGGACGAGTTGCAACGTACCATCGCACTCATGTCTCATCTCGCTGAGGTCCATCTTACCAACGACCTGCCTGACTTCGCCGAGGATATTTATATGCAAACGCTCGTGATGCAAAGTCACTTGGAGTCGGCTGCTTTCACATTTGCCACAACACGAAGCATGGTCCAGAGAGTTGTGCCCGCCGAGTCTGACGAGGATGAGATGGCTCAGCACTTCAACAAGAAGTCGGAGCTGGTTGTCAGCCAGACCCGCAGCACCAAGGTCATTGCTGGCAAGGCTGTCAGAGCTCTTCAAGACCTTAAGGCTAGGTCCCTGGCGCTGCCACAGGAGACCAAAGAGTCCTTCGAGCAATGCCTGGATGCCACCCGCCAACTCACCGCCTTGGCCCGTGAAATCGGTTCGGACCTTCACCTGCTTCTGCACGAAGAGGGTCGGACTGAGCCTTACACCTACCGCGAGATACAGGACACGATTGCGAAGTCCACCGTCAAGGCTGCATCGTCGAGCGAGTCCGATTTGTTTTCAACCTATCTTTCTAGACTGCGCACCCTCACAAGCCAGATTTCCGACCTGGCTGCCCTTAGCTCGGATCTGGGCCAAACCCAGGAGTTTGATGTCAGCCCTGCACCATGGAAGCTGCGTTCTCAGGAGCTTAAGGCCACCAAGACGATCCCCATTGACGCCGAGGAGGAAATGCGCCGCCTTAAGGAGGAGCACAATGAAGCGCGCAGAGCCATCGCGCAGCGCGAGGAGACACTTAGCACAGCCAACCTCAAGATTGAGACCCTCGAATCGCGCATGAAGGATGCTAACGCTAAGGCTTCTCGCATCGAAGACCTTGAGGCCCAGATTGAGGCTGCAAAGCAGCAGGCTGCCAGCCTTCAGGAGGACATTGACAAGCAGGATCGCGAGCTTAAGACTTTGGAGACTGACCGTGACAAATGGAAGAAGATTGCAGGCGACAGCAAGGCATTCGCCGACGGTGCTGGTGCTGCGGGTGCCAAGGCAGGTCAGGAACGGGCGGTGGCCACCGCCCGCGAAATGGACGCTCTGAAGAGCGATATCGCCAGCCTGCAGGCCGCTGTACGCTACCTCCGCGAGGACAACAGACGTGCCAGAACAACGGAGCAGCACAACTACGACTGGCTTGCCGAGCCGCTAAGTAAGCCTGCATCCATAGTCGAGCAACGTCGTGCGCTCGTCGTGGCGGAGGGCAAAGACGTACTAGGCGAGCTGGTTAAGTTCACGACCTCTGCAAGGGTATACGACCTGAGTAATCTCCCCGAGGACAAGCTGGCGTGGAAGCCAGCACGCAGCACGCCTCAGTATCACGCGGCCAAGCAGAGGGAGGATCTCGCGGCGTGGAAGAGTTGGCGGGATTCGGTGCTGAAGAAGTCAGAAGTGGTCCTCGGCCGCAAGGATGCCACGGCAGCCGCGGAGAAGAAGCAGATGATGAGAAACGTGGCAGCCAGGCTGCAGATCCGCCTGCCGGGCGCGGATGGCAAGATGCTGCCCGGCGGCGGGCGGGACGTGCAGATTGTGGGATCGCGCGAATGGGAGGGATTACAGGGCCGATTGGCGGCAGTATGATTATCATGCAACGATGCTCCGTGGTAGTAGAACTAGTAGTGACTAGATACCCCCATCCTTATGTCTAGCATCTTATTTCTGTTCAGCTTTTTTTTGTACGTCTTGTAGTGTCTCCAATGCGTGACATCGTAAATGGTTTCGTGGTCCCGGATTTTCCTCATGATATGCATGTCTTCTGTCTAGCAATGACATCTTTTCTTTCTTTTTCCAATTCGAGACCATCTTTAAACCCATTAAAAAAAAATACCGAATCTCCGGTATGCTGCCCTTGGCCGCGCAAATCAGACTTTCCCCTTGCCCTTCTTCTTCTTACTCGCCTTCTCCTCCCCGCCGCTACCACCGCCGCCGGCCTGCTGGCCCATCAGTGCAGCCATCGGGTCGCCTCCGCCTTGCATCTCCTTCATCATGTCCTTGAACAGGTTCTCGCTGACGCCGCCGCCCGTCATGGCAGGGCTGATATACGGCAGCAAATCACCCATCTTCCAGCCTCTCGGGACTGCGGGCTTCGGCCAAGGCTTGTTCGGGTCCGCAGCGGGGGCGCCCTGCACGCGTGCCTTGAGCGCCGCGCTGTCCTCCGTCGTGGGGTTCTCCTTCAGGTGCTTCGCCACGAGGATGTATAGGTGGTGCTTGTTCTTGATTTCGGGCATTCCGTAGGGCTTCTGGTTGGGCGACGCCTTGCCGCCGTCTTTGCCCCTTCCAGCCTCGCCGCCGAACCGTATCCTGATCTTGACTCGTCCGGGGTTCGCCCAATCCTTGGGATGGAACTTGGCCGGTTCGAAAAGGGTGGGCAGGCGCAGCGACGCGCAGGCGTTGACAATCTCGCGCGCGATGGGGTTCATGACGGCCAGCTCGCGGGGCACGCGGCGGCCCTCGGCACGGGTGCGGCGTGCGTCAAAGTAGACTGGGTACAGGCACTGGAAGTCGGCGTACTGCTTGGGATCGCTGGTCGTCTGGAATTCGGATGAGCCAGCGCCTGCGCGAGGGGCGGCGTTGGCTGCCGAGGGGATGTTGGCGGGGTTGATGCGAGAGGCTTCTGCGCCTGCTGGTATTTCCGACGACTTGGGTTCAACTCGTCTCATAATGTCGTGGTCGTTGAACTCGTCAATGTCGCCCTCGGAGGGATCCGAGGCCTCGAGGTCGCTGTCTTCGACCTCCTCTATGCGTGGGTGAGACATTTCGGTGGTCTAATTGTGGGTGGTTTCGTCGAATTGACAGTGTGTGTGGTCGATTGTATGCGTACGTAGACCGGGAGCACAGCGGCGCTGGATGTCTGTTTGTTGTGAAGGTTGATGCTGGAGGTGAGGATACAGTTGTCGATTGGGAGGAGGCTCTACTAGTCCCCTCTGGGATTTTGGCAGATGTGTGTGGGGTTGGGAAACGAAGGTTCGCCGCGGTGGTGGGGTGAATGGCAGGGTTTAGCTGTACATGCTGAAGCGGGTGAACAGCTCAGGTGGCAGGCCGCTTGTTGAAACGTCATCTGAAAACGCGCTGGAAGGGACTAGTTTGGCTTGGGTGAATGATGTGGCATATATCATTGTTTAACACACGCGTTGCACCTTTTCTCTTTTTGTTTTTTCTTTTCTTTTTTCATAGAGCACTTTTAGTATGATTTCGGCCGCGGTCAAAATTATAGGCCAACATGATGGTAGTTAACGCGAGACTACTGCTTCCAGTTGACTTGCATCTCTGGTGCGTCTGCAAACGAAAGGACCACCAACTTCTCTCCTACACCACCTTGGCTAGCCTCCACCACTCGGGAAGTGTTTTCGGTTTTTTCTAGTTCTCGATAATCTTGGAGTTCTTAAATTTCGTTCCCGGTGGGTGATCAGAAACCCTGAACTTGCAATATGGATGTGCGCAGGTGTTACCGACCACACTAGGGCACTGCAGGTAGACTTGTTAATGATGAGATGTGAGAAAACACGGGCCAAAGCCTTACATGATGTCCATAAATACAGTTCTCCACGTCGCATTCTTGGCCGCTAGTGCATGGATTCAGACGGGTCAAATGAGCAATAGCATTGATTTCCTCGTTGTTAGGCTTATACTTGTGCTCAAAGCAGCATTCATCCCCTTTAGCGCAAGGGCCACGCAGATAGTGATTGTTGCACAACTTGCTGTTTCCTGTCCTTTTCTTGATATTTTCCAAGGCCGCCTGGCTGATAGGGATTGGAGGATCAAACCCACGCGGTCCGACGTTCCATGTTGGGCCTTGTGTTTTGGGCTGGGGAGCATGCCGGATTGGAATATTGATGCTTCTGTTCGCTAACGGGGTGGTGATTTGAGGTGGAGGGCTTGCCTTGGTCACACAAGCCCAGGAGGAAGGCGTCGACGTGGAAGCCGGCGAGGAAACAGCTTGTGGTGGCGATGAGACCATCGCCGGCGCTGGCTGCAGATATGCTGCTTCGACACATCGATCACCACATCGATCGATCAGCTTCTGGTCTCGGAAAAGGCTGGGAAGGGGGTCCAGGATGTGGACATTGGTGTTCTTCAGCTCCCGGACCGTCGCAACACCCTCAATAAGGCTGACTCTCACACGAGTGTCTGTGTCTTGAAGGATTTCATCAAGGAACGGGGCATATCCGGCGTCGTGGGAGATGCCCAGCAAAATTTGTTTGCAGTTATGGTTTCGTAAATGCCATCGTGTAGCTTCTGCACAGTGGGGTCAGCAAGAAGCCCAGCCTAACAAGGGCGTCATATCGAGGCAGCTCCCGCTACCAGGTCGCGTGACCTTCTGAGAGCCGCCATGCAACCAGGACAACCAGAGGTAACTATACCTTTAATTTTGGAATCGGCACGTTCTTTACCGTGGCCGACGTCGATAAAATCAAAAGAAGCTTTGGCCTGCGTAAAACCTAGCGAAAAGTCCTTCAGATAACCCTCGCTATCCAAGCAGCCGTCGCGACGCATAGCTCGTCCAAGGCCCGACAAATTTGCGCAAACCTTGGCAATTATCTCGACTTCACCAGACTGACTTCCCACATATTCGGCGACGGCGGATCGAAGGGCGTAGGCGGCCTGCTTACCGCCCTCGATACCCTGGTTTATTAAGGTCTCTTGAAACTGAAAGGCAGCGTCCACGTAAGTAGTCTGCGGATAAGGTGGGGTGAAAATAAGTAGGAGATGCGTACAAGGAGGCCATCGCCATCAATTAGGATTAAGACGTAAGGATTGCGGTTCTGTGAAGTTTAGTCGTACTGAGCACACCAAAACGGTCTGCTTTCTGCAACAAGGGGTACCTCTCTCTACCTTAATGTAGTTATAATCCGATTCCAGTCCAGACAATGTGTGCTGCAATTCTCTTCTAGAAACCGTGGCGTGTTCAAGGTCCAGTTTAGCGTTGCGCAGCTCCTGCTTCAGGAGCTGGTTTTCTTCGCCATATGAGCCCTGAAGCTCCTTGCAATATATCAAAAGGTCCTAAAGCAAACGAAAGAAAAAAGAGAACAATGTCAATTATACGGGAACCCTTCAAAAAAAAAAAAAAAGCTTTATTTATGCGGCGAAGGAGAAATGTTGATTAGATGGGGTAGGGGTCAGAGTAGTTCATCTTGTCACGCCGTTGCCCAGAAAACGGGACGGATACGACAGATGTAATAGCAAAGGGGGGTTTGTTAAGCAGAAGACACCACAGCGCAGGATAGCGGCGGATTGAGGATAAGGAAGCTGGGGAAAGGGTCTTTGCGCTGCTGTGGTACGCGGGGAGGAAACGAAGCATTGGTCTGTCTGCGGACCAGAATAAAGCTTAAAGACAAGGGGAGAGTATGGAAAGCGGAACCCACCTTAATCAGCTCGTCGCTGGCATTTTGATAACCCTGTAATGTTTGATATCGGCCAACAAAGTCCATGATCTCTGTGTTCATGGCCATGGTTTTGACGCCTTCTGCGGTTCTAAAGCGGACGGCAGAGGGAAGACTAATGTCAGGAGAGGGTAAAAGGGAAGACAAAAAGGGCTGGCTCGCAAAAAGGTAGGGAGTAGCAGGGATGGTCTTGGTGTTGGAAAACGAGGTGGTGGTGGTTGTGTTGGTCGACATATGGACTGGGGTTGGGGCTTGGCCAGTCTGTTGGTGGTGCTGCGTTCTGTCTGCTGCTAGATGGCCCAAACCGAGTTGATGCACTTGTTCGCGCTGAGTGATGCAGGTAAGAGTTGCCAGGGAATTCTGTACCTGTGTTTGGGTCGCGTTCAGTTTCGTTAGCCGCCTAAGACAGATTAAGATATGCCTGCTGTCTGTATGTGTACACCCTCCCACCTTGTCTTTTAGTTAAGTTGTAGCCGTTGAGGCAGGCTGCTGTCACTGGAGAGTAGGATGCAAAGTATTGGTCAGGCTGGTGCGAGTGGCACGAGTGGTGCAGGCAGGTAGGTAAAAAGTTTGTGTGGCCGACCCCCGTCCATGCAAGTCTTGGTGAGCTGCAGTGCGGGAAAAACTCGTGTGTGTAGCAATGAAAAGATGAGGCAATGTCAAGAGTTTTTTTTTGAATTTTTTTTTTTTAAAAAAAAGAAACGACCCGGGTGCAACCAACCGGGTCAAAGTATGATCGGCGATGGATGGAGAAGGTAGGTAGGTTGAAGGAAGTATATGTTCAGACAGGGCTAGGTCAGGCTGCGCCAGAACAGGAATGCGATGGTTTCTGGATGCTTCGTTAGGCTACTTTCGTGACCTCAACCCAGTGCGAGGTAGGTAGACCAGTTGATGCAGAGAGTATCTTGAGGCAAGAAGGTGGTTAAATAGAGGAAAGCAATGCGATACACAGCCAGATCATAGAGTGGTGAGATGTGATGGATGGATGCTTGTATGTTTGGGGATACAAGACCACGCAGGCCAACAACAAAAGTGGCGAACACAAGGGTTCTAAAGAGGCAACCTTGGAATATTCAGCTGGTCTAGTCTGACCTGTCTGGTTCTCTCAGCTTTCCTCGGAGTCCGCAGTCTTATAGAGTGGGTTCCCAGCTCTGCGCGGATCGCAAACAGCTTTCTAGATGCCGGTTTATGGTTCCCGAGGGCTCACCTAGAGAGTAAACAGAGAGCGGTGAAGCAGAATCATGCATGTCTCCTCGTAGATCCCAGTAGAAATTTTGCAGGATGGGGAAAATGTCTGCACCCAAAGCCCGGGAAAAACCTGGGGGGGGGGTAGACGCGAAGAGACGAAAAGCTGTAAAGCAAAAAGAAAAATAGACGTGGAAAAAAAAAGGGAAAAAGACAAAAAGTAATAATCCGATAAGATGTCAGACACGCCACAACGCCCTAGCTGGCGTGAATTGATTTTTCCCTCCCTCGCTCGTCAGTAAACCAGGGAAAAAGCAGAACCATCAAAATGACAAAAGATCACCCACCAGTTGTGTCTCAGTCCTTTCGGATAGGAAGCCGTCGTTTGAGTGTCCTTAGCTCAAATCACAGTACGGATTCTTTGACGTCGGCTGACAGGCGTTTTCACTGTAGACAGAGACCAAAAGACGAACACTTGATGTATTTAGGGGTATATTGAGGGTAATAAATGCATCTTTGTGCTTCTGCGGTTATCGCGTCTTGTACCTGCCCCAAACTGCAAGCTTGAAGTGCTTTTCCTGGCCTGGCCTGACAATGGCATTTGTGAAGCACCTTATAGCCAGTAACAAACCCTGGGCCTGGTAGCTTCTCCGCTGGCGCTAAATTGATACCGTGGACCCCACACCTTAGCGATCCCCCATTTAAACAGGGGGACCTCCAACGTCAATCAAGTTCATCCTTGAAAATAACCCGGCTTAACCCACCAATAGGTGCAGCCAATGGTAACAGCCCAAGGTCATGTACTCAGCCGCCGCCACGGCGAGTCCTCTTCTCATTCATCTGTCTCCATCTGGCGTGTGTAGAGACCCAAGGCGCCCCGCCCGTTTGCTTTTGATTTCTTGCGACCTTCCTACTTGCATCCGGGGCTTTCTACTACATCCCCTAAACAAGACCTGGGCCGCTCGTCTCTGTCGGTGTTGTCTTCACTCGAGCCACACACATATCCAGGCTTAGTCTTAAGCAGCTGTCGGGTCGTACTGGTTCAAAATGTTCCACACGCTATCGTTTCCGAAATCTCCTTCAAAAGTCTGCCCCGCTGCTGGGGGCGGCGGCGGCGTTGCTGCCCCCCAGGCTGGTAACGAACCATCTTCCGGTATCCCGTTGAGATCATGATAAATAAGATCACCCATGGGAAATAGCGGTGCAATCGAGGTGAAGTCCCAGCTATTAGGCATCGTCCATTCTGAATGTGATGATGGCAAGGGGTATGACGATGTTTCGGGTGCTGTTGGTAGCGATGTGGGCGTTGCCACAGTGCTACTCTTGCTTACAGGCGTATCTGCCGTATTCGTTGTTGTCGACACCGACCCCCGCCCAGAGACACTGCTGCTGCTGCCCTCCGTTGTCGTTGTCGACGCGGGCGTTTGCGATGCCAGACTTGACATGCTTGGCGGCGGCGCTGGGTTTCCGACTGCTTTCTTGAACTTAAAGAAGATCGCTTGCAAGACACCCTTTGCCGCCTTTGCGAGAGGATTTCTCTCTTGCATGGCTTCGAATCTCTCTGTTGTCCAATGGAAGTGCTGCATTGCGCTTCCAGCCATGTCGAGGTTCTCCTTAGGGAAAAGAATGTAAATCGACGCCATGAGTACCACAGCATCGAAGCTGCCAAAAAACAGCGAAAAGCTGCATCATGCGGGTTAGCCATCATGTAAAACATTCTCTCTGTGTCCCCGGTCTCTCTTAGATACTCACTTTCGCCATGAGCCAGGCTCCAGACCTTGGAATGTGAGCATCTGGCGGTGCAGCATTTCGATGCTTGCCTTGAGTGCTTCAGTCCGGCTTTTTTGCCTATTGAAGATGTATGGCCTATGTAGTGCCATCAGGTTGAAAAGGTTCATCTGTGGCAAGTAAAAACGGACCGACTGAAGCCAGTAGCAAGACGGTTCGTCATCCCACCTTCGGTCGGGATTCTCTAGACGAAAATAAGCAGGAGCCATTTCGTCCAACTCCATGCACATTTGGTGTACGCGGTCGACCTTCGCATAGTCTTTCGGACACGGGCCATCATGTTCCAACTCCAGTATCTCCCGCATTGGACCTACGAGCTTGAACGCCCATATACCCCTAGTCAATGGCGTGGGTGGATCTTTCTCGTCATCTCTTGGCGCAATGGGTGTTTTACGACGGTCTTTCGGCAAAGGCGTATCTATCGGAAGACTTGGTGGAAGTATACGCCAATCGATGCTGCCAGGACGTCCCAAGACAAGTGCACAATGAATATCCCTATTGCTGTTAGTGAACTTATGCCGCACTATACGTGCTAGTTCGCAATACCCACCATGTCATGAGAACCATGTACAACTTGCGCCTCCTCTGAATCAACCACATGTTCTCCAGAACGTCTTCAGTTTCGTTGCTGACTGGCTGCGGGTCCAAACTGTCTCGGTGCATGCCGATCTCTTGAGCATCTCTAATAGCGCTGCCAATGGCGTGCCACTTCGCTTGCTGTCAGTTATGAATGGCTTGCGAGAATGCATCTCAATCACTTACCGACTCCGTAACTTTGGCCATATATTTCAAAAATGCAGCCCGGAGGAATGAAGCTTGAACCGTCGTAAGAGTTATCTGCCGCTTTCCTAGCAACGACAAGATGCCCACCCCGGATTCGCTATAGTCTGCAGCAAGATCCTCAAAAGTCATGTTACCGGCATATTTGAGATGTTCATAGAACTCATGGGAACCTTCAGGAAGTATCAACAGGGCCGTCGCTAGCACCTGGAATAGCAAGGCGGGAAACACTCTTAGGTCAGGCGAAAGCCCCTGGGGCCCAGAGTTGGAAAGCACATTAAAAGGGAGGTTGTTCCATTCAGCGAACTGTTGCATGAAAAGATCCTCCTCGAGCGCGTAGTATTGCCAATTGAACTCGCGAAAATAGACCTCAACAAGCTTCTCGATGTAGCCTTTGGCGGGTAGTTGTCTAATCAAAGATTTGTAGCGCTCTTTTGTGGCGAACTGGTCCTCGACTTGGCTTGCACCACTCAAGTGGGATAATGAGCCGTCCCCATTTGCGCTCTCGATTTTTCTCATGAGGCCGAGTGTAGATGCCCCCGCGTGGGAGTAGCCCCAGTTCGCCGCCGCATTGGATAGGCTTTGGACTTGCGTCGTCCTCGAACCCTCTGCCTCGGCTTTGCGATGTTCCTTTGCCGTCGGCGCGCCCGTCTCGTATTTGCACGCGTCCTGTTTGTTGCGTGACCTGCAGTTGGCGCAGGGCAGGTCTCGATCACACTGCGCAACACAGGTTAGACCTCCATAAGGCAATCTAGGGACTACCGCAAGGGAAGACCAACCTTCTGCTTCCGACGGTGGCACTCTGTGCAAGATATCACAACCCTTCTGCGCTTTTTTGGTGGCGGGCGAGCCTCTTGGGTCTGGTTTTGCTGGCAGCTTTGTGCTGGTGTCGGATTTTGAATCTGCCCTTCCCGCGCTGGCGGCGAGTTTTCGGGGCTGTCGCGTCGGTCATCGGCCATCGTTGGCCTTGATTAATGATCGAATCTTCTTGAAAGCGGCGGTCGGTAAGCTGGCCAAGTATACAATACGCGATGCGGTAGGCGGCTCGAGGAGCGATTTGCTCACGTAGCCAGATTCGTCGCCTTAGTCGCCAAGTCGTTAGCTGAGTGCTGCTGTCGAGTCTTTGGCTAGTTTAGGATGTCGTTGATCCAATCGACAGTATCTAGATAGATGTGCGCGGGCAGAAGGCTGCGCACCTAGGATGAAAAAGGCTACGAACAAAAAACAGTATTAAGAATGACACTACGCGTGGTGGTAGCCTTTGTCGAGGATTTACGGTCGGCGGCTTTAATGATTACGAAAGCAAGGAATAGATAGACGTGGAAATCTGGAAAAAAAATTAGTAGGACCCGCCACGAGCGATATCAATAGACAGGCCCAGCTCGGACTGCATCAGCCAGCTGCAGAAGATTAGGATCAGACAGACACGGAGGCAGAAACAGCAACGGGTGGCGGCAGTAGCAGCAGTAGCTGGTTCAGAAAACGCAATAGCTGGGAATAGGAAAGGTGTGTGATCATACATGTACACACACCTGGGCCCCAAATGGCAGGCTCTCTCCTGCGCTACACTACGGCAAGGCATGTGGCCGGTCGATGGTGGGGCCGATGGTTGGCCTAGGGTAACCCAGGAGCTCGGGGTAGACACCTCTTGGAACCTCCTGAATGTCGCGGTCCCGGTACAGTGTATAGGTTTGTGATGACGTCCGCTTCGAACGAACGGCCGCCTCACGATACATATCCTACCTCCCAGGACAGTTGCAGGCGTATAATTGGTTGATGGTGCGCTACACAGAGTGAGCTGGCTTGTCGCTCCCGTGGCTTGGGCTACTCTGCGGACATGGATTCTTCCCTTGGCGGGGGGGGGGGGGGGGGGATTGAATTTGGCTCGATGACCTACTAGTATCTGGGAATGTACGGGCTACCACACAGACAAGTCAGGTCAAGGCGGCAAGCGTTCCGCACCGTTCGCATTCCCAGCAGCAGAAACAGCAGCAGCAGCAACGAGACCAGACGCAGAGTGAAAACATCGTGGAGGGGTAGGGCCGGCAGGGCGCCGACAGGGCACGCACGCCGAAAATGCCTTGCCATGCCTCGTGGACTCGTCGCACCACTGCCTTCGGAGTCGTCTGGAAGTAAGGACGACCATGACCACCAGCTGCCCTTGCTGTGCGCGTGGCAATGGTGTAATGTTGGACTTTAAATTCTCCATATTTGGGGGGGGGCAACCTTTTTGAATCTTGCATCTCCTCGAGAACGTGTTGCACTCCGGGGAACCTTGTCTACCAGACCAAGCCCATTCTACATAGTAGCATCAAAACTTCTCATCTCCCTTCGGCTTTTCATCCCCAGTATCAATAGCCAATCATGCTCGCTGTATTGCATGTGGCCCATGGAAGTCTATAGTCCTTAGCCATACCCTCCCTGACATGGCCAGGCTGTGCTTCTTCGCCGTTTAGTGAACCTAACCGTCACTTGCCTGTCACAGATCAAGTGTGGAGGGTGAGCAACGGCATTTGAGGTACCTAACTCTTCGATTGCCGATTACCGACAAGAAGAACGAGCCACTCAGTCTGCCCATGCCTAGATGAATAACCGGTCACGATCCACAGCGTCCTCCTCAAAGCTGGCGATCGAGAGGAAGAGAACCAATATTGCAGAGGCGGTCAATTCACTACTATATGAACTGTGACAGTCCACTATTGACCACAGCCTGTGTCAATGCCGACCCCGTCCTTTTTTTGTTGGCCCGTCCCGGATCACCATGTCCCCGTCTAAGAAACCATACAATTGCTGAGCCCTCTTCCGAAATCTACAACATGTGGACATCACTGTAGATCAATATGCATAAATCCGCGACAATGCGTTTGTAAACAGAGCCCAGAACCACCCCGCCGTCGACATAGCCGGAAAAAAAACATGTTGGGAAAAAAACACGCCTGGGTATCGGTGTGATGAGAAACCGCCTACGCTACCCTAGAGAGGTAGGCCTTCCAAGCCTTCCTGCGGTATCTCTCAGCCTCCGATTGAGGATCGCCCGCTTTAAGAATACCACGACCGACGATGACAATGTCCGTGCCGCAGAGTTCGACAAGTTTCTGCGGGGTGTTGTATTGTTGGCCCTTGCCATCACCGGCGACAGCTCCGTTCTCCTCGTCACCCTCAGGTGGCAGTTGACACCCGGGAGTCATGTGGATGAAGGCGTCCTCCGGCTCGGTGTTGAGGCTCTCCTGGGATACAAAACCCATTACGAAGTTCTTATTTTCCCTTGCGGCCTCAACGCACGCCTGTGTATACTCCTTGCCCATAAAGTTGCCGGCACTTGACATTTGCGCCAAAATAAGTAGGCCACGGTCCATCGGAGCCTCCTCAATGCCAGCATACAAGATTTCATCGCCGTGTGACTCGTTCCGGGGGAATCGGGGGGAAGGAGCAGGCTCAAAGTGTTGAGTCAGGGTGGTGATCGAGACAATGCTGCCCTTGCGGCCATTTGCATCGGACGGGCGGGGGGTACCAACGGTATGTTCATGTGCGTTCAAGTTGGTTGCCTGGTCGTCATCGTAGTCGTCGAAGCTTTCTGATCTGGGCGTTCCCACTGTGACCGACGTCCTCACTTCGTAGGGGTAGCGCTCGCGCCATCTAGCAGCTGCATCGGCGAGAGCCGTGACAGCAGCCTTGCCAGGAACCATGTTGACGTTGGTAATGTGAGCCCATTCAATTATGCGCGCCGAACCGGCGACATACTGCATCTGCACTGTGTTGCCAATGTCACCAAACTTGCGGTCCTCAAAGATGAGAAACCCATGTTTACGGGCCAGAGCCGCAAGCTTGGCTCCGGTGCCGGTCTGCGGGTTGAAGTCCCAGCCGGAAACGATATCGTGGTGCGTTTTCAGGACGACGATGGAAGGGCCGACCTTGTCGGCTAGGTAGAGGAGCTCTCGTGCGGTCGATACATCAGCGCTGAGGCAAAGGTTGGAGGCTTTGAGGTCCATTAACCGCAATAAATAAGCCGTGAGCGGATGAGTGGCCGATTCGGCTCGGCTGGCGAAAGTCGCCTTCAGTGTACTGTGGGAAGTCATCCTAGCAGATGTCTGTGATACTTGAAGACAATAGTGGAATTGGATGCAAGTCGAGGTCGTGGTTTACAGAGTATGAGAGTGCACGAACTGGCCACAGAGCGGAGATAAAGTTTCCAACTGCGACGACAAAGCGGAGAGGAGTGATTCTTCGGTATACTCCTTAGAATATACAGTGGCGAGCCCAGTGAGGGGGAGAGGGGGAATTGATCGAAACGATATGGCTGAGAGAGCCGTTCGAACAGGGGTTTTGGAGAAGATGCGACAAGCGACACAAAAGAAATAAGGGTCGGTCAGCGCTTTCAGTGCCGTGTACGGTCTTTGGCCGTGACTTGGTGCTCGACGTTAAGTAAAGGAGAGATAGACAGACCCCGACCAGTGTATAAGGGCAGAAAAGGGTAAGGGAGAGGAAGAGAGAGTAAAGTGGGCTGGACTTTTAATGAAGACTAAAACACATAATAAGTAATTAGTTAGTGAGGTCGATGTGCGCAAATATGGCTGTGGGGGTGCGCTTAAGATTAGATAGACACTGAGGGCGGCGGTCTAAAAAAAAAAAAATTGGCCGAGGGGGGAGGGGATGGAGGGGTTCGCGCTCACTCTGCATCACTCTGTCCAAGAGGGGAGAGGAGGGGAGGAAGCGGAGGGGGACGAGAAGGGGGGAGAAAACGAGGAAACAGGGTAGAGGGCCAACAACGGGGTGACAAAGTACATGGGCGGAACGCCAACAAATCGACCAGAGATGAAGAAAGGGGACGACGAACACAAGATAGATTATTGGGCCAAGGAGGAGAGACCAGGAGCATAGCCCCTGACTTGGAATAAAAGAATTACACCACGGACGGCACTTACTATGTACAGACAGTACTTTCCCTACATTACCTTTCTGCGCCACATGTTTGAGTTGTGTGTGCATCAAGGCTTCTCTAGCTCGATTTTTCCACAACTCCTTTCGCTCTCTACTTTCATGACAGTTCTGTTCGCTTAAACTCTCCTGCACCTTTTCTTTTTGGCATTCGATTCCACCCTGCCACGCGCCTCAACTCTCGCTCTCAATGGCTTGTTTCATGGCCATCATCAATCGCAGGTCAGGTTCAGAGTGGCCAGGAACACCGCCGTTCTGGGACGGGCTGGGCGATCCTGACCCCTTCGGTACCCTGAATTGGCTAACGTGTGTGGTGTGGGCTAATTAAACTAGGAGATATGCCGACCTTCCATGTGGCATCCCAGCAAGCAGACCAGTCCATGCTGTCACCATCTTTTCAAAACTTCCTCTAGGCATACGGACGTACTGTCAATCCAGGCGATTGAATGAATCGGTCCCTAGCTCGACTTGGGCCCTTACCACGCCAGCGTAGTAAGAGAACGTGCAAGGTCGGAGAATGGTGCAGCAAGCCTCGTAGCGTTCCATGGTTGCTAGACGCGAAAAAGCTCGAGCCACGACATTCCTTGACGGGTAGAATGCCTGAGTCGATCTCCAAAGCCAAAAGGGCGTGGTCAACCAGGTGAGAGGTTTACTCGAACCCACCCATTCGCACGTTCTGGAACCAGACCGGCGTCCGAGAAAAGTATTTTTTTTTCCCTCTCTTTCTCCATTCAGACCTTGCGAATTGGATTGTGGTGAATAGGTCTGCAGCTGAGCTGGCAATTGAGGAACGTCGGGCTCCTAAAGCAAGAACGAATTCAAGATGCGGCCACAAAATCTGTACAATGCACTCGGGCCTTGCAGCCGCCAATTCGGAGGCGTGGGCCGTTCCAATCCAGTGTCTGGATATTCACGCTTGTAAGTGTTGCTTCAGTTTGCATTGATATGCTGTGCACATCTATCTTGTAGCCGTCCTATTGAATCTTGCCAGCAAGAAAGTATGGATTCTTGCATTGCCTGGTTGACAGGGTGTGGTGACAGCGAAAGCATACTTGGGCATGAACAGGTCATCATGACTTTGGCATGCTAGATTGGATTCTAATACGTCGATGATGATGAGAGGCAACCAGGTCAGTTGAGGCGGTCGGCAACCCTTTAACAGCGGTGAACCATGGGCTGGGTTACTGGTGCATGTGTTAACCGCAGCCGTCAAATCTAGTCGCCGGATGCGGTTTGGAAGGAATTCTGCGGTGTAGCCATTGCCCATGGTCCGCCGGGCGGGCCACAAAACGGTGCAGATTTTATGGCCAGATGCTGCAGAGTGCCTGGGCCTCAATTGTACCCTGCCTTCTCGTTTGTTCTGCTGTTACAACAAGACGGCAAGTCCGACGAACCAAAAAAACGGTTTACTCTTTCCCCGCAAGCCATGCTACGTCGGTATGGTGCCAGTGGCTTTGTCTCTTTAGGGGCTGTTCTTCAACGTCTTATGCCGGCGGCAGCTGTATGGGGTGGAGGTGTGTTTTCAGCGGCGGTTGATGCATGGAATCAATTTTTACTAAACAAAAAAAAACTAAGGCAGGCCCTAGAGCCAAGTGTAAAGAAGAACAAGAAGCTGACATTAAATGAGTAAGTACGCGGTTCCTGTATTCCGAAATGTTTCCAGTAGAAACCGGCGGCAGCGCCTTTCGCAGTGGAGACATAGATTTGACGCGCCGGGCCCGCCATCCGAAGGACCCCAAGTCGGACCCCGCCATCGGCTGGAACTCGTCCGTCATTTCAACCTAAGGGCCATGTTCAGTGACTCTGCTGTTGTCATAGAACCGAGATGGCCTCGGTTCCGGTTGCTGCTTAAATGAGGCCCGGGCGAACACACAGCCTCTCATGTTGCCCCCGGCACCTGCCGCACCTGCCGGCCGCGAAAGGTGTCATGTCGTCTTTTGGGTTAAATGGGTTTGGCGAGTGATAGCAATGATTGACGGCGAACACATGTTGATCAGATCAACAGCCAACCTTACGCAACTCATGCCAGGCCAGTGCCGTGCACGAACGCCAAGTACCTTAGCATCGACCTGCTCGTGCGCTGGTTTCAGTGAGGAGATTGCCCAAGTTTATTAATTGACCACAACAGCGAGAAAATCCGTGTCGTGCATTGGGTTAGGGCAACGAAGCACCAGTAGCCCAAAGTAGACGTTGTAAGGCATGTTGAGAGTTGCAATGCTCTTATTGGAGGCGGGAGCGTTCAAGATAACGAGGTACAGGGAACACTGTGGATTGAGAGACGGGTTCGAGGAGGATAAGGACCGTTTGTATGTCGTAAACAACGACTGGTAGTCAAGATAGAGAACCCAAGACATGCAAGCGTCACTTGGCACTACTGTGCGAGATCCATGCCACAAGTCTGTGCTGCATGTGTTTGAAGCAGTGTTCTGTTGATATCACGAGAAGGAAATAAACGGTGAGCCAAGACGTTGGACAAAAAAAAAAAAAAAAAAAAGGCGCAAGCGCTAGAGCAAGTAGACTGACTGCTCCATACTGGGCGAGATGGGAGGATTCAAGTTGGCCGAACGCGTTGAGCGGGTTGAAAAGGCGTGATATGTCACTGACGAATGCGAAGGGGGTTGTTGTTTCCGGATTCACCCCCGATAAGGCACCTCCATCTTCTAGCGCTGACTTAAAGCCCAGCTTCTTCATTCGTGGGGCTGATGCTGAGGTAGGGCAAAGAGCTGGTTCCCTCAGGTGTCTTGTCCATTTCCTTATCTGTGCTTATCCGACAATCGACTAGGTGGTGCAACTACACTAAGGGAGCAGGGCCAGGGCACTACCAAACCCCTGCTCGGGTCCACTGAAAGGGCAACTGGTGTCGAGGTCGACTGGCAGTGTGCGAGAGTCCGGGTGGTGGCCCACTGCAGATCAAAAATACATTGGAGATACGTAAGCCTGCACCAGGCACGTAGAAGCTGCCGCGGGTGCTACGTAACAAATGCTGGGCCTGGCACCTCAAGGAACGGCGCGGCACGACTGGGCAGAGCGGTACCCATCGTCCCCGTCGTGCCTGGGCCACAGCCAGAAGTAAAGAGATACCTTACGTAGCCCGTGGAGGAGCCAAGCACGATAAGTAATTTATCGGCCAGACAAACCTGAAGGGGAAAGGGAGGCAAGGTAAGCAAGCCCTCCAATATTTTCGACCGACCACTCCGTGCCGTCCGAATCCCACATCAGCAGGAAGCTTCTCATATTGTATCCATCCGCATCTGCACCTCAACTGGCCACCTCACGCTCCTTTGCTCTTGCACACCATACATGCCGCGCTCCCTTTCAACAGGTTGCTTTCGTTTCTTCGATCTGACACAAATCGAGTCTCTGCCTAATTAGGATCCTCGAGATACTGACCAACTCAACCCACATTCGATCCATCTGCAACCCTTTCTGGCCTTGGAGACGAATCCTGTCGCCGGAGCCACTTATCTGCTATCCGTGCAACCTCCACTGCAACACCGGCTGCCTCGGTCACCTCAACTACGCTGCTTAAAAGCTCTTCACGCCCCATTCGTGGACTGATCAACTTCTCCCATCCACTGAACGTTCTACTTTCTGGTCAATACCATCAGAATGTCGGTTCGACAGACGAGGCGCCAGGCCGCCCAGGCTGCCGCTGCTGCTGCTGCTACCGAATCGCCCAAAATCGCAACCGAGGAGACGACTGAACAGGTTACGATGAATGGCAATGGCGGCGGGTCAGCGCTTACGGAAGCCTCGGAAAACGCCCCTAAAGAAAATATCTTTCTTTTCTGGCCTAACATCATCGGTACGGTTGTCCAGCGAGCTTGGAGGCTTATTGCGACATTGCTAACTTTTGTGTTTTACGAAAGGCTACTCGCGTATCGTCCTTGCCGTCGCCTCCCTCTACTACATGCCTCTCCACCCCCGAACCTGCTCCCTGCTATACAGCGTATCTTGTCTTCTAGATGCCCTCGATGGATATGCCGCGCGCGCTTTCGAACAGTCGACGCGCTTCGGCGCTGTTCTCGATATGGTTACCGACAGATGTACCACTTCATGCCTCTTGGTATTCTTGTCTTGCGCGTTTCCCCGCTGGACCATTGTCTTCCAGATGCTTCTCTCGCTCGATTTTTCTAGCCACTACGTCCACATGTACGCTACCCTTACTATGGGAGGCTCAGATAATAGCCACAAGAACGTCGACAAGAGCAGGAGCTGGCTCTTGAACTTGTACTACACGAACAAGGTAGGTTGCTCACACACTTCCCTGTTTCTCGACTTATCCTGACACTTGGCTTTTCAGACAGTTCTCTTCGTGTTCTGCGCCCTCAATGAGCTTTTCTTCATTGCGCTCTACCTGCTGTCTTTCTCCTCACCTCTCCTCTCGCCGTCTCTGCTCAGCACTGTCTCCAACTCGGATGCCGCTCAGATCCAGGCCGGTGCGCAGGTCAACACGTCTCTACTTAGCCAGATCTTCCCGAATCCTTATAGTGCTGCTGCCCTTGAGATGGCCCGCGCGAACAAGATGGATTCCTTCTGGCCGTGGGTGCTCGCTGGCGTCAGCTTCCCTGTCATGGCCATGAAGCAGTTCATCAACATTGTGCAGATCGTGAAGGCAAGCAAGTGGCTTGCAGAGGGCGATATTGCCATGCGAAGAGAAAAGGGCCTTCCTAGAAAGGTGAAGAGCACCTAGGTGGGATATTGTGGAACACTACTGTAGTATCGGCACTACAAAACAATGGCACGGTTAACCTGAACAAGAGAATTTGCCTACAAGCAAACATCTGCTCTAGGGCGATGTGTTTCGGGGAGCAGGTTGGCCAAGAATCATCATCAGGTGGCTAAACGAACCAAGTCAGGCCACTGCTGGCTAAAAAGCTCAGTGATGGCCGGACTACCAGGGGAGCAGAATCGGCGGACCTGTGCTTCCATTTGGATAAGGAACTTGCAAGGGTATGTTGGACCACGGAGAGACAACGGGTTTTCCATGTGTGGGATCTAATGAACAATCACGGCTGGCCGCCAAGGCCGAGGGATGGCCCATCAAAGGACGGAAGAGTCGACTTGAAAGTCGGACCCAGGAGTCTGGAGTTTTTGAATTTGTCTCAATTATTTGTGCCTCCTGCACTAAAGCTTCATCTCACAGTAGATTAATTGATATTTCCCCATTCATAATTTCCAGAAAAGAGTTGATCATGACTGGCAATCCGAGATTGCAAGAATCCGTCTGGGTTGCCACGGCCATTACAGCCCAAGAAATGTTCGTTATTTTTGTCTTCGCCTATTACCGAGATAGCGCCTCATTTCGGCAGTGGCTTCCTTATTTAAGGGTGGAAGACGCCCTCGGCGTAACAACTTGTCCGGGCCAACCTAGACGGGACTCTTGGCATGAGAAGTCATCAAGTTTAAGCAGTCCCAGTTGCGTGGGACCCGGTTGCAACCATGATCGAGCTCTTACCGTGAGGGCTTCCATCGCTATCGCTTACCACCAGAGCTGCATGTCCCGGCCCGGACGGGTTTTCATCTGTTTTGGCTAGACCGTACCATGCCACCACGAGGACGCCTAGAAGGCCTGTTAGGCAACTAAAGACTAGGGCGACAATACCACGAGTGGTGAATCTAGGTTGGAGACGTATTAGTGTCATGCTCTGGACGAAGAGCAGCAGGACATGCAGATGGAAACAGTAGAGGCACAAACGGCTAGGGAGAAGGCATGTGTTGGTATTCGGAAACGTACCCATCTGGGAGACGAGGTGGGGGAGAATTCTCCCCAGAAAGATCCAAGAAGTCCTTCGAGTTGGCCGCAGCATTGCCATATATGGGGACGTTGCCCCCGGCACAGACATCCAAATGATCCTTTGGAATTGTAAGGCTCTTTTGCAGGTCTAACGGTGCCTCGACGAAGGTTGCTATCAAGCCAGAGGTAACATGCCATTCTATGTGGCAGTGGAAGAGCCAGACACCTTGAAACAGAGTATATGTGAGTTTTCTTGTACCCAATTTCAATCTCTGCGAGGAGAAGGCACTTACCCGGGTTGTTCGCCTTGAATCGCAGAACAATGTTGCCATTAGGCCACACGACTAGCGTATCTCGCCTCATTGGCACTTTGGGGAAGTCTGCTTCGGAGATGTTCGAATTGGCAAAAGTCCCGCCTTCCTCGGGCGCTCGATATAGCGCCTGGAAGTCGTGGCCATGTAAGTGAAAAGGGTGGCGTCCTGGGTCGAGGTTGTTGACGACGATCTGAACGACCTCGTCGCGCTCAAGGACGAAGCTATGAGTATAAGTACCGTACACTCTTGGGTCCGTTGCAGCGTCTCCGGACGAGAGGGCGGTGTAGAGTGTGGGGACTTTGGGGGACTTATAGGTGATGTCGTTGAAGAAAGCGTAATTTGCGCCGTCGCCGAGGTTATCCATGATGACATCCAGCTCAACTGTCTTGGATGGCGGGGGAAGCAGGGGCTGCTTATCGAAGGGAACAAGTGTCATGTCATCAAAGGGATCGAAGGCATCCAGTATCACAGGCGGCTTGGTCGGTTTTGAGTCGTCATAGACTAGCCAGCCCGTGACATTGTAGTTGAGGTCTGGTGGAAGATTGTCAAAGAGGGACTAATACTGTCAGTTAAAGTTTTAGGTAAGATGGGCATTAAGGATCGCCTCACGGTATCCATACTCCCGACCATGGCGAAGTTGGAGCTGGTATCATTGAGAGTTTTGACAAGGAAGCTGCAGCGCTGCGCAGCGGCAATGTAAATCATGCTCGCCTGTGCCGGTTCCGTGTATACGCCATCAACCTCAACGATGGAGATATTATGGCCCTCAATCCAGACATACTGACCGGCGAAGGCGGCCATATTGACCATTCGGAAGAGGTACGTCTTCCCAGGTTGGACACGCACTTTGAGGTTTTGAGTGTCGTTCATGAGGGCCGCTTGAGGGACGGGCTCTGCTCCTGTTGGGTTGCCCTTACTCATGAATTGTGGAATAAGATCTGCCATCTGGTCATGGTACCAGTCGGAAAGTGTTACGACCACCTCTTCGTCATATTGGCCTTTGAAGGGTGAGTTGGGGTCATGGACCACAAGAGGGCCTCTAAGACCATCTGGATATTGGCTGTGAGTATGCGAGTGGTACCAGTAGGTACCAGGCTGGTTGATCTGTGTAGTGTTAGAGAACCAGCTTTGAAGCATACTGCCTCGAATAGAAGCTGCTTACGGTGAAATTGTATGTGAATGATGCTCCTGGTAGAATGGCGCACTGGCTAACTTGTGAAGGCCCGTCCATGTGCGTTGTGCCATTCATGAATAGACCATGGAAATGAAGAGACGTTGACTGGTTACCCAAATGATTGTGGACATTGATGAGAATGGTGTCACCAATATTTGCGTCGATTCGCGGGATTGGCCATTCTCCGTTGATTCCGATTGTTGGGCGGTCAAAAGCACCATCTGGATTAGCAGTTACCCAACCAATATTGAAATTGTATGAAACTGTGGCTGCAAAGGCTGTTTGCCATAGTGCAGCTAGTACGCTGACTTTGTTCATTTGTGCAAGACAACCCATTGCGGATAATACCCCAGAGTGTCACGTTTCTGGTCGAGAACGACAAGAAATGTCTCTGTTATGCCTACCTTTTATTCTGTGGGTGAAGCAAGGGAAAAGAAGCAACGGAGGATGAAGGAAATGAACTGTGGCAGTTTTGACGGGACTGGCCGAACGGCAAGTTGTAGCGAGTGTGACCGTCTAGGGTGGCGTCTCTACCGTCACCCCCAAGGCATCTTATCAATCTGATCTCCCATGACACCAATTTGGACAATCAAAGCTCGAGACAAGAGAGGGGCTTGTTTAGTGCTAGACAAAAATCTCGTCAGATGCAATGAATGGGACATACGTCCCGCTTAAACCCCTCCCCCTTCTCAACCCAGAGTAGGCGAGGTATCTTTGCTTGACCCATCTGGTCATTTCTCTGGCTAATTTTGCTCTATGGGATGTATTTTTTCCTCATACGCCAACGGAGCGAATGCGACCAGAGATCGATTCGTTAGCCGGAATGTCGGCATGCTCTTGTCGTGGAACATTGCAGTACTAGTGGGGTGGTTCTGCGTTGGGGATCAGCTAACTAGGGTCCCCTACAGCCGAGAAAAAGCTTGTCTCTCCGCGCTAAGGTGCCCGGCTCCGCCCCAAATGTACCTAGCTCGCAAGCGATGGGGTCAGGAGAGAAACGTCTTCCTTTACATTCAACCGGCATCTTTTGTTTTGCCAGCTTTCCAGTCTAGCGAACGGCAATGAACGGCTCTGAACGAGTGGCGAGAAGGCTTCAGTATGTATTGTCTAGTCTCAGATTCTCCCAACGAAGTTCGAGATCACAGCAGTTGATGTACTGGGCGTATGCCCAAGTAAAGGTGATGGCTGGGTTCCACATCTCAAGCTGAATGTGGGCTGTCATAATTGCTTGAAGAGGCGCACCTAGTCTCTTTGACTCAGCTGGCAGATCAGCAGTGATGGGGGCATGCTTCATGGAATCCCACCTCGTGGACCCAGGCTAGTCAAAAGCAACCATGAGTAATGGGCAGATGGAGTGAAAGAAGTGGTTCGAGGAGTACCATTCATGGCTAGCTTGAAGCTGAAGCTGGCATTGACCGAGGAGTGATTCCTGGCAACATAGAATCGAGCTGCACCACCAATTTGCTGCACTGCTAAGCCCGAGTAGTTTCAGTGACGGGTTGAATGTATCCATCACATATTCAACCTGTCTTGAATATGCTGGAAGACGGCAGCTTGCCTGGTGGCTCGTTCGGAAAGACTTTCACCCAGCTGGTTTCTTTAGAGGACATCTGAAAGGAGTAGGGGCCTGGGGATAGACTAATTGTGACACGCTTTTTACTAAATCTTTTTCTGCGCTCCCAAAGTTTCAAAGGGGCCTCCAAATTGCGGATGGCAAGTTCCTCGGAGATCCTTGCATGCTGGAGACCTCACTTCGCGCTAAGCCAGGCAAGCTGGCCTGATGTTGGGATGCAAGATTTGAGCCCGGCTACTGGTCGACTAGAGGGAGCAACAAGAACTGAGGGGACTAAAAGACGCCAAAAAGCTTGTCATGCGATGCCATGACCTGGTCCAATGCAACTACGAGACTTTCCAACAAACTCATTGGCTCAACTCCATCGACTGCCCGACGCTTGCATCCTTGCCTCGCCTTTAACGCTCGGCCTATTTGTATCGCGCAGCTCGGCTACAAGCTCGGCCACATAGCTTACAGAGCCCTTCCCATGAAAAAGCCCATCCCATAGAGTGGCCTTACGATTATCGTGATATGCCCCGTGTCTCTCATTTGTCCTTGTCGCCTAGCGCTCCGCACTTTGGTCCTGCACCTTTGTGGTGGCCTTCCAAGACCCCCACTGGCCTGACCTAACCTTTATCAGGTTGTGTCTATCAGGTCAATCAAGTACCTCTTCTCGCCGAGCTTGTCAAACATTTGTTTATTACCTCTTTCCGACCTCTGCCTTGGCTTTTCTTCTGCGGCACACTTTGGCTTTTCTGATTGCCCCCTCCGCGCAAAAATGACTGTCGACGTTTTTTCCGTGCCCGTCTTTCTTGTCGTCTTTCGAGAGAGCCTTGAAACCGTCATCATCGTGTCGGTTTTGCTTGCATTTCTGAAGCAGACGCTCGATGGACCAAACAGAGACTTGAATGTGTACAAATCTCTGCGCAGACAAGTACTGTATCCCCCTCTTTGGCTCGAGTTCTGCTAATCTCTTTCCGCAGGTCTGGCTTGGTACCGGCATCGGCTTCCTCATATGTTTGATTGCCGCAGGCGTCCTTATCGGCGTCTTCTATAAGCTTGGGCGCAACAGCTGGGAAGCCCACGAACTGTATTATGAGGGTGCTTTCTCAATTCTTGCTGCCGTCATTATCACGATAATGGGAGCTGCCCTGCTCCGTATCGGCAAGATGCAGGAGAAGTGGCGCATTAAGCTTGCGAAGGCCATGGAATCCCCCATAAAAACTGGAGCCAACCGGGGATGGCTTAAACATTTTGCTGAGAAGTATGCCATGTTTGTTCTACCTTTTATAACTGTACTTCGAGAAGGAATCGAGGCCATCGTGTTCGTCGCAGGCGTGTCATTTTCAGCCCCGGCAACTGCCGTGCCTCTTCCTGTTGTCATTGGTTTGATTATTGGTGCTCTGGTTGGCTACCTCTTGTATAAGTGAGTAAATCTGGGCCACCAGGGCATTGGATTCGTTGGTTGCTGACCATAATTTAGGGGAGGTTCAACGGCCAAGCTTCAAGTATTTCTTGTCATATCCACGTGCCTTCTGTATCTCGTCGCCGCTGGTCTTTTTACTAAAGCTGTCGGGGACTTTGAGCAGCAAGCGTGGAACAACGTTGTTGGCGGTGACGCTGCGGAACTTGGGAACGGCCCGGGCTCTTACGACATTGACAAGAGCGTGTGGCACGTCAACGTGAGTTCTTCTCTCAAGCTACTTGATATTTCGGTATGCTGAACCCTTCCAAGTGCTGCAGCCCGGAGCTAAACGGTGGTGGTGGGTGGGGAATCTTCAACGCAATCCTTGGATGGACCAATTCTGCCACATATGGCTCTGTGATTGCCTACAACGTGTATTGGATCTTCGTCATGGCAGGATTCTTCCTCATGAGATTTCGTGAGACTCGCGGACACTGGCCCTTGATGAAGCAGGGTGCCTCACAAAGGCAAGATGGACTTGTTCGCGAAATTCGCAGCGGAAATGAGATACAGTGTGGAGGCGGGGAATCTGATAAATTAAAGGAGGCTACCGCCACGAAGACTGCAACAGGTTCTTCATGATCCTGAGTGGCGATGAACTGCCTGCTCATATGCGCCTGTGTCATGTATGGAGCTATACCACAGTGTACTAATGACGGACGGAACTGTACGATCCTGATATTTCTGAAGAGATATCGGCAATGTATGTTTCGCTAGATATCATTAACTGCCTGAAAGGCTGAAGTACAAGCCAATCTACTAATATTCGGGCGTCCAGTTCCATTTATCAGCAGTAAATAGCTTGTGAGCCATCTTATCCGCATATATGTTGCCTTCGTATCGAAGTCGCTGATCGCTTGCCAAACCACGAGTAAACTCGAACACCTTTTCCTCTTTATTCAAGCTCGTGTTATCGTCAGCTGGGATCCAACTGGCAGCCAAACGGTTGTTCTTCCAGTCAACTTGAGAAACAGAGAGCAGAGTAGATGACAACATCGACCGGATGTACTCTATAATAGGTTCGAGACGGGTTCGTATGCCGCAGTTGGTATGATGCTTATCAATCTGATAACTTGGTATTTGCTTCAATGTGGCCAATATATCTTCAATGTCGACGACTGACGAGTCTGGAATGTTGTCCAAGGAGCTAGGTCCGAAATCAACCACACCCATTAACTCCTTGCTTGTGAAGAACTTCAACATTTGGCCCAGTTGGAAACAGTCACAGGCAGAACTCGAGTCGTAACCAAGTTTGCATTGTCTCTCGCGAGAAGAGTAGAGAGCAAGGAAGTGGCGTTGTATAGATGCAATAGTGTTCAAGATGCTTTCTCGCCGATATTGCAATTCTCCTGGAAAGGGTAAGCCTCTGACTTTGTGCTGATGCACGACTCCAATACATACGTTCTAGATCATCTGGCAGGTTCCACCATAACTCTGATCGCGTGGGCTCCTCGATGGCCAAATTACTCCAGCGCACTGAACCGCGCAGAATGAGTTCGCGTGTGTAATTATGAAGTCTGGGTGGCTGCTCTAAAAGCCAAGCAACCAAGATCTTTTGCCGGAGTATATTTTCAACGTCAACAGTCTTCTTTGGCGTGTTGGTGCGAACAGGTTTGGCACTTGTAAGAGGCCACTTAAACTTCAAGTCGATACTGAGGTATCTCGAGACTACGGTTCGACAATCAAATCGATCCGCCAATATGGCTAGAGTAGTCACATGAAGCATATTAACAGCTGTGGATTGCATTTGCATCCCATGTATGATCCTTAACAAGTCCTCAAAGACCTTCTCACGACCAATGGACCGCGTAGCTTCATCGTCGTCGACGATGGTAATCCATGGCAGTTCCCTGGCGTCCACCTCGGCTAGTTTGAGCTTCTCAGCTGCCAGGCGAGCGAGAGTGTCTTCGACGTTGCTTGCTTCAGAAAACTGTTTGTTTCCGAGGAGGTTGGCAAAGTACCGCGATTGTTTTTTCAGCACGGAGAGCTTGACGCGGTACGCCACTCTGATGATCGGGCTTAGATTGGGTTGAGGAATGCGTGGGGCGCCGAATTTCTTCGCAGCAGCCTGCCAAGTCTTTCGAGCAGCGGCGATTGTTTCTCTGGACGTCTCGAATGTTACGTCCAGGACGATGTCTCCATCGTTTGCTATGAGTACAACAGGTAAATCACCCCATGACGGATCCGATGTGTCATCCTGAACCGGCGCCGAGTCTTCCATCGTAAGTCGGCGCAGCACGGACGAACTTGACTTTCTGCCAGAACTCAAGAATCAACATGTAGAGCTGAGATGCGGCTGTCTAGTTTAGGGATCCCGTAGACGAGTTGAGAGTGGGGAGTCTCCGAGCAGAAATAGTAGTCACTGACGTGGAAAATGAACAGGACTTGGTCATTATTTGATCGCCTCTTGGACTGGGTGTTGTGTCGCTGTTGTGCCTGTTGATTCCGCCGTAGTGGACCATACAGTGTATTTACCATCGATTCGCTATTCTACACGGTGGGGTATGTGCCTATTTGGTCTCTGAGCTTTGAACATGACAATCAGCGATGTGATGTGACCAAATCAATGGCAACTGCACCGGAGCAGGCCCCCTGTTTACCGCCTGCACGGAGTACAAAATACATTGCTTACCCGAATTCCAGGGTCGTCGCAGCCTGGCTGCAGCTAAGGTCAGACTGGAGTCGCTAGCTGGACAGGGCACAGAACTGAACGCTTCATAGTAGCCAGTCCTTCCCGTCCTTCCTTTCCTGTCGGTCTCATTACGTCGCCGGGCCCATCCATGATCCAACCGAGGGCCTGCCATGTGCCTTGGCCAAACCCAATCCAACAATTCTCACTGTGTTCGAACCAAATACGCCACCTCAAAGCAAATACGCGAACATTGGCAAGATTCCCAACGCATCATCTGAACCCATCTATCTATAGGCAAGCTCCTTTCAGGTCGCGACAGCATTGCGGCAGCTCAATGCCTCGATGTCGCCGACGCTGTAGCTGACGATCCCTCCCCTCTTTCGCCTCACACGAACCAAAGTCACGCACTCGAGAACCCTCAGGCCGTTGCCCATAGTTCTCTGCTTGAAGATTCTGAAGCCCATGGCTTCTGCAAGCAGTGAGGTCGTCCTATCTGAGCTGCTGCAGTGCCGGTGACGCTCCTGGCGTCCTTGCTTGGACCTCCCCATTCCCTCTATACAATGCCAGCTCTAGGACGCTACATCGCATCGCGACACCTTGCGCAACATTATGGAGTTATGCGAATTTTATCAGCCCCATCCGCTCGTACAATCCATACGAAATTGAGCATACGGGATAGAGATCCTCTCAAAGAGCAGGCTCCTTCCATCTTTCCACCTAAACGATACTCTAAAACAACGAAAGCATTGTCTCGAAAGCGCCTTACCCAACTCCAGGCACTGTCCGGAGGCACCCGACGCCTTACCCTCGAAGACTACGAAGGGCCAAGTTTCGCAAACCGACGACACTTCCATAATTACTTCGTCACCCACCTTCCGTCATCGTCACTACATCCCGATTCTCGGTCATCGTCTGGGCCTGGACATAAGTTGCCCCGCGATGCGTCGACTCCTCATATCCAGAGGCCGGGGTCCTCTCCGGCGGCGGCGGCGCTAAACATGCCCAGCCGAGACCTCACAGTCGTAAGAATCCCGCTGAGAAGAGCCAAACATCACTTTGGCGTCTTCTCATCGAGGGGCCAACGATCATATAACGAAGATACAAACCAAGCTGGCACTATAAGTATGCCAGCATTTGCTAAGAGGGCACCCGTGAGCCTGCAGAGGAAGCCTATACAAAAGCCCAATGAGGCTACTTCGGCGGACAGTGCACTTGGTGACCCTCAAGTCTTCTATTTCGGCGTGTTTGATGGCCATGGCGGGTCTCAGTGCGCCGAGTTTTTGAGAGACGAGTTACACGGCTACATTGAGCAAGCTTCGGCCGAGTTTGGGCTCCAGAGCAGCCTAAAAAGGACCTCCAGACGGCAGTCAGGCCGTAAAGATGAAGATGAAACCGACAGACATGAAGAGCTGGACATGAAATCAGAAGAAGAGGTTCGGGAGGAGATGCGTGTTCCTGAGCAAGACGCTCACGGCGTCGTAAAGAATCCTGAGAGAATGGAACCCATTAAAGGGGTCGAACCTGTCTCTGCCAAAGTAGACGATATACCGAAAGCTGCGAAGCTGCAACAGGACCTTGTGGAGCAGTACAGGCAGACCATTGGAGGCTACTTTCGGCGCTTTAACCCTGAGTTCTTCAAACAGCCCGAAGACATGGAAGATACCGGCAGTGATGATCCACCAATTACAGTGGAATCGATTCTCATGTACGCATTCCTCCGAGCAGATTTGGATTTTATCTCTGCTCAAGCCCGCAAGCCCGACCCCGACGATCCGCGCGTAGGTGACTCCCCCCTGAATAGTGACGAAATCCTTGGAGCACCACATATACCACCATCTGGCCACGGCATTGGGGGTTCATCACGCTTCAAAGGCGGATCTACGGCGTCAGTGGCTCTTATATCGACACCCACTCCGGCGCCGTTTTGGCATCCTAACGCCCAATCCACCTTGATTGTCGCCCATGTCGGCGACACGCGGATACTCCTATGCCAGACAACGACTGGCCTCGCGCAGCCGCTAACATCAGATCACCATCCCACAACTCCAACCGAAAGCCGCCGCCTACGCCGGTATGCCCCTGCTGGCTCTATGGTCTCTGGTGATAGTTTCGGCGAGGAGCGAATCATGGGATTGGCCAACAGCCGCTCCTTTGGTGATATGCGGAGCAAGCGCATCGGCGTATCAGCTGAGCCAGAAATCACTCGTGTCGAAATTGGCCCGGCTGAGTACTCGTTCATCGTCCTCATGAGCGACGGCATATCTGGCACACTCAGCGACCAGGAGATCGTCGATGTTATCAAGGAAGCCAGGACGCCAGAGCAGGGTGCTAAGGATGTGGTCGAGTACGCAACTGAGGTGTCACATGACGGCGACAATGCCACTTGTCTGGTCGTCAGGCTCGGTGGCTGGGAACGGAGGTCGGAGGGGGGCGTTGGCAGCCTCGGAACCAAAGAAATCCGGGACAAGAGAAGGGCGGAAGCTCTAGATCCTCGACGAGGCAAAAGATAAATTTTCTACACTTTTATCAACTGCGTAGCGACGCCGTTGTTTCGTTTTTTTGCACTTTCTTCGATTTTGAGGCTATCTTCTCCTAGTCGATGGGCATAGATGGAGCCGGAGAGTTCGAGATAATATCAGTAACAACAGTTTGGGATCATAGGGATCTACAGAAGGGGCAAATTTGGTCTATGTAAGCCTTACGCATGGCATTGCACTTCAAACACGACACGCGTAGTCATACAATGAGGTTAGGGAATACGCATCATCAAGCAATTCGTATTTGTCATCCATTTCACTGTCTTAGAGAAACGATTTTTCTCATTCACCCCTGACCAAGTGGACGTCATTCCGCTAGCCATCCAACTCCAAACCCTTGCGAGCCCCATAGTCCATCCCATTCTGAGTCCTCAGTTCATGGGTCATTGAGCCATCTTTCTTTCTATAGCCAAGTGTTCGATTTAGTACCGGTGCTGGCCGGGGTACTGTCCCCAGCCGCCCTGCTGGTGATGATGGGGAGGCGGTTGATGGTGAGGAGGGTATTGGCCCGGCGGCGGTCCGCCGTACCCAGGACCGCCATAGCCTTGTGGCGGCTGGGGAGGGCCCCATTGCCCTTGATGCGGGGGAGGCGGCTGCTGGTGACCGTAGCCTTGGGGATCTGGTTGACTGTAGTAAGCAGAGGCATGGCCTTGCGATGACCCATAATCGCCGCTCGGGTAGGGCTGGCTGCTCGCTCTCTGGTCTTGGTCGTAGCCGTAATTTGTGTTCCGCGGGGGAAGAGGAGTGCTGGATAAAGGCTTCGTGTCGTCACCCTCCATAGAGTTGAGATCTCTTGTCCGAATCTGGCTCCAGAGGGAACCCTGCACTTTACCGTGTCCTAGTTCCCCGAAGCTGTCCCAGGCGCCATGAGAATGGCCCGGGCCACTATGGCCTCTGGATGCCTCGCCGCTGAGGATATGATTTTTGCCAGCTTTGACCGATTCAGAAGACAGGAGATGGGATAACTCATGCTTGTGTGAACTCTCATCAACCCACTTCCTGACCGTCTCAAACATTGTCCGCTGAATCTCAACCCTTTCATCGCGGATTGCTGGGTGGTGGAAGGCTCGGAGAACATCATTAACAACTTCGTCGATGGGCACACCAGGGTTCTCCCACGCATAGAGAACTCGTCTACTCCTGTTAGCCGAGATTCACCAACCTAATCCATTAAGATTACTTACGGGACGACGTATTGGAGAATTGTCGCGGCAACTCGACCAGCACACGAGTTTAGAATATTGGTGAAGTGATCCTTGGAAAGCATGGAATGAGTGGGGTCATCGCAGCTAGGATTTTTCCAAGGCTCAAGCTGCGAGTTGGAGCTGGCGGTAATAACAGTTGAAGAGCCGTCCTTGAGGATCTTTGAAACTTGGTTAATAATAGGCCTGACGAAAGGTGCCAGTAGTCCCAGAATAAATGCCGTTAGTGTTTCACTAATATGATCCAAGAGCTTCTCCAAACCAGGAACTTTAGAAATGAGGTTGCTGATGGATTTGACGATCTTGTCTCGAAATTGCAGTATAGGATAGATCTGACCAGCTGTCTTGACAGGGTCAAAGTCGGGGCTCATGCCAGGTACCTGGTTCGCATTGTCGCGAGAGAGGTCACCGCGACTGTTAGAGTAGCCGCCATAACGCTCATTTTCCTGCTCTTGTGCAGCCGAGCGAGCCTGCAGTTCCTTCGCCTGTTTAGCCAAGCCGCCACCAATACCGGGGAGCTGGTCAACAAGAGAGATGAAGTCATTCGACTTATTTGAAGAAGACGAACTGGAGCTGAGACCAAAGAGCCCGCGAGATCCACTTCCGCCGCCGAGGCCAGTGAGGTTGCTCAAGCTGCCGAGTCCTGGGAAGCCCCCAGAAGAACCTCCAGATGAACCACCTCCTAAGCCTCCAGTCAAACCTTCGGCATTTTGAAGTGCGACGTTCATCTCATCGACCTCGGACTGGGTGAAATGGTCCGTAGCCTCGCCAAGGACGGAGTGTAAGAAGTCTACAGCACCGAAGGTTCCGGTGACTAAGGGGAAGACTCGCCGGCCTTGAAGGTCGATTTCGGTAGCAGCTCCACAATGAGGATAGACCTCACGATAACCGAGTTCTCGGAGCGCTAGTTCGCAATAGTTGCTATGAGCGCTAAAATCCTCCATGCAGTGAAGGGCTTGGCCGAGGCAGCGTAGTGCCTCACACAGATCTTCCTCTTTGCCCGAACCACGCGAGCCACTTGTGTAGACACGACCAAAGTGAATGCTACGAGCAAAACTGAAGCGCAAGTAGCCAGCACTAGTCGCCCAACCACCGGATTCGTTGGCGATGTAATTCTTCATACCAGTGCGAGGATCTATTTTTGTCTCGACAGGGTCAACGGGTCCTCGTAGACGAGGATCAAACTTGCGCGCATCCATGCCATCTGCGTATCCAAGGGGATTATCGATATGTTCTTCGGGTCGGTAGACACCTAGACGCTCCTCTGTAACCTCGAATTCTTCCGTCGCATAGCCGAAGGCCATGAATGAGAGCACCCATACCTGGCAGCACATATTAGAATAGACTTATCGTTTGATGAATTATCACGCGATTGGACAAACCAGAATTCTGATTGTAGCAGCATTCACTCCTTTCAAGCTACCCACGTCAACTGCCTGAGAGTAGTCACGAAGCCAATTGCCGAAATAGACCCTAGAGACCAACATGGAGGTCCACTTCTTGCCCTTCAAGAAGGCAATGGTCTTGAGCATATCCTCGATATCTAGACGCATACATGTCAGCTGTGTTAGAGTGTAAAAAAAGTAGCAAGCACAAGCTCACCTCCATGGCGCCAATTGTGGCCCTCAACCTATCAAACGCATAATGGTTAGTATTTGTGATGAGAGGCTGCAGTCATATAGCATGAGGTTCGGTCAATGTACCTGGGCAATTGATGGGATATTGCCGGCGCCGAAAGCTGCGGCGCGACCCGGCAGCAGCACCAGAAGAAGGCAAAAGGCTAGGAGAAGGGAGCCTCTCCCGAGACCGGATGACGCCATGGCTCTGGGTCGAGGGAGGCTCGAAGGACGTTCGGAAAAAAAGAAAGTCTATATGTGGATTCCAGTCTCAAAGACGCGGATGCTCGGAGAACCAAACGAAGGGCCACGCGAACGGGAACTTTGCCTACAAGGTCGGAAGTCAGCCTTGGAGGGTAAATGCAATGCGAGGTAAGATGAGAGAGGAAAGGTTTAAGTCCGATAAACAGGAAAAGCTAAGGTGCCATAAGCTGAGGTGCTTTGTCGGACAGGGAAGCTCACGCAAGCCAGGGCAGAATGTGGTAGGGCAAAATAACCGAAGACAATCGGGGGAATGAGGTGAGAGTTTAAGCTGAACAGGTGAGCTTGGCTTGCTTGCCTGAGCCCAGTGATTGGTACCTTTTGGCTGGGCAACCTTCACGTTACTAGCAAGAAAGGTAAGGTAATACGTCAACGGTAAGATGGTGCCCCGAAAGACTTTTGTAGGCTTAGATTGGCGACTTTGAGCGAAGGAGCAGTAGTTTTAGATAATGGCTGAATGAGACGCGGGGCAACATCACTAGCATGGAATACCAATTGGCTACCCCGCCACATGAGGATTACTGCTGACGACACTTCTCTCTGGCTGCCGTGCCCTAGGGTACGGAAGACGGAGGGGAACTACCCAACGAAGCAAAAATCTCGAAGATGATGATGGAAATAGCGATTGACATTACATGCATATTTTTCAGCATATAATGTGTATGTTATTACATTGTACATTGCACCCGTGGGCACGTCTTGACCGACTTGGGTCCCTCGTTATGGCTCGTTTTGCCTAGCACCCAGTAAAGCAGTACAGGGCTGGCGGAAAGCCTGATTGGGGCGGGAGCCTGTCGCCAGCAGTCAGTTTGTTGACCGGGGAGGGCATTGATCGCTTGCCGAGAAAAGCCCCTCCATCTCCTACTTTATTTCACTTCAGATTGCTTTCAAGCAAGTATGCAGGACAGGGGAGGATCATTGCGTAAGGCGATGATGTGATTGAACTTGCATTGCTGAGGCGTGTTCACTCAAATTCAAACATGCGTCTATGTATATTTACAAGCAACTGATGTGGACAGGTACTTCATTTCACCTTATCTTGGAGCTGCCTTTACCCCGCTGCTTCAGTGCGCTGGGCTCAGGACACACCAACTACGACAACACACCCAAAAACTGCCCCTCCATCTGAAAGCGCCCGGACCATGTTCCTGTAAAGTATATGGTACTAGACAGATGACAGAGGGAGTTGGGGTCATTCTTGCAAGATATTTTCAAGAGAGGTTATTAGGAGGGGAAGAAAAGAAAAGAAAAAAAAAAAAAAAAAGAGAGAGAGAGAGAGAGAGAGAGAGAGAGAGAGAGAGAGAGAGAGAGAGAGAGAGAGAGAGAGAGAGAGATAAGATAAAGGTAAAAAAAATAAAAAAATAAGCCCTTCCATTGGCCCAGCCATGGCATCCAAGCATACGACACCTGGCGGCAAGCCGATACGTCCCTGGCAGACCCAGGCTTGTTCCCAGCACACTTTCCAAGCTCAACGAGATGATCAAGCATGTTTGTCATGTAAGGCTGGTCCAGCCAGCGAGTTTGTTTACCCATCCGGTTTCCCCAATTTTGAATTTAGCTTGACTTTAATTTGACAGGCAGACTGAGAACATAAGAGCAAGGATATATTAACACTGTACAATACTGGGTGGTGTCAACAAAGAGAGAAAAAAAAAGCATCCAATAAAGTTGTAGTGAACAGATCAGATACTGCAAGCACCTAGTGACTGATGCAAATTGTGCCGCGAGTCCAACGCGTGGCTTATCAGCCACCGAGTACACAGCCACATGTTCTATGTTTGACAGTTCCGGTTGTATGGGGTGGCCGGAATGCTCGTGTAACCTATCCACAATGTATCAACTTGCAGGCGCATTGCATGTGCGCTCCAGGAAACTCGACTTTAATAAACCCCAACTATGCTCACTGCCCACAGACCGCCGCTTCTGCCAGCGAGCGCCACGGCACTCACCGCGATCTTGGTCTGAGGTGTCACGGCCCATTGCCGATGGTGCTAAGATGCAGATTGACCCATGATATCTGGCCTTAGTTTGTGCCAAAAGCCCAGAGCTACCCTTCGTTTTCCAACCACGGGCCGTAAGTGAGAACTCTACTGTGCGCCGAGCAGCCATTCACACCGCATCCTCCCCCAAACTTGTAAGCCTATGGTTCCAATTTTTTCTCATTCATTCTGCAAGTAGGCGGTATGGTTCGCTACCTACCCAACATTACAGAGGAGCCTTCTGCACGGACCTGCCTCACCAGCATTGCCTCCGCCTCGTGGCATATAGTGGTTAGGTTGCTGGTGGTTTACAAGTGCTCGGTGATTGTAGCCAGTTATTGGCACGGGGGAGGCGTCCATTTAACGACGCCATTTCCCGCCTCAAACTGACATGCAACCTTTCTTTGCCGACCTATTCATGCCAATCGCCGTTTGGCCTGGTCGAGTCCACTGGACTTTTGTTTTGCAGGTGCTCCTAGACCGTGTATCCATACACTTTTCGTTTTCCACCCATCCGCTTGCCGCTCATTCCCATCCCTATGTCCCCGTGGTTCCGCGGTCTCCACTGTCATCTATTGTGTCGACCAGTGTGGTCTGTCCAGTACGTACTGAAGATACACGGACGGACGGTACACGCAGAGAAGTAGCGCGCCCCATTCCGTCACTCATTGCCTGTTCGGGAGGTGTTCGACTGTTGCTCTTTGCAGGTCTGGGTGGAAATCTCGGGCTTTGAGTCCAGGGCGACACAGTGCAAACCCTGAAAAAAAAGGTAGACGTGGTCGAGTGGTGGAACCACAAATCGGCTGTCCAAGCTTCCGTAAGGTGCCAAAGTAACGCCACCACGCCGTAATTTTTCAGTCTAGAGAGATTGCGGTCGCGTTGAGAGCTTCTCCTTGACCCCCAAATCAAACACCCCCTAATTAAATCTTCTCCCCCCGTCCCGTTCGTCCCTCACAACCCTGTTCTACCGAGCCTCAGTCCCGGCCTTTTCTACCTCCCTCCGGTCCTCCCGGCCTTTGGCTCCTTTTTTCCGCATTAGATCACTTTTGTCTGTTTCCACCTCCACCACCTTAATACTTTTTCTCTCCCGTGCCGCCTCTTCGTCGTCCGCTTCTGTTTCCTCCTCATTAGAGCCTGCGACTGATTGCTGCGACTTCAACGCCGTTCGCTGTCCTTGTTCTTGCCCCAACACTCTTTCCCGTCCAATTTGGACTTGGCCACCCAACTTAATCGGCTATTGCAACACGCCTGTTCGACCCAGTCGCTTTAGCTCAGCCAGTCACTCACTGTTGCGGCCAGTTGATTATTCCGCAACAATGCCATCGCGGACTCTCCCTACCTTTACCCGCGCCGAGGTCGAGGCTCATAACAACAAGAAGTCCTGCTATGTCACCATTGGAACCAAGGTCTACGATGTGACCGACTTCGCCCAAGATCACCCCGGTGGTGCCGATCTCGTTTTCGAGTACGCTGGCAAGGATGTTGAGACTATCTTGCGAGATCCAACCTCCCATCCCCATTCCGAGGCGGCTTATGAGGTCCTTGACGATTCGCTTGTCGGCTTCGTCATCTCCCAGAAGTCAGTCAACGGATCTGTTCGTCAAGTTAACGGTAGCGCGAACGGGCATGCGAACGGGAACACCAACGGCAACGGTGCTGCCAAGGCCGAAGAAGAGCCCAAGATCAACGAGAATGGCGAGCTTTGGGATGGCGAACGATGGGTCCACCCTCGGACGGGTATGGCTAACGAGGAGGACTTGAGCAAAGAGACGGACTACTCGACGGACTACAAGAGACACAAGTTTCTGGATCTGAGTCGGCCGTTGTTCCCCCAGATCTGGTATGGAGGCTTCAGCAAGGAGTTCTACCTTGACCAAGTTCACCGGCCTCGTCACTACAAAGGTGGCGAATCTGCACCGCTGTTCGGCAACTTCCTCGAGCCTCTTTCCAAGACGCCTTGGTGGGTTGTGCCACTTGTATGGCTCCCCCCGGTAGCATATGGCACATACCTCGCTAGGGAGGGCATGGACAGCGCTTTGCATGAGACCTGCTACTGGATGTTCGGCTTTGTTCTTTGGAGTTTGATCGAGTATGTTCTTCATCGATTCCTCTTTCACCTCGATGAGTAAGTTACATTTGTTCCCTCGATGCGCGGTCTCGCTTAGCTAACCGTGACATCCAGCTGGCTTCCTGACAACCGAGTCGGCATCACTATGCATTTTCTTCTCCACGGCATTCACCATTATTTACCCATGGATAAGTACCGTCTTGTCATGCCACCCACGCTTTTCGTCGTACTTGCTACGCCATTCTACAAGTTGGCGCACTTTGTCTTCTCGTACAGCTGGCACGCTGCCACTGCTGTTTACTGTGGAGGTATCTTCGGCTACATTTGCTACGACTTGACACACTATTTCCTCCACCACCAAAACCTCCCTCTTTGGTACAAGGAGCTCAAGAAGTATCACCTTCAGCACCACTTCCTTGACTACGAGCTCGGTTTTGGCGTCACCAGCCGGTTCTGGGACAGCGTTTTCGGCACTGAGCTGCCTCCCATCGTCAAGACCCAGTAATTACGTCACTGCTACCAACCAACACATTGTTCATACACATTGTCATGATGACGACCCGGGGGCCAATTTTAATGCCTGATGAAGCAATATTTGCTCGTTCTAAACCATCGTGTGCCCCCATGTATATATGCTCACAAGACTACTTTACGCTGTAATGGGGTCGTTTCACCAGGCGTTTTGAGGAGATGGGAAGTATTGAGTTGATTCCTGCGTATTACAGCACCCCAGCCAGCCACGTTGCGGCGATGGGAAGAGCCTTCATCTCGACATGACAGGCTGTTTTAGTACAGAATATTTGGGTGATACCACAACTCAGCATACTATGCATTAATTAGAAAGCACATTCAATTTCTTTTGCCCATTACCATGGCCATGACCGTATCGTTCATAAGTCTGATGTCCGGTCCTGAGCGAAGCCCAACGCTGTGGCGAATTGAGCAACCTTAGCAACGCCATGGGCACAGTTCACGGTGAACCATTTCGGTCGACCAGTTCACGGCCCACGCATAAAGTAGATCTGGCCGGGCGGAAGTCAATTTCATCCATTGAGCTATGTGCCATCCATCACGTGACCATCTGTACGATGTATACTCTGGAATCACTTGCCTCCGCTTTCTCCTGTGGCTTGTCCAGGCCTTTGTTCAACTGACTCGGTCCCACATTATGTAAGGCTCGTTCTTTTCGCCGTCGCTTGACTCTTGGCACGGCATCTTCAGTGCTTAGGTAGGTCCCTAAACCCGATTCATTCGCCAGGGTGCCTGCCTAAATGCTCTCGCTGGTCTCCGTTAGTCATTTCTGAGACCGCACCAGCCTCCCTAGCCGACTTAACTTCCTTCTCTCCCCTCCATTGAGGCTGCAACAAAAATCTGCCCTTCACGCCGTAAAAAACGATTTTCGACCGCTGAAAAGAGATTAGAAAATTTGCCTATTTTATTTCATTTTAACCATAGTGCAACAGAGACAGGATGTCAGGTCTGGACGTAGAGGCGCTTCTTGACGCCACCGCAAAAAGCTCAACCGAGAGCAAGCCCAAAGCCAACGACGTGGAGGATCGCCCCAATGGAGACCGCTCCGAGCGCAAAGAGCGCGATCGTGGCCGTGATGGAAGTCGAGATCGCGACTACGACCGCCGACGTCGAGACCGCGATCGCCGCGACCGTAGTTCAACCCGAAGCCGACGTGGCACCCCAGATGACTACAAGGCATCCACCCCTCGAAGCGACGCTGGCAGCCATAAGAGTAGGCGGAGAAGCAGAAGCCGCGATGATGACCGCCGTCACTCACGTCGTCACAGAGGAGATGGCGATTACTACAGAGGCGGGCGAAGACATTCTCGGTCCCGTTCTCGCTCACCCCACCGCTCTTACCGCTCGTCGCGCGACGACCGTGACTACCGCGAGCGCCGCGATCGCTCTGACCGCTACTCTGGGGAAAGCCGACGGGCAAGGGACGAAGATCGTAATGAAAATTCCAAGCGTGAGGCAACACCACAACTTACTGAAGATGAACGGGATCGCCGCACTGTTTTTGTCCAGCAGCTCGCCGCTCGTCTTCGCACTCGCGACCTGAAAGCGTTTTTCGAAAAGGTCGGCCCTGTCAACGAGGCCCAGATTGTGAAGGACCGTATTAGCCAGAGATCCAAGGGGTAAGCCAATGAATCTCGGAATGGTCACCGTCACCGTGTTATGAGATCACTAACAAAATACAGAGTTGGTTATGTTGAATTCAAGAACGAGGAATCTGTCACTCAAGCTCTTCAACTTACCGGGCAGAAGCTGTTAGGTATCCCTATCATTGTCCAGCTTACAGAGGCCGAGAAGAACCGACAGGTTCGCAATTCCGAAACTGCCACCGGCGCCCATCCGAACTCGATCCCATTTCACCGGTTGTATGTTGGCAACATTCACTTCAACGTTACCGAACAGGATTTGCAGGCTGTTTTTGAACCCTTTGGCGAACTTGAATTCGTCCAGCTCCAGAAAGATGACAACGGTCGCAGCCGAGGCTATGGTTTCGTACAGTAGGATATGCGTTCCCTATTCTCAGGATACGATTTTAACCTTTTCCCCAGGTACCGTGAAGCAAGCCAAGCCAGAGAGGCCCTTGAGAAGATGAATGGGTTCGATCTTGCCGGTCGCCCAATCCGTGTTGGCCTCGGAAACGATAAGTTCACCCCTGAGAGCACTGCCAACATGTTGCAGAGATTTCCTGGCCAGAACCAAGCGTATCAAGGATCTGCATTTTCGGGCGCGGGTGGCCGCGGCCCGCAGACTTCGGCTTTTGACCGTGCGGGTGGTCGAGATAGCGAAAAGTCGGGCGGTGCAAGTGCCTTGGACGATACCGATGTTGCTGGAGTCAATTTTAACAACTACAGCCGTGATGCCCTGATGAGAAAACTTGCCAGGACTGATGAAGCTTCGAATGGAGCAGATGAGCGACAGGTTCTGAAGCCCAAGACCGAGACCAAGCCGTTACCGGTAAACGTCAACATGGCCAGTCGATGCGTTGTTCTTCACAACATGTTCGATCCCGAAGAGTATGTTATACTAGCTGTACACAAGAAACTTAAGCTAACCTTATCACAGGGAAGAGGGCGACGACTGGGCCAAGGAGTTGGAAGACGATGTACGACAAGAAGCAGAGAAGAAATACGGCCGCGTCGTCCATATTGCTGTTGACCCCAATTCGAAGGGTGATATTTACCTCAAATTCGATAAGGTTCAAGGTGGCGAGAACGCCATCCGGGGACTCAACGGTCGCTATTTCGGAGGCAGGATGATCGACGCGTCACCTGTTGTAGATGCCGTCTACAGCAGTTTGTTCTCTCGTACACGAGCGATCTGAAAGCTAATGCATGGCCTCGAAGAAGCATCGTCTAGGATTCCTCAAAGTATGTAACATGTATCAAGATGACATCATAAAGCCCAAGCTGACCAGACTCTTCAGCCGACGCTTTGCCGTTCTGATTGCCTCTTTGAGATAAAGGGTGTAATATTCCGTCCCTTCCTCGTCTGGCTCCCCTTGGCCATCACTAGTACTTGTGTCGGGCCAAATCTTCGTTCCGTCGAAGAGCAAAGGTCTACCCATCACCAAAGGAGAATGGAACGACACCACACTGATTCTCCAGCAGAAACCACGTTGATTATGTTGCACATTCGATTGCCAAACATTTCTGGCTGATTCTGTACCTTAGGTTTATTTCCTTCCACGTCCTCCATTACATGCGGAGCGGATATCAGGTTGCCAAATCGGCGTCTGGGTAAGGTACAGGGAGGCCATAGTCACAAACCCTATTTAGGTACTAAAATATGATTATATAGCACATTGTTTGATTACATATATTGGAACTGCCATAAGTTGGCCTCGCGTCTCGCTCATATTGTTGAACCCGGTCCGTTACCCTCAACTCAGGTGGTCAACCCCTGCTTAATTTTTTTGGATCAAACAAGACCGACTACTCGCCCATAATCAAGCACGGGCATTTATCTCTTTGTCGCCTATTTAATATTATCGTAATGTTGATCTGAGCTTTTGCTGTCAATTATTAGGTTACGTCTTGCAAAAGGACTTTTTGACATGGCGAGCGTCTGTTATCTCTGTTTCTTTAGTCTTGTATCCCTCGGTGGATTTGGAAAATTGCTACCTCTAACTCCAAAGTAATACCACCCATCTCACATGATTTTTTAAAAAACAATTGAGCAGATGTGATATTTCTTGGAGTAGTAATACCATGTGTTTGGTCCGCCACTGAACTGAGGTACCTGAGTTCCGACTATATTCTGACCATGTTTCCCCATTCGCCGGGACCATAAGAGTACAGGGCATTTATAACTCATGGTCCAATGTTGGTCTCGATATATTGGTATGCGGTCCCTCAATTATTTGGCCTTCGACTGCCTTTCTGTGCGTACCCTGTCATACCCTTCATGTCTTTCTGTGCACTTGTTCTTTCACACTCTTGTATGTCTAAGCTCGTTCTTACATGTGCCAGATATCACGTTAATGATCTGCCACAGTTTCTTGCCCCTTGTCTTTTTTATCCAGATACCGAAACTTTTACCACGACTTATTTTTCTTGCGAGTGCTCAAGCTTGTTACTATCTGCTCTTGCCCCCGACCTTAAGTGCCGACGCTTCCACACGCTCAGCATCAAACCCATGTAAGCAGCCATGTTCTCTATCAGTCGTCGAGTCGGCACCCCAGGTCTTCCTGGTGTGAAGCAACAGACTCATTCCGCTGTGTGGCATTCTGTGAACTCTATTAAAAGCGGAAACCCCAAGGCTCTTGACACTGTCAAGGTGCAAGAATCTAGTTCCAAGTGGTTCACGAGTAAGCAGTGCCTGTAGCTATGGTCTTTTTGAAAAGTAATCCGTATCCTTTTCCTTCCCAAACTTTCTCATGCCCACCCCCGTCTTCTTTCGTCTGAGTTGATCTTCAAAATTTCCAATCTCTTATTTCTTGATTCCTCACCCTTACTTACTCTATCCATACATCGTGACAAGGACTTTACGAAGTCCTCCTTTTCTTCAACCTGCAATTTCACCTCTCGAATCTCGAAGGTCCCTCGAAGTCTAGCCCCCAGAAAATAGTCTTGAAGCCTTGTTTTCAGACTTCGATACATGCTCCTCGTTCTATGAGAACGCAGCAAGAGATAAAAACAGGCAAGCAGCCCCCAATACCCCATGTCGTCTTCAAGATCGAGCTTCAGTGAATATTGACAAACTGTAAGACAGCTAAGCTCATGCGCACCCCGTGAAGATCTAGGAGAGAAACGCAATCGAATCATATACTCTTGGATGGGCTTGCAGTAGCTTTACTTCTTGAGTCTCAAAGAACGCTTGAACCGTTCCCGTCCAACACAAACGTCAGGTCGGTTAGTCTTTCCAGTCCTCCGCTGCTCTTGAGAGATTGAGACACGCCATCGGTTTGAAGAAATTAGGATGGCCAATGGCTGCGGCAGATCAGTCGATTGTCCTACCGTTTCTTTGCTTCGAGGTCTCATTCTGGACCGTCCCTTCGAAGAATTGAGAGTCTCTCTTTCACTTGGACACTAGAACCATCAAGTCTGGTCCTACTATCCGACCCTATATCTCTCTTTCTGGTATGTGACACTGCGTCTGTTTCTTTCCTCGACTGTTCTTATTCCCCTTCTGCATCTCTAGGCTTTATCCAATGACTGCTCAGCTACTGGTACTATCGACAGGGCCCCTATTTAGCCGCATCTCTATCCGTTGTCTTCCATCTCACAATAAGTGTTTGAAGGGCCATCTATGTGGCCCAGGGTCCCCGAATTTGGTATGAATATTCCTTTTGTACTCTTCGGTTTCAATTGTTCGTTCCTAAGGCAGCTTGACCGAAGCAATTGAGGCGGGGCATGGCAAGGTGAGCCTCAGGATCGTGCTCTCACCGAAGCTCGCGTTTAGTCATCGAAGCACGTCAACAACATACTCGGGTGTATATTCACCTTTACGAAAAATTCTCGACTGATGGCACTCCCGAAAAGGTTAGCGTATATCTCTTCTATCTGTACGTGGAAGGAACGACTTGCTCTTCAAGAGGATCAATCATCGACCTCAGCTTTCTATCCTGTTTTCACCTTATTTACCTCTCCAGAAAGCTCAGCTTGTGTTTTTCTGCACCTCAAACCTCATCGATATTGTGCTGTCCTGCCTCCTTTTTCCCTTCTCGCGTTGTTTTCTCGAAAAAGCAATTGTGGCCTTTCGAACGCCTTCCCATCCCCTGAGTTTACGACTCTGATCCATGCGGGCACAATGACTGACTCCATTTATACTAGCAGCAGCTTCGAAAATAATCGTGGTGGTGTCCGCCTTTCTGACCATTCACCTCCTGGCGCTTCAGCAAGTTATCACTACCATAGGACTTCAAGTTCGTCAGCAAATACTATCTGTGAGAAGTCACCTTCCGACGTTTTCGGACCTGAAATTCCTCAAGGGGCCACGCAGCGTTATCTTAAGGACTGTCAGCAGAACTATCAGCTGCCACCACCTCCTAAATTTCAATCTGATTACACCTTCACCAACCAAAGAAGTGCTCATCGCGCTTGCACTTCTATCCCAAGAAACCCGACAGGGTTTGCTGAGAGTACTCCACCTGTCAACTTCGAAGGAGCCGGCTCTGTGATCCCTACTAATCCTGCTATTGGCGACCATATCTCGGCTGAATGTCATCTTGAGCCTGCCACCGTAACACCGCACAACGACTCCAGACCTGCCGCTAGAAACGGTAAGACTCCCCTTAAAACTCTAAACGAGCCCAGTTGTGACGTCTGGCGCTCTCCTCTCGATTCGGAGACCATTTCTGAGGAAAGGGACAAGACCACAACTGCTACTGGTCACACCAAGGTGAAGACTGTGGCAGAAATGGCTGCTCATTGTCAGTTGGAAGGTCCTCTGACTGGTCCTCTTCGGGACAATCGCCGATCTGAGATTGCCCGGAATCATGTAAGTCAAGCCCTAGCCACTACCTTCCTTCTGCCTCTTATACACCGCATTTCCAAGATCATTGCACTATCACGCTGCCTGGTCTCTCCTCATTTGTTATCATTACATATCCCCCCTGCCGTCGATTTCTCTGATTTTGCCACACAACTGACTTTGCGATGAAAGCCTGCCTGGCTACCTGCCCGACAGGTTCAAGCAGGAATCATGACCACACAGCAAGCCATCCGCCGTACTCCTGGCATTCCCAGCAGAATCGCTAACGATCTCTGTGACGGACTCCAAAAGTACGCACAGGATGTCAATAACATGCTTCGGCAGGCAATCAATGAAGTCGCCGACTATCGTCTCGACATTGAATATAGTGATAAGGTCCTCTGCTCCAGCAAGCTTGAGGCAAGCATTATGCTTGAAGAACGTAACCAGCTGAAGCGTGACTTTGCCGAATTACAGACCAAACATGATGAGCTGGAGAATCGCCTAGCCCGATATCACATGGAAATTGAGAACCATAAGAACAGGCTGCGAGAGCACTTGGCCAAACTTGATCATCAGAAAGAGAGCGAGGATGTTACCAAAGAGACTATCAATCAGCTCCTGGGGGTATGTATCATGAGTTTGTCGACTTTTTACTTATGGCAGAAGCTGATGGTTGCGTTTTAGACTATCAAGGAGTTTGTGATCCAACCCAGCGCTCAATGGCTGCATGATGACCACCACGATAATGGTTCTCCTCGCAAGGTTATTACTGCTTTGAATGCTGCCAGTATTGCTGCCTTGGAACAGCAGGAGAACCTACCGCCTCGTTCATCCCAGCATGCACAGCAGCGACTGCTATCTGCTCAAAACCGTATCCAATCAGAGCATTGCGAGGTCGTGCCTTCCATGAACAACGCCTTACAACCATTCAATCATTCGCAGAATTTGGGGCAATTCCAGGCTCCTCTGCTGGCATCTGTACCTGGTCAAAATGGTCCACCCTCCTCTTACCCGGGTGTGTTCAACAACTCTCGTTGCCCTACCGACAACAGAACCAGTTCGTCTGCCGGCTGGACTCGGAACTCAAACTACAGTCGCTTCCAGGCCTCAAAGGCGCCTGGGCGCCCTTACTCGCGGTCTGGAAATGCCTGCAACTCCTTCATGAGCGGCTACAAACAGCACAATGGCCATGACACAGCTGGCAGTTACGTTAACCCGCACAACTTGCGGGCACGTCACAGCACAAGTATTAATAACCGTGATTTCAACTCTCAGCACGCGTTCCGTCCTAATGCTCCTGAGTTTCGTCCAGGTTACAGCGACTGTATGGGCAATGATCTCAGCAATACAGATACCTTATACAACTTGAGCTACCAGAATGAACCCAAACCCGGCTCGCGCCCCGACTACATTGAAGGTAGTACTGCTCCTTTCAACAGCCCAACTCCTCGCTCCGCGAGCCGTGGCGGATTTGGCGGCTTTGAGGGTTCTTCGTCCGATTATGCCCGCCCTTCCCCCTTGATCCCTCAAACTCCTGGTTTTAGATCCAATCAACGATACCGCAACACTACTGCTGATCATTGCGATGTGCAGCTTCAGCGAAAACACGCAGCTGGGTCTTTGGGTCAGAGTTATCACACTGCCAATTACAACCAGTCAGGCTGCACACCCGTCCTTTACGGCCAAGGAGGCAACGGCCCGAGATCGGCGAGCAAAACTACGAAGTTGGGCCCGGGGATATTGACTCCCAAAGGCGGCTTCAGCCAAGATATCGACTGTGACAACGAGCGCTATGCTCGCGCCTTCGAGGGCGTCTGGGGCCTTGCTCGGAGCTAGGTGCTCCGTTTTGCCTCCTCAGTTGAACCTAGTGTTTTGTCGCGCCTGTCTGACGTGGCCATCGCCCGCTATATGACCTCACTGTACTCGCCCTTCAATGAGCAGCAGGCCTGGTCCTATATCCGACAGCATATGAACGATGGTATGATGCGCGCTTGTCTCGTATCTCGGGTTATCATTGACCTGTTGGTCAACCGAATCTTCGTTTTTGAAGCATGGCAGGGTTTTTCTGTTGATGCCGATCGCCAAATTGGTGAGATTCGATATGAATTGAACAACCTCTCTGGTTCGCCTACCTCTTAGCCCTTCTGAATTATCTATTTGCTTTGCTAACTTGTCTCAAAAGCCGGCCAAGGTGGGGCTTTGCAGGTCTGTATCGACCGCATCGCGGCAATTGTCAATTCGTGTATCAACCACGAGCGCTACGACGCCTACCGCAGCCACCGCATTGAGTACTTTCAGGCTGAGCTCCGCGAGATGCTTTCTCCTCTACTCATCCCCGAGTCCGACGGCGGTCCCATACTAGAACAAGCTGACGATGCTCTTTGCAACATGGTTGAGAAGGCCTGGTCCATTTCTGCTAAAATGTTCACATCGCGCTGCACCTTCGAGTTCCGCTTCCCCGACGCCGGTGCCCGCTTCAACACGCAAACCATGGTTGCTGTGGCGCCGAATATTGATCCTCAGGTCCTTCAAGTCGATCACTGGCGTGTGCAGCTAGTTGTGACGCCTGTTATTACCGTCCGCAACGACACAGGCGCCTCCATATCGGTGGCCTCTATCACTAATGCTCATGTAATCTGCATGAAATGATGGCATTAATCATCATCGATATTTTTTGCAACTGCACTGCTCTAGCCACCAGCCCATTCTTGGCATTCTGACTATAGTGGCTCATCCACGAAGAATGACTTTTCAGAAAACGGGCGACAATGTATGACTACGAGATTTGAGAACATTAGGACTCAGTGGGTTTTCCTTTCCAATAAGCTGGGTTCTTACTCAGCCCGGAAAATACATGAGTGCTACTAAGGTAACACTTTGGGAATGGCCAAGAACCCGGTGGGATGACCACCAAACTAATGAACTTGGGAATCAGAATTTGGGTTTTCTCGTCTTGGGTCGCCTGGGTAGAGTTCATTCACTTTTTAATCTTGACCAGGTATTATGAAAGTGAGAGGAAAATAAACGGGCTTTGGGGAAATGGCAAGCCTAGTTAGTACACATCCTCGTTTTGTTCTTTGGGAATTTGGGTGGGGGAAGCTCTCACGGATGCTGTATCTCACGTTGATGCGAAGTCTGGATGGCCAAGCACTGAGCCAATAGGAAACTAAAGATGAGATACGAGATAACAAAAATGAGTCACAAAATATTACCTGAAAGGCTTCGTATTATCGTCTTGCAGTGATGTGTTCCGGTGATGATGTGATATGCAAGTCATATCCAATGGGACGGAAAACCACTGCAGCCGAGTAAGGCTGTGAGAATATTCAACACATTCCCACGTAAAATAATAGCTAATGCTGTTCCGTCACATATGTACATTGTCGCGATATATATATAAAGAGAGAGAGAGACACCCCAGCAAACAGGGCAGATAGCCATCAAGAGCATCGAATTGGTCCCCACATCTCTATTTGCATGCATGCTTCTCATATAAGCTTTTCCGTGAGCCTCAATTATTTCCTGAGACGATGCTCTTAATAAAAAGGAAAAACGCAGCTTCAAGACTACCGCATCGAATATCCAGCCTCGTGTGTTCCCAAGTTGAAATCCAACTTTTCTCCCAAACCGCCTGGTCCAATCTAAGCGCTCGACTTCTTGAACCTAACACTTTATTAGCATGTGAATCCCAATCAATTTACCTCTCGGGACAGTTCAAACTTACTTGTTAACCACACGCTCAATGCCGTCAAGACCGTTCTTCAGGGTTTCCATCTTGGGGCCGTACGAGAAGCGGACGAAATGGTGACAGGGACTATCGAAAAGATCGCGGCGTCTTGAGGGGTTCAGGTCGAAAAAGATACCAGGAACAACGATCACCTTCTCCTCCAAACATGCTTGGAAGAAGTTGAGACCATCGGAAATGGCATCAGGAAGACCCTCCAGGTTCAACCAGCTACACCTCTGTTAGTGTTCAACCATGCATTGCTTACGATTATTGAAGACTCACAGATAGAAAGTTGAATCGGGCACGTATTTAATGACGAAGCCCATTTCGCGCAGTCTGCGGACGACGTAGTCTCGCTTATCCTGTACACCTTATTAGCACATGCACACTTCCAACTGTGCCACGAAACTTACGCGGAAGTGCTTCTGAAGGAAGACCATTTCCTCCTTGACAAGGGTAGGATCAAGCATGGGAATGGCGGCCTCCTGGAAAGGGTGGTTGGCGCCTCCATCAAGGTAACTCCCGCAGGAACCGATGCTGAGTCTATGTAAGTATATTCATCGTCAATTGCACAGATACCTCAACTCACGCCTTGATGTATTCTGTGGGTTGTGTTAATAGACCGCGATTTCCATTTCGGAGTTTGGAGAAAACGTACCCTTGGGGCCAAGAATCCAAGCGATACGCCAGCCGGGAAGTCTGAAGCGCTTGGTTAAGCCATCAATGATGAGGACATCATCCTCGTCAACATCTTCCACATTCTCGGCCGCAGAGATGGTGCTGCCATCACAGTTGCTAGTGTAGTTATAGCCGGAGTAGAATTCATCGCTGATGAAGGTTGCGCGGCCACGGCAAATGTCCTGGATTTCAGCCAGCTCGGGGTTGGCAACGACACGACCAGTGGGGTTACGGGGATTCGAGGTCAGAATAACAGAGGAGCCACGGGAGATTTCCTCAGAGATACGATCGGGGTGAATGTGGTAGCCGTCCTCCTCAGCTAGCGGGACTGGAATGGCGGAGAACTATAAACACAACTGTAAGCCACAACGTATACTTAATATCCTGCCAAACCGTAGGGGAACGCACATTCTTGAAGAGGGACAGCATCTCATTGTAGGCCGTATAGTCAGGCAAGAAGAACGACAGATACGAGTTGCCGAGGACGGCGGCAATACGGATAAGGCCGGCGCGACCACCAGGGACGATGGCAACGTTCTCCCAAGTATATTGGCTCTGCTTGCCTTGACGATGCATGACGTTATAGAGATTGGCAACAGCCTCACGCAGAGGCTTAATACCGGCCGTAGGGCCGTACTCACGGCCAGCCATCGAAATATCGATTGTTGTAGGACGGGGAAAACAACCGGCGATGTCATCTTCGACTTCGGGTGCACCTTGCCCTAGGTTGGCCCAGGACTCAGGGTCCTCGAGGAAACCGTACTCCGCGGCACGCTCAGTGCACCAGACGACACCCGTAGAGGAACGGCTGGCATCAAGGCCAGCATGAGGTTGGTGGCCCTCATGAGCGTTGCGGAACTGCCTGTGAGTTTTGGATTGGACCTCTGAAGCAATCGTCAGCGTTTTCTTTATGTTTCGAAGCTACTCTCACTCCTTATCGGGGACGTGCCAAGATGTCATCGAGTTCGAGTTGGAGCAGTGTGGGGAACGAGGGGCAGCTTTTGCTGGAGAGAGTGGTGTTGGAGCTGAGGAGCAATTCAGCTTCTACCCCGCACCACCATCGCAGCTAGACGACAAGCTTTTCCCCTACTTTTTGCTCCTTCTCTGCACAACTGGAACCAATCGAGAAGAATACGTGTTGTGGCGGCAATGCTGTCTATCTAGATCGCTAAAGAGGGGGGGAAATAGAAGTGGCTTCTTACCATTTGCACCAGCCTCGCCGACACTGAATCGTCTGGGTTTCGGCACACCGGTGTGCCGGTTAATTGAGAATTTGCGGTTGAACATCGTCGCAAGAACCAGCCTGGAGTGGCTTTATTTGTCAGGCTCGATATGAGGTTGTGAAGTTGGGCGATTGAAACAGCTGCTGAAAAAGAGCAGCAGTTGTGGGTTCGGTTCGGTGCACAATCAGTCGCCCCGTCTGTTTACCCGGCAGGGAAGGTAAAGTCGAGCACGGTGTCACAGTGGGAGGGAGGTCGAATAAAGAAACAGCTGTCCCTCTTTGCAAGTTGAGGCAGCGAGGGGCACACAAAGCGTCTTATACGGGGAAGCTGTAAAGGCTTCTCTTCACCGGCACTTGGGCCCTGGTGTTGGCTTGGGAACCCCTGTAGGAAATGAATGCAGCTCTTATGCAGGCTCTTCCAATTGTGGGTGTTGTTGGACGGGAGGGCGGACGTTGATAGGCTGGTGTCTAGTTTTCCTTACGCTGAAGAAGACGTGGGACTTGTCACTTGACGAAGTTGGCAGATAGTCATTGACCAGAGTTTCGAGGACAAGGGGCCTCAAACAGGTGTGGTGAGAGTTACTGCAAAATAAAAAAGATAAAAAAAATACTAATGGAGAGACCAGAGGCAGCGGGTTTGTTTGTGCTTTCGGTCTGTTGCGCCGGTCCCGTGCCGTTTGTGCCGTCTTCAGACGCAGATGAGTTCTAGATAGTGATCGGCACTCTGTGCATAGGACTCTCTTTTCCTCTTTTCTCTCCCCGTCTCCTCCTCACTCGGTAGCTTGCAGTGTCGTCTGTGAGCGAATGCAGTAGGAAAAACGCCACTCGAGTAGTTCTGTGTTTGTAGAAACGCAACAACGCGGAGAAACACCCGACTTTGCTTTCGATAGTGCCCGTGCCCTCTTCCTTCTGTTGTTTCGCCTACAATCCAGTTTGGTGACTAGTACGTAAAGAGCGGTGTCCAGAGTCAGTGTCGTGCTCCAGAGCGGACCTCCACATCATGGCCTGCCCCGTCTACTCGTCCTTCGTTTGGATTCGTACCCAATCAGCGGAAGATGGTACATAGCATCGCGTAGAGTGCAACCTCGTGAGGACGAGTGCCCTACCTAATACGGGGCTGTGCAGCTCACTAATCATACTGTGTAGCCGCGCCCCTGGTGCATGTTGTGCAGGTAAACCTGGACTGACTTGTCATCAGCCCAATCGCAGTGTCCCACGGCAGCTTAGTCCGGTGCAAGCGGGCCCGGCGCCGGGACATTCAGGGCGCTTCAGTTCTCGTCGTGGGTCGGCGAGTCCGATCAACAGGACTGACAGCTTCCAGGGTTCTAAGATCGAGGATGTCTCTGGGGATCTATGCTCAGGCAAAGCTTGTTTGTTTACGAAATTGAGAAGTTGTACCGAAGCTCGTTCAAGCCCCTGATGACAACTGTTCCAGACGTGTGACATTTGTACGATTGAGCGATGTGATGTTTCTAGAACACTCATTGAAAACGGCGACGACGACGAGCAGAGTTCGTTAAAATTTCGGGGTACCGTATCTTAGGTTCATACCGTTAGCGGCTCTTCATTCGGAACACGGCCGAAACCGTCCCTAGGTGGGCACGTGATCTGTTTGTCATCAAGGTCGTGCTAACATCCTCCAACCTTCCGGTCGTGATATTTCACAAAAAAAAAAGAACTTGAATTCAGTACATAGCAGGTATGTCGCTAAAGGCGGCCAGTCTTGACCTGCCTGAATGAGGTATATCTAGGATGCTTTCCCTGCCCGCCTGTTTGCTGTACCTTGCACAATCTCTCTCCATCATGGAGGGCGTGTGGTTATTACTCATAGGTTAGTTTTACAATTGTACAAGGTAGGAAAAACGCTCCCGCAATTCTGCTCCCTTCCATGCCCAACTTTTATTTCTTCCCACCTCCATCCGCAATCGTGCTTGTTTGTCATTTTCATTTACTCGCCCTTCAACTTGTCCTGCTTGACAGTGAAGGCCATCTCCAAGAACTCCTGCTCTTCCTTGTTGTGCAGACCCTTGTTACCAGCAGCGACTGATGCGCTAGGGCCGCGGCCAGCATACATGACGTGCTTGCGGTCATGGTGCTCGGTCTGGTTCAACAGAGTCTCAAGACGGGGCTGCGTGAAGCTCCAGGCACCAGCGTTGAGAGGCTCCTCCTGGCACCAGACAATAGTCTTGGCGTTGGGGTATTGGTCAAGGTTCTCCTTCAGCTGTTGCCAGGGGAAGGGGTTCAGTTGCTCGAGACGGGTGAAAGCGACATTGTCAATCTTGTTGTCGGCACGGTACTTGGACAGGGTGGCCCAAACCTGTCCAGAGCAGAGAATAACACGGTCGATCTCCTCCTTGGGCTTAATAGCTCCAGTCTCGTGCTCAGGGTCAGGAATGATCCATCTGAAGTGAGAGTCGCCCGTGAATTCCTCAATGTTGGAACGAGCAAGAGGGTGACGGAGGAGAGCCTTGGAGAAGAAGATGATGAGGGCTGGGTACAGTTAGTATGATTATGTTCCATAGAGGTTAGCTGAAAGGCAACTCACGCTTGCGGAACTGACGGTGCATCTGTCGACGAAGGACGTGGAACAGGTTAGCAGGGCTGGTCATGTAGGCAACCTGAATGTTGCAGTCCTGGTGCTGGCGCTCCAGCTTCTCGGGAGAGGGGAAGACACGAGGGTCCTCGTTGCACAACTGGAGCCAACGCTCCAGGCGACCGGAAGAATGCTCGGGACCTTGGCCGTCGTAACCGTGGGGAAGCGAGACAACAAGACCAGTTCTCTGCATCCACTTAGCCTCGCCAGAGGCAATGAACTGATCGATGATGCACTGAGCGTTGTTGGCGAAGTCACCGAACTGGGCCTCCCACATGACAAGTGCGTTAGGGGAAGACAGGGAGTAGCCGTATTCGAAACCAAGAGCACCAAACTCACTCAGGGAAGAGTTAGAGATAACAAACTTGCCCTGGTCTTTGCTGATGTGCTGGAGAGGGGTGTGAGTATCCTCAGTCTCCTGGTCGTGGAAAACGGCATGGCGTTGCGAGAAAGTACCACGCTCAACATCCTGGCCGGAAACACGGACATGGTGACCCTCAGTGACAAGCGAACCGAATGCCAAGGCTTCAGCGGTGGACATGTCGATGTTCTTGCCCTCAACAACAGACTTGGTTCTGTTGGAAAGGATACGCTTCAGGTTGCGGTGTGCGTGGAAGCCCTCAGGGGTGCTGCCAATGACCTCACCGATATGCTCCAGGGTCTTGCCGTCAACGCTGGTCTCGTGGTGGGGGAGAACCTCAGTAGCAAGCTCCTTCGGGGACTTGAAGCCGTTCCAGGCGGACGTAGTCCACTCCTTGGATGTGGGCTGGTAATCCTTTGACTTGGCAAAGCTCTCCTCAAGCATGCCCCAGACCCATTGCTTATGCTCATCAATGTCCTCCTTGGTGAAGCTGCCGTCCTCTAGGAGCTTGTTGACGTAAATGGAAATCTGCGACTCGTGGGACTGGATGCGCTTGTACATGAGAGGCTGAGTGAAAGAAGGCTGGTCCGTCTCGTTGTGGCCATGCTTGCGGTAGCAGACCAGGTCGATGATAACGTCCTGCTGGAACTCAGCACGCCAGTCAGCGGCAATCTGGCATACGAAGTTCACAGCCTCGACATCGTCCGCGTTGACGTGGAAAACAGGGGCATCAATAGCCTTGGCAATATCGGTACAGTAGGCGGTAGAGCGGGCAAAGCGGGGATCAGTGGTGAAGCCAATCTGGTTGTTGACGACCAGGTGAATAGTACCGCCAGTGGAGAAGGCTGGCAGAGAGTGGAATCCCAGACACTCGTAGACAACGCCCTGAGCAGCAAAAGCGGCGTCGCCATGGAGGAGAACACCCATGGCAGTGCGGTGGGTCTTCTCATCATTGTTGTAATGCTGGATAGCACGGGTCTTTCCAAGCACAACAGGGTCCTCGGCCTCTAGATGAGACGGGTTGGCGACCAAAGAGAGCTGCACACGCTTGCCTGAGGGCGTAGGACGCTCGAAGTTCATGCCAAGATGGTACTTGACGTCACCAGATCCCTCATCTTCACCACCGGCAGTTCCGGCGAACTCGCTGAAGATGGACTCGTTAGGCTTTCTGACGACGTTGCTGAGAACGTTGAGGCGACCACGATGAGGCATGCCAATGACTATGTCCTTGACGCCATAGTCAACGCTGCGGTCGATAAGAGCCTTCATACCAGGAACCAAGGTCTCGCAGCCTTCAAGACCGAAACGCTTGTCATTAGGGTATTTTGTGGCTAGGAAAGACTCGAAGCTGGAGCTCCAAATAAGACGGTCGAGAATGCGGCGCTTCTCGTCAATGGAGTACTTGAAAGGCTGGGGAACCTCGATACGTTCACGCAGCCAGTCACACTTCTCTCTGTCAGGGATGTGGATGAACTCGACACCGTAGGAACCGCAGTAAATTTTTTCGCAGGCGGCAATGATCTCGCGAAGTGTCATCTTCTCGCGACCCTCCTTCTTGAATCGGGGAAGAATGCCAGGACCCAGCTCGTATTCAGCGTCAAGATCCTTCTCGGTGAACTGATAGTGCTCAAGAGCAAGCTCCTTAGGCTTGATGTTGCCGAAACCCTTGGACTCGTTTCGAATGCCCAAGGGGTCGATGTTGGCCTTATGGTGACCTCGAGCCTGGTAAGCGCGCACCAGGAGCTGGACCTTTAAGTGGTTGGTGATCTCAGAGCCCTCGCCTAGATTCGCTGCCAGTCCTGGTACACCACCAGTGGCGCCAGGGACGAGAGAAGGGGGGGGAGTGAAGGCCTGGGAGATAGGCATGTCGCCATTCTCCATGTTCTTGAAGTAGACCTGCCATGAGACGTGAACACTCTTGGGGTCTTGCTTCCATTGCATGTACATCTCATCGATGTAGTTAGCAGTGTTGCCCGACAGGAAGTTGTCGTTGGGGTTAGGGGCCGAGTCGGTCGCGCTCGCATAGTGACGTTGGCTGGTCAGGGCCAGGGGGCGACGGGCAGCAGCCAGCTTCCTCGATGAGGTTCGCGACGCGACAGTCGAAAAGTTGGGCGAAGCCGCATGTTTCGTGGCATTGAGCACCCGAGTGCCAGCTCTACACACGGAGCTTCGCAACATGGTGGCGGATGGGGTTGATAGGAGGGAACTTGAAGAGTCGAATGGACATGGAAATGAAGGGGAAAAGAAAACAGAAGCTGTACAATGACGGGGCTTTGTCGGTCCTCGGAAGAAGGAGGTCGGGTTCGTACGGGCCTGCGGCAAATCTGTCTTGGACTGGTGGAGAAAAACGTAGCTTCTCAAATCCTGGTCAGGTGTAGCTAAAGCCTCACGTGACGATCAAATATGTCCTTTTATTCGTTCGCGGTAGCTGTCAGGTGGATACAATCTTACATAATTACGCAGGCTTCTCCTGGACAATCAAGCAATTCTTGTTTCTACGTGGCTATTTCAAGAAAATTTGGATAGGAATCGCTTCAGGAAATTCAAAATAATGCTCAAGTAACAAATATCAAACGAGCGAGGGCAGTAGTCTTGGCAAGGATGGTTTATTTAAGGCGATAGCGTGGAATGAAAGAATCTGTACGAGCTGTCAAGTTGGTAAGGAGAGGACAAGCATCGACTGTCACAAACCGACCAATGAAAGGACTGTTAATTTTTCTCGCCTCTTAGCTAAGCAAATTGTCTTTGGAAGTCGGCGCTTCCGGCTGTGATCTCCCAGAGCCAGCATTTACAAACCATGAGCCGCTGCCCCGACAAGTGATGCAAAAAGACTCTCACCGCGCCCACCTCGGTGCGCCAAAGATTGGCGTTCAGCGACGTGGGTGAAAGTTCTAGATGTCACAAGGCAGCCAGGCACATTATCGTGGCCAAACACGTGGAAGGCTGAGTCAAGGGGCAAGGGGCTGAAATCTGCCTCGCCGGTGGCTGGGGTCCAGGCCGGTGAAACTGTATAGCCACCAATACACTTGCCCAAGTGCTTCTGGTCAGCACCGCCACTGAATGATTTGGGATTGAGGCTTGAACACTTTCAACTTGGAGATTATGATGCCGACATGTTGGTGGATAAATCGACTTCGAAAACTTAGTTCCATCAAGGCATTCTGAAGGCAAAATTGAATTTTGGGTTTAACATTCTGCCAATTTAGCTAGTTATAAGAACAGACTCCTAGTCCAATTATGGGATAAACCATGACGCGTTGAGATCCATGAAAGAGTGAAACTAACTTGAGCAAAAGTTGCAAACAAACACCTTTAAGCACCAACTGACGGAACACAATAAAGTTTGCGCAGCTCTCGTCAAACCCAAACCTTCTTGTAGGAAGGAACAGCCAAAGAACACCTACACCGAGCAACACCTACCTTTTGACTTGGCATAATATCAAGGTGTTGGCACCGAGGGCGAGCAGCTTCAACATGCCTCACTATACTTCAGACTTCAATTCCTACTATTTAACAGATTGCGAGCAACGACAACAGAAAATGCGCAAATCTTTTCTTGGTTCTGTTAAGGACAAGCTGACCCGCAAGTCAAGCTCGTCCATTCAGAAGAACATGCCCGCTACCAACAACCCGTTTACCGCCGCCCAATTGGCCAACAGTAGGTATTTTCTATCATCCTTCCCGTTAATTTTCTTTTTCGAAAAACCCTCATGAGCCCGAACATCCGCTTCCGATGGTCACTAACCAGCAGATAGCACCTGATCAGCCGCCCCCAGCCTACTCACTGACTGCAACTGCCTCACCTGAGTCCAGCTTCCTCACCCCCAATGGCGGCCCGGTTAGAAGCCTGTCTCCAGTCCCCTCCATCGCGAGCTCTATCGTATCGCTCTCAGGAATGAGTGTCTCAACTCCTGAAGACCCATACGCCTTTTTGTCCTCATTCGACACCATCTTCGTCATCGACGATTCAGGCTCCATGTCTGGCCGTTCGTGGCCCGAGGTTCAGGGAGTTCTCCGCGCTATCACACCCATCTGCACCGCCCATGACCCTGATGGCATCGACCTTTACTTTCTCAACCATAAGACGTCTGCCAGGGGTGATCCCAGGGAGGGCAAGGCCCCTGGGGGCTTTTATGGCATCAAGCGCGCCGACACGGTCGAGGGTATCTTCAGTTCTGTTCGTCCTCGTGGCGCTACTCCTACTGGCCAACGTCTACACAACATATTTAAGCCATACTTACAGCTACTTGATAGCAAGAAAGATGACATGGATAGTGTTAGGCCTATCAACATCATTGTCATCACTGATGGTGCCCCCTCCGATGACGTCGAATCTACTATCATCTCCACGGCGAAGAAGCTTGACAAACTCGACGCTCCTTTGCACCAGATTGGTGTCCAATTCTTCCAGGTTGGCAACGAGCCCGGCGCTCGTGAGGCTCTACGGGAACTCGATGACGATCTCGTGGATAGAGTTGACGGCGATCTTCGTGATATGGTCGATACCGTCACTTGGGAGAATAACACTAGGGGTATACTGACGGCAGATAGCATCTTGAAGGTCGTTCTTGGTGCGGTGGTCAGACGGCTAGACCGTCGCCGTACTAGTGGCGAGGGTCGTCGCTAAAGATGGCCGGCTGCATTAATTCCCTCTATCATATTTTTTTTTCTTTTTTCATTTTGGACCCGATGGCGTTACCAGAAGCTAGTAGACGCGGGGATTTTTGCTCTAGACACGGGAATGAGGGCCAAAGATACCCAGAGGTAAGGTCTTCTGCAAACATTGCAGATGTTAGCTACCAGGCTCGCGCCACCTTGTACCATCGTCGGTTGCAATATCGCTTGCCCATTGTATAGTAGTAACAGGAATAAAACATAAAAGTTCCTATACAACAGAGACTGTCAGATTACACAATGGTTGTCGCGTGGGGGAAAATGATCAATGCTGTTACTTTTATGTCAGGACGCCCGTTGGGTTAATTGCATGACAAGCAAACGAGAAACACGGGGGAGGGGAACCTCTGGAAATTACCAGAAGTCACTTCTGATGTGGACCCACCTCACTTTCACCCTGATCACAGAAATACAACTTCATTGACAGCCACCACCATACCATCTCAACCACGTTTCGGTTTGCAAAGGCTCATCCCACGCTCAACACAGGGGAGGGAAATACGTGACAACGCTCAGATGAGACCATTGTACGGGACCATCCCACGCTTGTACGCACCTCTGCAAAACCTGACCCGCCAATCAGTCAGACCGTCACTCTCCCAGACCGCTATCAGCACCGCCGTCGCCGCCACCAGAACTTTTGGATTAAACAAAAACATGAGCACATCATCGGCATCCCAGTCGTCGTTCCCATCATCCTCGGGCCCTACAGCCGCCAAGGGCACTGCCGCGGTAGAAGCGACAAGTGTGGACGACCATCAAATGCAAACTCTGTCTGAAGAGAGCCACCAGCAACACCACCCCACGAAAAGCACGTCACCGGCCCCTGAAAGCGCGACATCCAGCGCCCCCGCGGCCAGCACCAGCATCAGCAGGAGCTCCGATTCTAGCCAGCCTCAACCTCAGCACCCCTTGGCTTTGCCGCCGCTTCCCGAAGCGCCTACCAGCGGTGACTCCGCGGGAGGCAAAGGCGAGGACGCTGCGGCTGCTCCCATAACCCTCGACCTAGGGGGCCAAGCAGGAGCTGGTGCCTCAACCAGGCTTGATCACCTCGGACCCCTGGTAGTTCACCAGGACGGCACCATGTCGCGGATCAGTAACTGGGGCGAGATGACCGAAATTGAGAGGCAGAATACGCTGAGGATCCTTGGCCGGCGGAATCAGATTCGTCTTGCCAGTCTTAGGGATGGGGCCGGCGGCGAGAGCAAGTAGGGGTAAGGCCGAGAAAAGTAACGAGCGACGACAATAAATGAGGGTCCAACCATTCCATCCCACGCAGCCATTCCTATTGCCAAATTTGTCTTGTTCCCCTCGTCCTAACTCACTTCCCTATTCGATCCGACGCCGTTCTATGTGCCTCTCACCCGACTTACCAGCCCACCACTTTCCAAAGTGAGTAGGTAGTTTACTAGCGGGATTTTTTACGACGACGTTGGGTTCATCAAACGTATGGGTCACGAACGAGCTGCCTGAAAAGTACCTCGGTGGTTTGCGGCCACCATCCACCTTTCTTGCTATATTTTTTTGGGCCGCAAATGAGGAAATCTCACCGCGGCCCTGGGAGTGGGGTCATGGTGAGGCAAAGGAGTGAGGCTGGCTGCCCGAAGTGAGGTCAGGAGAGGCTTGTAAGCCGTTACTTTCATAGCCCATCCATATTGTCGTGATCTTGGGAGTTAGTTAGAGCTTGATGCATCATTCTCAGAACAAGAGCCAGTCAGTACTGTAGCATTGCACATGTGTTAAATAGCATCGGGTCATCAAACCCATCCGTATAATCCATTGCTGTAGTATACTCTACCACGTACCCTTTATCATGAGTTCGTGCAGGTATATATAAATCTCATCACATGTTGCCGATCCAAAAAGAAACACAAGACGCTCAGTAATACCGCCCGTTCTTCACCCCTCTACCTCCCACCGTGACCCCATCCCACAATAGTCCCTTCGTGCCTACTCGATATCGAACTCCATCTGATACCAGAAAAACCCAACGTCTTGAACATGAAACGCATTGCATACAGGCGTCAGTTGGTGGATATCACCAAGTGTTGACCAGCTCCACCCTAATTCTCCTCCTTGACAGGATCCGAGCGGGCCGTAGTCTGAGCTGCAGGCTTCGAGGGTTGCTTGTTCTGGAACTCCTTAAGCATGGAGGCGATGTCTTCGTTGCCTTCGTTCTTCTCCATGACGAGGTTCTTGAGCCAACGGTTCTCGGTTTCAAGGAGGTTGATGCGCGCCTCCAGTTGAGAGACCTTCTCAGACATCTCCTTTGCGCTCTTTTCGAGAGCCTGCTCGCGCTGCTTCTTCTTGATACGGAACCTTGCGCTGGCGGCCGTGTTCCTCCTGCGCTTATCCTCCTCGGCAGCAACACGGGACTGCTCTTCAAAGCTCTGCCCAGGTCTGCCACCGCTCAACGACTCAGGAGTCCTGGTCTCAGCAGTGCGGGGAGCAGGGGCGCCATAATGGTGGTTCTGTTGCTGAGAAACGGGAGGCGCATAGGTAGTTTGCGGGTTAGGTTGAAGAGGTTGAAGGTTACCCAAGCCTTCCGTGAAGGGCGGGACGCCCGAGGCAGGGTAGTGGTTGGTAAAATCGGGGAAGCTGAAGTCGCCTGTCATTGTTCATGGTCAGATGGATGGTTCAAGGCAAGTTATCAACTCCTGGCATCGTGGCGTCGGCGAGACAGCGGGATGAGGGGGAAGACGGGCGGGTAGCGCTTGTCAAAGAAACAATTGCATCCACGAGCCTAAATGTTGGAATAACAAGGCCATGGCCAGCGAGCACTTGCTCTATCCGTATGTGATGGCGGCTGCCCAGATGGTCGACACCCCCTGCTAGGGTCGATGACGGCAAGTCACGGGGTATTGCACCATCACCCGGCAATTTGTAAGCTCCAATCTGAAGTCGCAGCTCTCCCTCAAAACCGCAGGCAGGTAACCTGCATAAAAGCACCAAAAACTTCCAATCAAGACGATTGAATGAAACATGGCGGCGCATGAACCAGGTGGGGTAGAGCCGACAGGTCCAGAGGTTGGTGATAAGGCGATCGCACTTGCTTGGCTGTGACCCTGAAGGAAAGTTGAGTTGATCGTGGGAAACCGGACGATTAGAGTTCACGCAGAAGCCCCTTGACTCATGTAAAGTCGTGAATCACCGCTTCCCCAACCATTCACCCCATCTGCCAAAGAGCACATAGAACAGCACACCGGAGACGATGGCCACTGGGCCACGAAAGTAATGCCACCCTTTTGGGAAACGTAGTAGAGTAAGTCGTGTATACATGCGAAGGTCCAGAAAATATTTTTCTTGAAATCCAACGATGTTGAAATGCCTGCAACTGCAGAGAAATGGCATATAAAATAAAAAATAAAAAATAATAATTGGCAAAACAACATAATCACAAATGTGATTAGATGCAGCGAGCCAAACAAAGGGGCCGAAGCCGTTACAAGAACCAGGATCGAGAAAAAGAAATAAAAAGCCTCTCACCTGGCATGGAAAAGTCAACGTTGCCGAACTCGCCCATGGGAGACGTCAGCTCCTCAGTGACGGTGCTGGTAGGAGCCTGAGACTCGGCCTCGGGCTTCGCGGGCGGCGCCTGGTAGTCAGTTTGTTGACCAGTCTCGAAGTCGAAAAACTGAGTGTTGGTGAAAATAGCGAGATCGTCTTCAAAGCTGAACTGCTCCTCAGAGCCAGGCTCCTTAACGGTGTTAAGATCTCGCAAGTAGCGAGACACATTGGGGGCTCGCCCACTGGTGCTGCTGTAGGGCGACATATCGCAAGGCCGGGGGCGGCTCGTGAAGAAGCGACTTCGGTGTCGTCGGTCACGTCTGCGAGTTGACAGAGAAGCGAGGGATCTCCGTCAAATGCTCCAGGGCGAGGACGTCGAGTTGTTTTGTGGTTGCAAGAAGTTGGGCCCTCAAGTCAGGGACGGCGGCGATGGCGTTTGGAGGGGCAGTGGGCTGTTTTTGGATGCTGGACCCCCAGGCAATATTAAAGTGCGCGGTGCTATTGCGCGGACCAACCAAGGCGGGAAATGGCGCTGGGTTCGATTTCCGATTTTTCGGCACTGCGACGAGGGGTAGCGTGCAGTACGGGCGGTGCGACACGACGAACTGGCGAGACGTTGTCTTTTCTGTCTGTAAGTCGGATGTTGAGCGACACGGCTGCTAAGTTATTGTGAGGGCGAGGGTCGTCTCACGAGCTGTGCTGATGCTGCGTAGTTCAGGGTGAAGTGGATGAGATGGGGGAAGAGGAGTCGAAAATGGGCGAGAATGAAGCCTTTGTTCGGAGGCCCAGGTTGCGGACACAGGCCGAGTGGATTGTATTAGTCAAGTTCTTTACCCGACAGCGGGACCTTCAGTGTACCACAAGGGGCCCCGAACAAGCTCCGCTCTGTTGGCTCACTGCATCCATTGGCTGACCGTCTGTCCATCTCCCTGTGGCCACCCCACGCACTTGTGTGCCGCTGCAGGCAGTCTGGCCTCTGGTACGTACACATTACAGTAGGTCTGGAACCTCCACCCACCCAGCACCCACGACACGACGCACCATACCCACCCTGTGGCAGGTTAGAAGGACTGCCATCTGTGTAGAGTACCGCCGACACCGCTGCCGGTTGCACCAAGCATCTAGGTACTGGGTACTGGGTACTGGCTAGATGAGCCCCCACTGGCCGATGAACAGGTTAAAGTCAGCAGCAGTTGAGCCAATGACACGGACGGTCCAATACCTAGCCTTTGCTAAGCTTCTACATCGTCTGGCAATGACGATACGGCCAAAGGGCGCTGACAGGCCAGCACAGATCTCTGTACTCTCATAGCCTGTGCCCTTTCCCAACACCCTCTTTCGTCCGCTCCCACAGGGAAGGGTGGCCCTTAACCCTCGATTTTAAGCCCCTCTCTCATCTATTCGTCATTGAGGTCACCTAGCGAATCAACGATGCTGGAATATTATGGCCCCCGCGGTAATTGCGCATCTTTGGCCTGACAATCCCTTGATCTCGGGCTGCGTGCAATTGACGTTTTCCATTCGCATCTTCAGTTGATCGACAGGTAGGGCGTCATCCTGCACCATCTCGCCAAAAATTGCATCTCAAGAGGAATGGTGGAAGTTGGAGGAGCTCAACATCCCAATGTCCTTTTTTTTTTCCCCCGAATTTTATTTCCCTTCCCCGCCTCCTCTCTTCCCTTACTTCAAGCTACGGCACGCTCTTCTGTTGTTGTCGAGCATTGACTTTGTCGCGCACATACGTAGAGGCTGGCTGGCGCTTAGTTACTCTGCTGCCTCTTTTTAGATAGGTTCCAGCTTTGGACGCCCGTTGAAATGACACCAAATGCCGACGATAAATCCAGTGTCCTCCATTCCTCTGCCAAGCACGTTGTGCCAATAACAGTCAGTGACCAACCAACCTCTGCCATAGACTTGTTGCCATAATAAGCCTCACGCCAACGATGAAATTCCGGGAGCCATGACTCGGTACGTCCTGTTTGGGCCTGGTCTTGAGTTCTGGCGACAACCTTGCAGCAATTGTCTGGGCAAATTGTCTTGTGAAAGGACCCTGAATTTCTAAGCAGCCCTCCGACGCTCGGAACACGCACGCCTTTGTTCGGTAAGCAGGTCCGGCTGTGCCTCTCTCCCGCCTATCAATCATTTCCAGCGCGCCTTGATTGCCTGTCTTGTCAGCGTGCATCCCCTACCACGATGCCTGTTATGTTTCCTCGCACTAGCCTGTAGTGGCCTGTGCGTTAGGTCGGATCGGGCACCCATACCCATTCAACATTGCCCATGCCTTACCTAATCATCGGATCTTGCAGCTTCCCGTCCTCCACGTCCTCCACGTTCTTGTTACAACCTTAACTTACCTAAGATTCTCCTACAAGATCCAGTTGCTTGCTGTCTGTGCCCCGCCCCGTCTATTGCATCGAGATTAGCGCAGCCGAGCGAACCCATGCTTACCATGCATTGCGCCTACGACGCGTCAACCCTGTGTAGCAAACAGCATTGAAGCGCGTCTCCGCAGTCTTCAGCCTCACTTACCAGGTTGACTGGCGACATTTGGTTCGTAAACATCTAATAGAGATCATGAGAGACTACCATCGGTAATTCAATCGCCACCAAGACCTGCGACTATTCTTCGACCATAGTGTTCCGACGACTATGGCGCGTTTCTCGATCCCGACCAAGGGGCGTTTGGCGTCGGACGTGCGCCTTCCGCCTTCCAATGCCGCTGTTCAGAAAGCGCTGGGCCGCTTGTCTCGCTCATCACTTCTAACTCTTGTATTGGATTGGATTAGCGACGAGAACGTCACTCTTTGTGTACCATTCCTGGGGGAGGACATTGACGATGATGTTTTCTATCAGCCAGCCGCATCGCTGGATGAACTGCGGGCTGTTTACACGGAGCTGCAATCCCAAAAAGGGTCCAAGAGAGACGTTCTTGACCGCATTATCGAAGGCGACTGGCAGCATGGTCTGACTCTGTACCAATTGGCCATGGCAGATGCCCAATATCTTCAAGACCATCCGGCGTCACAAAAGTGGACGGCTTATAAAATTCTGCCCCTGAAGGAGATATCTCTTGAGGGGGGTGATGAGCAACCGGTTCTGGAAGTCGACAGAAAGTCATTGAAACTGCCACGATTCCACCCATCCACATTTATACAGAATCTTCAATCTCATGTTCTCCCAGACGTCAAGGCCCACTATCACATTCACCGGCCACACGGACTAGCTCTCTCAGTCTTGCGCATCTTCATCGTGGAGTCCCCATACAGCACAAGCATGGCGCATCTTGGTAATGGAAGCATATCCACTAACCCTGATGGCGATAACTCTCGGACGCTTTATATAGCATTTCCTGACGCTTCGCCATACATTTACCTCTCCAAATCGCAAACTCTTGGAACGCTAGGCGCAGCAGAGTCAAAGAGTTTCCGCAACCTGGTTGTTGCAGGTATACCAAAAGCTCTTTCTCGGCCTCGAGAAAGATATATACTGAAACCTACACAATTCTCGACTAAGAACATCTCGGCATTGTTACACACCAGAGGTGTCGGCCGTACAAACGCGGCTGCAGGTGGATGGGACATTTATGCCGACAAGAAGAAGACCGAGTCACCCCTTGATACCATTTTACCTACTCCTCCGTTCTCTGAAGATTCATCCGACGACGGTCCGAATACGCCTAGAACCACTGCTCTCAAGAGGAAAGCCGACACATCTGATGGCATCGACAGGGTGTCAAAACGATCCCTTCTCTCTGCTCAAGCAAGGTTTGGGGACACTGCTAGAGTCGATGATGGGCTCGCCATCGAAAGAGTAGACATTACGATCGAAGATCCATTTATCGGTCTCCCTCAAGATGCATTGAACGCAGAGAAAGATTCCCAGTCTGCACAAAGAACGGACGGAAGTCAGGATGATGGCAGGTCACGCTGGACTCCGGATGTGAAGTTGGTCTTCCATGGCTCTCATGTATTTGCCGGGATACGAAAACTAGTCGAAAACGGGATTGTGAATGGAGAGCGGATGCCCGGGTGGTTAACAGGAGAAGAAAACGTCACTGTCGGGGCCGTCCGACATGGCAGGGTGAGGGGATATAAAGGATCAGGGATATGAGAGGCGTATGGGGACATTTCATGTTTGCAGGAAACAACACCCGGTGGCGTCTGGTTTCCACTTTATGTTTGTGTGGTCTGAGTGATATCGTCCAGCTTGATACCCCCTAATGCATTTATGAAACCTCTATACGTATGTCTATTGATCTACACCAAAAACCTTCACCGTGTTTCTCCAAGCTGCCTCACAAACCTCTTCGACTTCTACCCCCTTGATGCCTGCCACTGCTTTGGCAACACGCTCAATCATACAGGGCTCGTTACGGCCTTTGATCATCGCACCCTCCTCCCACTTCTCTTTCTTAACAACCTTGAAGCGTTCTGGAACCTCTGGTTCCTTCTTTTGGTTCTTCTTCTTGCCCTGAGGCTTTGCAGCTGTCTCTGGGCTTGTGGTGCCGTCGGTGCCGTTAACCTCGGGCTTTTTCTCAATCAAGTACTTGTAACCAAAGTGACTCGGCCGGATCTCGCACCAAGGGCCGTCTGTCTCCAACATCATTCTATCCAGGTCAATCTGCTTGACGACCTCGCAGTTTTCCTCGGTCTTGAAGCTGCAACCGTTAATGCCGATGTATAGCCCCAGATCCATGAGTTCCCTAGCCTCTTCGATGGTGCCCGTAAAGCTATGGACAACGCCACCCTTCACGAGTTTCTCGAGTTTCTCGCCAAACTTTTCTTTGAGCAAGGATACGAAGTCTCTGTGAGCCGCTCTCGAGTGCAGAAATAGGGGCAGCTGTGGTTCTGCGCGAACGACAAGGTCAAGCTGCGCAGCGAAGCTGTGGATCTGAATAGTTCTAGAGCAGTAGTGCAAACGGTCATAGTCCAGACCAAATTCACCAAAGGCAACGAGACCCTTCTGGGTGGACGTTGACTCTTTGATAAGATCTCGGAGCTCGGCGATGATGGCATCCGTCTTGGCGGGGTCCGGCTCATGGTGCTCGGGAATAGGCTGAGACGGGTCAGGATCGGTGTGCACGCTCTCCGCGGCCTCGTCCGAGGTGCTAAAAATTGCACTACTGCATGGATGAATGCCAACGGTGGTGTAAACAGTACCAGCTATGACTCGTATCAGCACAGCTCAAGGCAGTAGTCTCTCATCAAACTGCAACTCACGATACTGGCGGGCAATCTCAAGAGCATCTCGAGAACTGGTGAAGTCGGACCCAGTAACTATCAGCTTGGAACATCCAACCTCTTTGGCTCTCTTGATGACACTATCTAAATCATCGGGATGACGCCGCTTCCCATGATGCAGGCCGCGGAAAATGGGGTCAGCTAAATTGATGCCAATCTACTAGAACGCAACGATCAGCAACTGGGACAGGCTATCAATTCCATGGTTACAACACACATCAATGTACCGTGGCTGGTAAGTCGACTTAGATGTGTCTGTAGGAGTCGCCATGGTGACTTTGGACGAAGAATAAAAGCAAGCTCGTCTAGGCAAAGTTGAGATCCAAGAATATGGCCGCGTTCTTGTGATAAGAAACGAACGGATCCTCATGAGCAATTAGTAGAAGCGAGTGCGGTAGGTAGGTGTGATTAGCCACCCACGCAAGGCAAGAGATGCTTCTTTATAGAAACGAAACGTCCTAAGAGTCGTGAGGCCAAACGAATAAAGGTCTACGTAGGATCTTGGAAATTGGGTTGGCCTCATCACGTGACACCGTGATGCAACAGCTGCCCCACGAGAAGGTGCACGCGTAAAGTGGCTACAGAAAAATCAATTAAGCTGGAATCGCGACACTGGAGGCGGGGGTATTTTGCAAACGCGCACTCCATCAAGGCAATGTGAAATCTCCAACACAATCTAAGTATAGATCAATCAAGACATTTAATTGAAGTCACCATTTTTTGCAAACGGAAACCGGTGCCTGGGACAAACGTCCACTGTGGAGTTGAGTCGTCAGAGTTGATTTCCAAGCCTGCCGCAGGATTAGTCAAGTTCGCCAGCAACCAGCGACAAATGTGTTCCGTAAAGTGTTGGCTCGGGGATGCGACCGCGAACCGAGGGGCACTGGCGGAGATGCCTGGCTTTCGAGGCCGACCACCTTTTTTTCCCAGCCAATCTGTTATTGATGCCTTGGCGTGCCCCTGTCTCGTCGCGCTAAATTCTGGCGTCGCGTTTCCACGCGAACCCGGCCCATAAGTATCTGCAGCAACTCCTGGCACTCTCTGCTTTTCTTCCCCCTCCTACAACCAACACCACAACAACTTTTGACGACTTTTTGCCAGACTTTTTGTAAAGATCTGGTGTCCTTGATACCCTTTCTTGTGTAATCGCTCTTGACATCATTCCTTTTGAGCTATCTGCGCCTTCCTGACCCGACTTGAACTACCCCTCTTACTCCTGTTCTCACAGCCGCACGGCACCATGTTCGTGAGGAAGCGCGGTACGTCGAGTCCAAGCAAACGTTTGCATGGTTTAGGTATTAATTGAGCGTAGACGGGCGCCAGGAGCGCGTCCAATTCGACAAGATCACTGCCAGAGTGTCGAGGCTATGCTATGGCCTCGACATGGACCATGTCGACCCTGTCGCCATCACTCAGAAGGTCATCTCCGGTGTCTACGGCGGTGTTACGACTGTGCAGCTTGATGACTTGGTAAGCCCCTTGCCCCGACTTGACTGGCCACAATTCGATTTCTAACTGTCTTGCAAACAGGCCGCTGAAACTGCCGCCTACATGACCGTCACCCATCCCGATTACGCTATCCTCGCTGCTCGTATTGCAGTGTCCAATCTCCACAAGCAGACCAAGAAGCAATGGTCTTCTGTTGTCAGCGACCTCTACCACTACGTCAACCCCAAGAACGGCCGTCTGTCTCCCATGATTGCAAAGGAGACGTATGATTGCGTCATGAGACACAAAGAGGAGCTTGACTCTGCCATTGTCTACGACCGTGACTTCAACTACCAATACTTTGGCTTCAAGACTCTGGAGAGATCATATCTTCTTAAGCTTGACGGCAAGATTGCCGAAAGGCCGCAGCATATGATCATGCGTGTCGCCGTTGGCATTTGGGGTGATGACGTCGAGCGCGTCATCGAGACCTACAACTTGATGTCTAGCAAATGCTTCACCCACGCCTCGCCTACTCTGTTCAATGCTGGTACGCCTCAGGCTCAACTGTCATCATGCTTCCTCGTCGATATGAAGGAGGATTCCATTGAGGGTATTTACGACACCCTCAAGACCTGCGCCATGATCTCCAAGATGGCTGGTGGCATTGGCCTCAACGTCCATCGCATCCGTGCTACCGGCTCTTATATTGCTGGCACTAATGGTACTTCTAACGGTGTCACTCCCATGCTCCGCGTCTTCAACAACACTGCTCGCTACGTTGACCAGGGCGGCAACAAGCGCCCTGGCGCTTTTGCCATCTACCTTGAGCCCTGGCACGCCGATGTCTTTGAGTTCTTGGATCTCCGGAAGAACCATGGTAAAGAAGAGGTCCGCGCTCGTGACCTCTTCCTTGCTCTCTGGATTCCTGATCTATTCATGAAAAGAGTAGAGAAGAACGGCGACTGGACTCTCATGTGCCCCAATGAATGCCCTGGCCTTGCCGATTGCTACGGCGAGGAATTCGAGGCTCTGTACGAGAAGTACGAGCGCGAGGGCAAGGGCCGTAAGACCCTCAAGGCTCAGAAGGTCTGGTATGCCATTCTCGAGGCGCAGACTGAGACTGGTAACCCTTTCATGCTCTACAAGGATCACGCCAACCGCAAGAGCAACCAGAAGAACCTCGGTACCATCCGCAGCTCCAACCTTTGCACTGAGATCATTGAATACTCAGCTCCTGATGAAGTCGCTGTTTGCAACTTGGCCTCTCTTGCCCTGCCTTCTTTCGTTGATTACAACGAGGGTGTTTATGACTTCCAGAAGCTCCACGAAGTCACCCAGGTCGTTGTCCGTAACCTCAACAGGATCATCGACGTTAACCACTACCCCGTCCCGGAGGCTCGCAACAGCAACATGCGCCACCGGCCTATTGGTCTCGGTGTACAGGGTCTTGCTGATGCTTTCCTAGCTCTGCGCATGCCCTTCGAGTCTCCAGAGGCGCGTGACCTCAACAAGAAGATTTTTGAGACTATCTACCACGCTGCCCTCACAATGTCAGTGCAGCTGGCAAAGGAGGAGGGTACCTACTCCTCTTACGAAGGCTCCCCTGTTTCCCAGGGTATTCTCCAGTATGACATGTGGGGAGTAAAGCCCTCTGACTTGTGGGACTGGGATTCTTTGAAGGAGCAGATCAAGCAGCACGGCGTCCGCAACAGCTTGCTCGTTGCACCCATGCCTACTGCCAGCACCTCGCAGATCCTGGGTAACAACGAGTGCTTCGAGCCCTACACATCCAACATCTATCAACGCCGTGTTCTCGCTGGTGAGTTCCAGGTCGTCAACCCATGGCTTCTCAAGGACCTCGTCGACATGGGACTGTGGTCCGATGCTATGAAGAACCGCATCATTGCCGAAAACGGTTCCGTTCAGAACATCCCCAATATCCCTGCTGAGGTTAAGGCTCTGTACAAGACTGTCTGGGAGATTTCCCAGCGAACTGTTGTGCAGATGGCCGCTGATCGTGGTGCCTTCATCGACCAGTCCCAATCCCTCAACATTCATATGAAGGATCCGACCATGGGTAAGATCACCAGCATGCACTTTGCGGGCTGGAAGCTTGGTCTTAAGACGGGCATGTACTACCTGCGTACCCAGGCAGCCGCTGCTCCCATTCAGTTCACTGTGGACCAGGAGGCGCTTAAGGTTGCCGACAGCAATATCAGCAGCAAAGTCCTTAACAAGAAGCGTGCTCCTCCCCCTGGCCACATCTCTTCGCCTGTTTCATCCGTCCCCAGGCCCATGTACGCGAAGAAGGAAGACGGCGCTGCTCAGGATAACGGCATTCCTACCCCCAGCGTTACCCCTCCCCCTCGATCAGCCCCTGCTCAGAAGCCTGACAGCATGAAGGCTGATGTTCAGGAGGGTGACAGCCCTCGTACTCTTCCCACGGAGCCTGCCGAGAAACTCAAGATCGAGGAGCTTCAGACCCCGGGAAGCAAGACCCCTGATGCCGAAGACAAGGCTGAAGACAGCAAGGAGCGCGAGTTGGATATTTATTCTGAGGCTGTTCTTGCATGTGAGTTGCTCTCTATTCCTTTGTTTGAAACCAAACCTGACATCCAATTAGGCAGCATCGAGAACCCTGAAGCCTGCGTCATGTGCAGCGGCTAGATGTGGAAGTAAAAACGCAATGGAATTGACGGCTGATGACAAACGTTGATGGCATAGAAAGGGGGTTCCGGCATTATGGTATTATGGTCACGTTGGTAATTGTATTTTCTGGGCTCATGGGTGGCATCGGTGATGAATAACACCGCCTCTGTATTTTGTTGGGCGGACAGCTGCCAAGTCCGGGACACTCAGTCGATTTCGATTGGGAGACTACTTGGTCCTATGGCTAAGTTGTTGTCGTTTATATTGTAATTGGGTGCGTGGATATCCTGGTATTACACAGTTTTTGGGCGTTGGGATGAAAACCTGGTTGGTTGCCAACCCTTTTACAGTAGCAATAATATGTGTCTGTCAATGACTTCCTGTCCGGTCTTGCATGCTATCCGCTGGATGAAGGTCTCCGTCGACAAACTAATAAGCTCCATGACTCGAACCTGGAGAGGCATCCCTAACATCAGCTTCGACTGAAAAGGATATGTAAACATCACGAGGCTAGTCGATTATATTGTCATATGTGGAGGGGATTTCCCAAGCTGCCTCCATAACTCCTTGCATCGTGTTTTCTCTGGCGTCGGCCCGGTATACCAATGTTGCTGGGTGGAAGGGTCGATCATCATAATACCAGCTGAATGAGACCCGCCGGCTTGGGAGTGGAGACAACGCAAATGGGAGGGTGCCCGCATTAACCCAACTGCTAGAAGCTCTTCATCAGTCAATCCGAGTCTTATAGGCTTTCAAGAATCTCCTGAAATGAGCACTTATCGGTAAGGATTCACCACTGATGGGCCGTGGAATGGGCCGAGAAGACCGACCCGAAGACAATTACCCATTCGCTTCTAGGACGGAATGCAACTAGTCTCGGTCGAATTTTATCATGGCAAAGTGATACTTTGTACCAATGAAACAGTTCTGGTCGCAGTAAACTAGTTCTCTTCCATTTCACATATGTTCGACCTTGTTCAGCTGCAAATCCAAATATGCTTGGGAACATCTACCGTTCCAATCTTTGTACACCGATATATCATCAGTCCCCGTTACGTTGCAACGTTCAAGGCCACTGTTGGCAAGCGTTTGTGGAAGCTCTCTCATTTCTTTATTGTTTCAAATTCCTACCGACCTCCCATCCTTGTGCAATATGAAAGGCAACACATTGGTTGCACCTTTTTGAGTTGACACAGCAAGGAAGGACGGCTGGCTGCCTCCGTATGACACTCGATGGGCAAAGGCACATTTGGGAGCGGGGAGGTTGCAGAGAAGGGACACGGACGGCACGGCACGTATTTTCAAAGGCAAACGATTGGGGGAATTTAGTGACCAACACCTAAGTTGTGAATGAATCAGTGAGCTAGGAAGATGAATTGCGCGTGTTTTTTCCTTGTAACCAGGGCGATGTTTGTTATTGACGAAGAGAAACGCCAATGGTTCGATCCCATCCCATGGTTCTTTCGCACTGTTCTGTTAACCAAACTAGGACAGCGACCCAAAACAACCAGACCCTTCGCAGTGACTGCACTTCTGTATCAATTCGCGGAGCGAGTACCTGGTATCGATCGAATCGCTGGGTGAGCCGTTGTGATAAAGCCTGTCATGAATCCGGCGACTGAGGCACTAAACCCTCATGTCTCTTCAGATGTGGCTTCATAACGGCTAGAGTGTTACTGAGCGGTAAGGTGACGTGTCTGTGGCAGTAAACTCATGCAAGTTTAACCGTGCTTATGCCTCCGTCAACTCAGTCTAGCGGCTATGCACATGAGGCCTCTATTAAGCTTGCGAATCTGTGCTGGACGCGCCTCGAGCTGTCGTTGCTGGAATGGCGGCGTTCACTCCCCTGGACTGGTTGCACGGAATTTGGAGGATGGGTAGTTGGGATCACAGGTTTGCTTGTTTTGTTGGGTTGGTAGCGCCGGAATCCAGCAGAGGGAGGCAACGTCGGATTTGAGAAATGTTCATCTCGCTGGTGTTGTCATACTTTAGTACGGGTAGCCCCTTGACAAGCTGAGAATGGGGCATGCCATTACTAGCAATAGTAGCCAAAGTGCGCTTGGCATCGACACCAGCCCCCTGCGGTGCCGGTTTTCCCAATGCCAGGCGCAGCGTCAGGGAAACCATAGGTGTCATTGGCGGGATGGCGGTGATGGTAACTGGCGGAGCTGCCGGCAATCGAACACTATGCGGGGCTATTGTGGAGCCATATACATCCTGCGCGGCCTCACCGACGTGCTCCAGTGGTGTGTTCAGGAGGTTGCGCCGTGAACAGGATCTGCGTTAATCGCAAATGGTATGTAGATGTTGGCAGAGTAGCTTATGTCAATTTGACTACCTACGTAATATCCGCCTGGATCAAGTGAGGACCAGAGTAATACTAGGTAAAGAGACCTTTAGGAGCGTGAGAGTGGAATGTAGGAGTTAACTTTTCGATCCCAATGAGGTATCCCTGGTCGCGGTGCACACACTCTGGCATTCTCCTGCGTGCCTTCCTTTTAAGCTAAGTACAACCCAATCGCATGGAGCACGGCATCAAGGGGAAGCTGTGGCGCCATAGTGGACTGCCCCATGGCAGAACTGGCCAATCAGAGAGGGCGAATTGCGATCTGTTGACTTCATGTCTTCTCGAACCTGCAATCTCATTCACCCATACCCGGCCTCGTCGATTAAGCATTCGCTTTTCTGATTTCTAATGCAATGTCTAATGCAAAGCGGCATCTGCTGATAATGGTAAGGAAAGAAGGAAAGTTGGGTAAGGGCTGGTCTCAAAGGTCTCCCGGCACTTTCTGGGCCGATTGCTGCCTTCCTAGCAAATCTTCCATAATCTTTAGAAACATGCATGCTTGTGTTGCTGTACTGGCCAGCACTCGTAGAATCAGCAGACTGGCCGCCAAACTGATAATTGTCATTCTATTCTATTGTGAAAATCCGTCAAGTTTCCGTTGCAGACATTAGGTTTGATGAGCTTCATAAACCAAAAACTGTTCTCGCCTGAAGACCCGGATTGGTCTCTAGGACACCCATTTTGTTGTTGCTGGTATCTCAGTCCTCGTTAGGAACGTCTGGTTTTTCATAGTTGCAGCCATAAGAAAGCGTCCTCCCCCCCCCCCCCCCCCCCCCCCCCCCCACTGGCCCATGGCAACTAGCATAAGTTTACAGCAGGCTTGGGAGGACTTTTCTCCCAAGGGCGCTATTTTAGCGCCTTCGTAACTGTACAGGCAAATTACCAAGAATCACAAGCTGAAAAAGACTGTAACATCGTACAGTGATACATCTTGTCCAAACCATGCCTCGTGTAAGGGTTGCTTGGGTCATTCAAGCACACAGGCTTCCAGGTAGATGCTTGACATTATTGCAGTGGGGAGTGGTAATCAAACCTGTAGCTCCACGTCTCCGGCCAAAAAGACTCGTACACGCTCACTTATGCTTTCTTGTTCATCATTAGTTTAAAAGGGCTACTTCTGGGGCTATCCAAAAGCGCTCGAGAGCTCTACCGTGGCAGCGGGGTGGGCCGTGTCGACTCTGGTCGCATCCTGCTTCATCCCAACACGAACCGTAACAATGGTATGACATTCTTCGATTTCGCAGCTTCTTTAACATTGGATAAATCCGATCTGTTCATATGCAGACATTACATAATCACTGAGTTAATTGCGTCTCAATTAACTATTTCAAAGTGTATTTTCTTCGCTCAGAGCCGCTACCAGACTGATCCATGATGACCAAAGAGCAGTTTTGAGCCGAGGTTACGGAAATCAGGTCAATTGATCCCAGATTAGGAAAGGTATGGGATGAAATAAGCTTACAATTAGCTGTTTGTAGCTGTCGTCACAGGTAGCGGGTTCTGTTAAAGTTGTCCTCCACATCAACTTCGAACCAACAACTCCAATCCCGCCTCAGGAAACGTCTCTGCGAACCGTGTTTCAATTCTTTGGCAAGCTCAGACAGATCTGGTATCAACTCACATGACTTGGTTGGATTGTTGGCTAGTTCAATTTGAACTCCCAGCAATGGCACGCGGAGGGAGTCGAGAAATGTAAACCCTGGCTGGAATACAGAGCTCCGGTCGAACAAGCTGGTAACCTTGGTATATCAAAGGAAGCTCAGCTTCGACGGGATATAAGTAGCACGGCTTTGATAAGCCATGCGAGTTAAGTCAGAGGGTATTTGGGAGGTGAGGGTCAAGAAGGGGAAGGAGCGTAATGGGAAGGGGAAGACCCGTTTGTGCTTCCCCATTTTGCCTGTGGTCCATATCTTCCACACCCACCCCTTCACTGCCTTTAAATCGGCAAGCGCCTCCTGCCAATCGTTTACGTTCCTCCTTCACTTTGGCTCTCGCTTAAGTCTGTGTGGTATAGTCACCCCTCCCAACGCGAATCGAAAACATACAAAACAAAAAAACGGCCATCCTATCTCCTGAAGTATTTCCCTTTACCTCCTCCTTGATTACTCAAAACAACCCGTCCGTCATCAACACCACTCTCGCTATCCCTTCCCTTGCGCAAGATTCCCCCACAAACTGATCTCGGTCTACGATCAGCCTCAAATTATACCGTACATCAAGAAAATTTAGTAGGTGAGTTATCATGATACCAACATCTTCGACACAGATGTATCCCTGCGCTCCTTTCATCCCATACCTCTTACCTTCCATACCTTTCAGGTCCTTCTTTCCCCCAATCCGCTTGGAAACAAGCAGAGGAGGACTACTTAGTCAGTATTCACTTAAAGCTCCTGTACAAGGCAAGACCTACCTTGCTCCTTCCCTCGCCAGTTTCTCGTCACACTGCACCTTCCTCCAGTTGCAGCTTCCCAGATTTGAGTAACGACCTAATTTCCCCTCCCATCTCCCACCCCAATCCTCTTCAGCCCTTCTTCTTTTTCCATCCACTGCTCTCTTTTTTTCATCACAACAAACCTTCGCCCAAACACTTTTCATTTTACAACTCCCCACTGCTTCTACGCGAACACAACTTCTACCCTCCTTTCCCAAACTTTCTCAAAGGTAATTTTTGTTCGCCAGAATCTCAACCATTGTTGAATCTGATTTGATTGCCTGTTGCTTCCATTCTTTTAATACTTCAACTTTCTTAGCTCTCTATGTTAAGTGTCTTTGTGACTAACTCATCCGCGCAGGTTCTTCACCTCTCTATGTCAATACAGTCTGTCCAGTGCAACTCACGCTTTTCAGCTCACAAAATTCACTCACTCGACAAGTCAATCACGATGAAGTTCATCATGTACTTTGGTTCTGGCCTGGTCATGGCCGCCGCCGCCATGGCTCAAGGCAATAACCTCTCTGAATGTGGTGTAAGTTTTTTTGCCTTGCGTTTTCACATTTATTGTCTTGGACAGGATAGATGAGCGACAGCCCAGAAAGGGTATTTCTGATCCATGTCTTATGAAAAACCGCTTTCAATCGCTCCAGTATTTTAACAATAATTTAGAGAATCTGCATTCAGAATATGCAGGGCCAAGCCACAGCTCTTGGCTGCACCGCTGGTGACAACGCCTGCCTCTGCCGCAACCCCAACTTCACCTATGGCATTCGCGACTGCTCGTACCAGTCCTGCCCTGGAGCTGCTCAGGCTGAGCAGGGAGTCGCAGCTGGCGTTGAGATCTGTCGTGGTATGTTAGCATTTCTCTCATGAACTGAAACACTCTGACCACTGCTCAGCTGCCGGAGTTGTCGTTGCGACCACTCCTGAGGCCACTGTTGTCAAGCCTACTGGCACTGCCACAGTTATCGTTCCCCCCGTCGTCTCTACTATTTTCTCTGTCATCACCTCCGATGGTAAGACTATTACTACCGCCATCGGACACACCACCATCGCCCCCGTTGACAACGCCAATGGTGGTACTCCTGTCTCTAGCGCTGTGTCTACTTCTACCTTCACGACTGTCGTTACCAACGGAGGATCTACCTTCACAACCACCGGTGAGACCACTTTATTTGGCATTGGGGGTGTGCCTGGCGGTGCCTCCTTGCCCCATCAGACTCAAGTCACGACGGTGCCTGTTGTTAGCACCATCACCACCGGTGACAGTGTCATCACGTCAACAATCGGTTCCACTACCATCCTAGCCGGACCTGATCCCACCAGTGTCCAGCCGAGTCAGGAAGCTGATGTCTCGTCCCACACTGAGACTCATCAGACGACCCAGTCTCGGACTGGCCAGGCCACCAGCGCCTCTTCCACCGGTCATGTAAGTAATCATCTTATCTGCACATCGGTCCTAGGAAATAACATCTCTACAGGCCCCCAAGCAGACTGCTGGACCTGCTGCTGGCATCCTCGCAGCTGCCGGTCTTGCTGCTATGCTCATGTAGCCAGGTTTCTGCTCGGACTTAAGCTGAGCTTTTTTCTTCCTTTTCGGTTACGATACGCGCATTTTCGACGCAAATACCCGCCTGGACCCATAATCTTGTTTTTCATCCAGACTTATTCTTACGTTTCTACCAGTTTTGAGCTCAACACCTCTGTGGATGGGCACATCTTTGGGGAATGGAGTGAGATCGTCAGATGAACAGAACATTGATGGATCGTATTTCTGGAGGGGTCAACAGGCATGCATGATGAGTTATTTCCGTCTGGTTTTGAGATGGCAATTAAAAATGGATGCATTATACACATGACCTTGCACTAGGAACGTAATGGCGTGACGGAAAGACGTCGACTGTCTATTTTGTAGGAGTTTTAAAAGTTTTCAAGGGCAACTAACTGCAGATGAACTCTAGTGATGGATGCTTTCGGGACAACTATCATCGTAGCCGCGGCGTCGTTATGCATACTCACGTTGTTGATTATGAATGCTGTGACGGAATAACTTTGTTTATTCGACAAGGCACAACTGGGTGCAGTGCTGTACTCCTCATACAAAATATTGTTACATTTTTATCTGGCGAACGAATCATGACTGGAAGGTTCTACAAGAGGCTGAGAGCTCCTCCAGGGTATCATGGGTTTGTGGAACCGACTATTGTACAAACGCGCTGCTCATGGGGCAGACTTCTTCAAAAGGGCCAGCTTGGCCGCCAAACTAGCTCTTACAACCTCGTCGGAATCCGAATCAGACCCTGAGCTGCTTGTCGTGCTATCGTTTTCGTCATCGTCCTCTCCTAGACTTTCCTCGGCAATGATGTTATTTAGGACATCAAGCCTCCCCTCGTCCTCATCCTCACTAACATCCTCCCCATCGCTGGGCAGTTCGCCATCTTCCATGTTGCGTCGCAACTTCTTACTGCCCTTCCCGCCTTTTTTGCCAATGGGCTGGTTGCCACGCTTCCGTTTCTGCGTCAGAAGAACCGGTTTTGGCTCGGACACTAAGAAAGCTGGCAGAGGCGATCCATGCTCGACGACATAAATGGTCGGAAATTCGAGGACAGTGATATCGCGGAGGGCTTCGCCTAATGGAAGTGTCGCATCGACGGCGTGCACGACAACTTGGCCCGCTGCTGCCGTCGCGGCGGAGGTTGTACCCACGAGGAAGAAGGTGTACTTGCTCTTCTGTGCCTCCTCTTCCTCAGTCATCCCCGTAAATGCGGGTACGCCGGTTTGTGGCATCCAAGTACCACGGGGGCTGACTTGTAGGCAGTATCGGCCAGGGTGCCATGCACCTGTCTCAGTATCTTGGGCTGTGGCAAGAGACTGACCGGGCTTGTGCGGATGCTTGCGACGCTTCTTAGGCCGGCCGCCTGCATTTGTGTCCCGGCTCTCATCAGGTTCCTCGCCATCTTCTTGTTGCAGCCGCTGCTGCTCCCTTCTCGCCAGGTCGTCGTTGAAGCTCTTCTGACCCATCACGAAAGCCTTGTAAAGCGGCATATCGTCGAGCGCCTTTGCCAAAATCCTTTTCGTCTCGACCTTCGGCGGATCATCTGTTGCTTTCTCTATTTCTTGTTGTGTTTTAGTGTCGGCCTCTAGCGCAGGTGGCGACACGAGCAGCCACTCGACCTGCCAGTTGATACGGCTCGAGGCTTTACTAAAGTTTGTTCCGTTCTCTTTCTGCCTGGCCATACCAACTGGAGCGCGCCGCAAAAGAATACCAAACTTCCCCAGCCTCTTCTTGAAGGGTAAGGAAGATAGCATCTCCGCGCTCTTCAGCCCTGATCCACCTCCCGCATTATCGCCGCGCAACAACTCCGTGACAAGAACTCTCCTCTTTCTCCCGTCCCTGCCTGTTTTCCACTTGACGGTCCTGACCTCAATAGGCCGCAAGTCCTCCGGCCGAAGGAGATGCCGTTCCTCGACAATCTCTTTCTCTGAGCGCTGAACGGCACGCTCAATGCTCGACAGGAAGTTGTAGTCATGGTCAACGCCAGCTGGGGTCTTCAGCTTAGAGGGCGGGACGTAAGCCGTAGCATCTCGAATTCCGTTGCATGATGACCATGCCTTGTGTCGCTTTGTGCAGGCCAGCGAGCAGGTTCGAATCGTGCATCGCGGGCATTTATACTTGGGCGTTTCTATATGACAGATAGCGCAGAGGCTGGTGAGAAGGGGATCGGCCATGGCCGACCGTGGACAGTATTAATCGAATAAACAAGATTCAAGGTTACAATTTGTGGGAAAAAAAGGAGTTCGTTGTCAAAAAGAGTGAAGTCTGGTCTTGACTGACCGTCAAAGGAACGACGTGGTGGTTTGCGAGTACTGATGCAAACAGAATGACATTGATGTCTGGGAACTTTTCCCCGTTATCACTGGTTTATCAGAGATGATCATTACTGATAGGGTTAAATTTTCTCCGATACCGGATAATCTGATGAGACCGTGCGGTAAATCTCATGCAAGTGACATATTGATACAGAAAAGTTCAACATAATGTCAAATACTTAATATGGAGACACATATTCAACTATCATGTAACCAAGTTTTGCATAAAACCTGTGGCAGACGCATGCAGTTTAGGGTAAGGAATGTTTGAGGAGCTCGATGCTGCAGGCTCCGGGATGATGGGTTCAACCAACCCAGCAGTTCGGCCTCTACGATTGTGACCATTTCAACTTATGCTGTATTTCATCATGGTAAAGTATTGTTGCGTCTTTAACTTCGAGGGATACTTCTCTGGGTAACGAGGAACGTGAACTGAACAAAGCAGAAGCTTCACCCTCATAGCCTACAAATAATATAAAATCGTGGGAACATGTGCCCGTCCTTCGGCGAGCCTGGTCAATTAACCCGATAGAGAAGGAAGATAAGATAGAGTAAAAAAATAAAAATAAAAAAAATAACCAGACATTTGTCTCCTAGCACAAGACATAGAAAATGGCAAAGCTAACGCCGGACACGAGAGAGTTTTTGTCCTTGACCGCCAGTCGCAAAAAGGTATAAGACAAAAAGATGTATGCGCAATGTCGGTAAATCGTCCTCCCCATTGACTCAGGGAGAGAAAAAAAAAGTCCTCCCTGGTCGCTTGCTTTCTCCTCCAAGTCAAGTATTATCTTGCGAGCCCTCTAATTATTAACAATTAGCGAGTGCCGCCAAGAGCGCTGATGCGAGCGCCCGATGGCCGGTGAATGAGGCCATCAGAGTGCTTGCCGACAACGCCGTGCTGCTGAGGCATGGACTCGGACTCGCTACGATCCTCCTCAAAGTCCTCATCATCCTCGACGATCTTTGTCGGGATATCCTCACGAATCATGTACTGCTGACTTGATCGCTCGGGAGTCGCAGCGCTGGAGGCGAAGGACATCGCCGTGCTGCTCCTGTTGGGAACAAGGTCGGGAGTAGGCGGGATGCTGGATGTCCTGCCAGAGACGGGGTGAAGGAGGCTGTCCTCACCCATCTCCGAAGTCGCATTCGACTGTGTATCGTGACCATCGTCACTCTGGCCGGTGGCAGAGAGGTTGCTGCGACGACGCTGAGCACGAAGCTTGGCGGCACGCTCATCAATCTCGGCATCCTGGGCCAACTGAAGGCCCTCAACGGCAGCCTGACACTGCTCGGCAATGTTTCTGATGATGTGGGCAATAGCATCAGTCTTGTCCTTTAGGTGGCGGTCAGCCACATCCTTGAAACTGGATGTCGAGAGTCTCTTGTTGGCCTGAGCGGCGGCAGAGAGAAGACGAGCTTGGTTAACGTCCGCGTCTCTGGGTGCCTCTCCATCCTCATCCTCTGGGTCATAACCTTCCTCAATCTCACGTTCCAAGTCGTCAGGCTTGGTCAAAGACTGAACCAAGTGCTCCATGTGATGGCTTTGGCCACCAATGAGGCTGCGCAGATGGAGAACAACACGACGGGCTTCATCACGTTGTCTAAGAATAGTAACATTGGTGTGTTGAAGGGCAGCCAGTTCCTTCTTGTTGCGCTTGCGCTCACGCTCAAGCTCTTCGGCGATCTCCTGTTGAAGAACCAGGGCCTCGAGAGCATCGTCACGCTGCTTCTCAGTCGCACCCAAGCGAACGGATAGACGCGAGTTGTCATCCTTCTGTTGGTCAATAAGACCAGCAAGCCGTCTGTTCTCCCGTTTGTGGCTCTCAATCTTGACCTTGAGGTCCTGAGTCTCCTTGGTAAGCTGCTCAGCAAACGCCTGGAATTTGAGGAACTACTGGAAGTTAGTACAAGACTTAAACACATTTTGGATTTGCCAACGAACCTGTTGCTTCCAACTCTCAAGCTCTTCGTTGAGATAATTGTTGCGCTTCGTAACCTTGTTGAGCTCCGTGTCCATGCGACCCTTTAGGTTAATGAAATCCTGCCAGGCCTCAAGTGCATCACGAGAGTACTGGTTCCTCTCTCGGACGATCTCGTTAAGATGTCTCATGGAAACCTTGGTCATCAAAGGCTTCTTGACGGAACCGCCAAAGACAGCCTTGATGCCTGTGTTACGGCCCATCTTCTCGCAGACGTGGTCCATGACCGCCATGACTGCATCTTGGTTCCACCACTCGGGATCTTGGATAGACTCCACTTCACCGCGCATAACGATGATTTGACCAGCCGGAACAAGCTTGCCACCGCCATAGGCAGATCGAAGATGCTGGGGGACACCGGAAGGTGTCACATCACCGTTGAGGGACTGGGTAAGACGGGTAACAAACTTGTTACGCTGGCCAGGGTTCAGTGCGGTTGGGGGACTGGAGGTGAGGACGAAGTTGCGGTCGAGGTCGATGACCAAAGCATCAGTTGGGGCAGTGAATAGGGAGCGGCACTCGGCAGTAATACCAAGAATGTAAGGGCCCGGCTCCTGTACCAAGTCCTTGGCATGGCGGGCGTGAACAACAGGAACATAGAGACCGCTCCATTCGTATACGCGAACGCAATATCGAACCGTCTCAGCGGCCATAGTAAGCATGGCAGGATAGTGACTGACGAAAATGATGCGGCGAGTAGGTGAGATAGCGGCCTCAACAACACCCACAATGTTCGGGATAGACAAGCAGCAGAACAATGGCCACATGGCGAAGTTTTGAAATCCGGTCGGGGACGAAGGGAACTGGTAGCAAAGAGCGTAGTCCTTCATGTCTATTCGGACCAGGTCGTTGAGTCTAGGCGCTGGGAAGCTGAGGATGCGCGATACCTCCTCGGCATGGAACAGATTGGTAGCCTTGTTCCAGTGGATCCACATGCCTCGCAAATAGTCCCCAAGCAGGTTGTAAAGAGGGTATCGAGACAGGAACGACAAACAATAAGGAATCCAATAGGTTTCGTCTGGGTTATCGTAGTAATCGGGCTCGGTTCTCTTGCGAAGATCACGAATCGTCTCGGCTCTCTTCTCGTCTGCCCTTGACCAAACACGAAGACAAATACCGTACAGCGTGTGGGAGGAATCTTGCTGCAAAACGAAGGCGTGATGAACGCAGTGAGGCTGACTGCGGCCGGTGCAGATCTCCACGTCATGAGGGAAGCAAGCCTGACGTCTGTAAGCTATAACGAACTTTGCACAATTGGGGACAAAAGTAGCGACTAACTCGCATGGCAGAATGCAACGATCTGGCAATTTCGTTGTCCTGCTCTAGCCGGGGACTGCTTCCAAGTATCTCGGGCAGCCAAAACTGGCCGACAGCGCCCTTCATGTGGCCGATTTTGCCCTGGGCGGGGGCGGGGGCCTTCACCCATTGCGAAGGCTCTCTGCCAACACCACATACCATGTAGGCATGGGTGAGGGTCTTGGGAGTCCGCTGTTGAGGCTTCGAATTCAGAGTCGAGGGGATCGGCTGAGTGATACGCGAATGGAGAGAGGACGTCCGGCTCGGGATGATGAGGTTGTTGTCGACCTGGTCACGGGTGCTGGGACGACCTTCACGGTCACCGGTTCGAGGCCGGGTAAAGGACGAATGTGCGTTCAATGAAGGCGCCATTGTGTCGTCGGGGAAATTATCGATTGAGAAGAAGCGGCCGGAGCAGTATAGTTGGATCGAGAGGTTTTGCAATTGCGATCTAGCGGGCGAAGCTCCAAGTCACACGCACGCACACGAGCTGTCCAGCGTGTCGAAAGAAAGGGCGAAGAGGAATCGGGTCTGGTGTATTAAGACGACAGGCAGGTTACCTGGAGAGCAAGCTCTCGTCAAGGAAGAGTCGGTCGAGGGATCACTCAAAAGGCCGCCATTCGATGTGGCCGAGGGCAAAGCAATGACGATTTGTCTGGTCTGGTCAACGAAGAGTTGAGGCTCAGGCGCAGACAGATCAGATTGCTTGACCGACTGACTACTCAGTGACAGGTGGGGGGGAGAGAATAAACAAGAAAGAAGGGAGAGAAAGGGAAGAAGTCGGAAGACGAGACAAGAAGAGGCACTTCAGGTAAAAGGGGAGGGCAGCAGGGGGGAGGGTGTCGGGATAGGACGACTTGAGCAGGGGGGTAAGATGAAGCGAAGAGGACCAAGCACTAGACGCGAAGCTGGAAGAGGAATTGTATGGCCCAGCAGCTGCAGTCCAGCAGAGCGGACTAACAAACGGGCAAGAGATGGAGGAGCAGGAAAGAGGAGACGACGAGGTCTGGTAGTGCGTTGAGTAAAGAGCGACGGACCGGGGGACGGGGAATTAAGGTCTGGAGCCAACTTGGAAGGCACGGCTATACGTACTAAGCTGGAGGGTACATTCCAGCAAATCACCCAGCAACTGCATGCAGGACAAGACGCAGCTTCAATGAGCCCAAGAGACAGGACACAAGAAAAAGAAGAGCGAAGAGGAACCGTTCGCAGATTGGGGAATGGGGGGCATGGGGGGCATGGACGGGTGTGCAAGGGGCATGCAGCGCAGCATTGCGGTGCCACTCTTGGACCAGGGGAAGTTGCGCACACTGCAGCAGGGGGTAAGGTACAAGCAGGAGCAGTAGCACTAACACAGTTACTACAACCACAAGCAAGTCCAAGTACTGGGCTTCGGAGCTGCTTGGGAGTGCTAGTAGTGAATGGAGAAAGTGGTAGCTGGGGCATTCAGGGGGTTTGACTCTTGTCGTCGCAGGTTGCGGTCTAGTTCTACGACCAGAGACTTTTCTCTTGCGGCAGAATACGCAGTACGTATCGTCTTTAGCATCCATATTACAGGTAAGTAGGGTATAGTAGTAGTATTGAAAAGCGCAGGAATCGTTTGTTCTTCGCCTCGTTCTTCCTTATTTTTCCCTGAAATTTTCACCTCCAGGCATCACAACCCAATGCCACGAGTGGGAAAGGAAAGGCAATAGTCGATCAGTGAGACGCTAAGCGCGTAGAGAGGGCCCCGTGCTCCGCACAAAATATCCGCACCCATACCGAGGACTTGTCTTTGGGATACGGGAAATCATCCGGTACTGCTGCGAACGGGACGATGGGAACGGGGAAAACAAAAAACAAAAACCACACAAAAATGAGGACATCCGTCAGCAGCAAAGTGGAAGCAACAGCTGGAACGCACGACATACAGCAGTGGCGTGCACGGGCCTGCCCAGGTACCGACAGCAGAATGCAAGAAGTACTTGCGACCCCAGACTAGGTACTGGGCAGGCCGAGAAAGTACCTCCCCTTCCTCAAATCAAGTACACGCGAGGTGGTTTGAATCAGCACAACGGAGCCGCTCGAAACGCTGTCCAGCTCCTAGGTGGTTGTTAAGCCCCATTGCCGTTATCTTTGCCGGTCCATCCGTTGCCCGTTACTCCCGAAGGAAAGAGAGAAGGAAGAAAGACATAAATAAAGGAAGAAAGAAAAAGAGAGAAAAAAAAAAAAAAGGCGTTGCATGCTCAGCACGACGCCCAGTTTGCAGCGCATCCCAGCCAAAGACAAGGCAAGACTCGTGGAAGCCCGAAAAGGTGAAATGCTAGCGTGCTGCGTCGTCGAGGTACTAGCGTCAAGTCCATCCTTTTCCTCTCTCTTTTGTTTTTTGTGTGTGTCCTTAAAACAAAACGCAGGGGCCCCTTCGTGACGACCAGCCCCCCCGGCTACGTACCTGATGAAGTCTGCCACCCCTGATCGCTACTCCCCTAAAATTTGAACCCCACCACACTCTCCCGTATTTAGCAATTGTCAGCCAATGGCAGGTGGCGTTGTTCAGGCCCGGTTGCTGATGATGCTGATGAGGGAAATTGTCAGTCTTGTTTGGAAATTCCATCGCTTCTCGCTCGTAGCTCTGCCCTGGAACATTGGGCCCAAAAGAATTGATGCTTTCTGCTTTCGGCCACCATTGTCTTGCCCCAGTTCGCCAGGATGATAAACATGGTCTCGGTCCGTCGACAGTCTGCTCTCGGCTACGTGACGGCACTGACAGTACTGCATAACGAAGGGCAGCATCCCAAATACACGGCTGCATATTGCACAAGGAGGCTGCTGTTCAGCGATTCAGAACGGTTCGATGCCTCGAAAGTTGGACGTGATAGCTCTGCTGATCCAGCTGGCGTTGGCCAGGCAGATCGTCACATTACTCAGTAGCAAATAAATACATCGAGGCACTACCGCAACGCGTGTAATTGCTGTCCATCCACTTCGGCGTACATGCTTTTTGTGCAAAACACAGCCTGCACATGGCAGCTACGCTACTGCGCCGATTCATGACTTATGCCAGTGCCGGCGTCGTTCCGCGAGAGAGACACGCAGAAGCCTGCGACGCCGTCCAGCCAAGCGTCGCCAATGAATAACGCAAAATGAACACAACAAGCCAGCATTGTCGCTGTCGTCCAAAATACGCGCAAGAATGCAACCTTGTGGTGACCTCTGAAAGATGTATGACGAATACAAGCTCAAAAAAGATCATCTGCCGAAAGCGCTCAAGCCCCATCCATCCCCATCTCTGATCACCCGGCCCCCAGAAGCTATTGTGAGTCCCAACACGGGATGTCCCTGAAGCCTGGTGCTAGGCCAAACGACATACTCTTAACCAGACGAACCTGGATCGCTGTTTCTGCATCGCATGCAGAGAGGCTTGTGTGTCTGGAGAGGGGACAGATCCGCGTGGCCATACCCTATCCTATATCGCCGATGCCCGGCTTATATCACTTGCACGCGACCGATGAAGGCCCCGGTTTAAGCCCACCAGCCGTGACAGAGACCACCAGCCACATAGTTCGATGATTCGCACAGCACCAGTAGCAGCACTTCTGTGGCCCCGCGACACGATTCATCCTTCATACTATGTATGTACCAGCAATCAGGGGTAGGGCCGTTCTAGCACCCAGCAACAACGAGTAGAACAGTGTGTTTTAGTATCGTATACTAAAGCTGAGCTGGAGAAAGGAGAGGGATCGTGACGGCCCCACTCAGAAAAAGCTCCGTACATAGTACCTAATCATTCAGGGTGAATTGGTGACGATCTAATGATGACCCCCCGTACCAGTGGAGGCGAAGTCATGATAGTTGTGAATCTGTCGCGTCTACGGAGCGTAGTAAGGACCCGGTGCCTTCTATTAGCCTGATACCTTAGTAGCAGTACGTCCATCTGTCATTGTGTTGCACCGCTGCAGAGCGTTAATGTAAGGCTTGCACTCTCTCTCATCGACCAATAGTTGCAGAGTGGAAAGTTCCATCTTTGTTCAAAAAAGGTGTCGAGACCGAAACGTCCGTCGAATCCTTTCGAGACTGTCAGCCTGACAGAAGATGTGACGTGACAGCAGGGGACCAAGTTTGATCAGTTGGTGTCGCCCGGACTGATAGTTAGCCGTGTCGAGTGGCTGCCTGTCCACGACGTCCGCCCTCACGCACAAACGAAGCCCACCCGGCATTTATCGACGCCCTTGCATTGGGTGGATCTATTCTACCAGGATATCCCCTACAAGTCCGCCTCTTGTGGCTTTGAGTTCGGGCAGTGGGCGTTCAGGACCCCTCGTCTCCCCTATGGCCCTTGTAAAGCAGGTTTGGCCCATCTTCATCTGTCAATCTACGCTGCAATGCTCTTAGTACCGCGGGCCGACTCTGCACATTATTCCAGTATGATGAGGTGCTTCGCGTTCACTCACTCAACGCTTTGACCTGTTGTTCTGGGTTGAAGCTTGCACGGATCACAAAACAGCTTTGGATGTCTCGCCCGTCCTAAGATTATCCACCCGTATTAATGCTCCGCATAAAACGAGGCCAGCCGTGGATCTGTAACTCGTGGCTCCCCAACGGGCCGGGGATAAGTCCTGATTTCACAGTTCTTCCGAGGTTTTGCAGCAGTTCGGGATTT